AAAATCAATCCTCTCTATCTCCCCTGGGTGCTCACCTGTGCCTCAGGTCGTCAAAGTCATTCCTTTTCTATTGAGGTGGATATAAATATGTGATCTAGATGGATCCGCTGATGTAAGTCTGTGCAGAAGCATGACTGTCTGCACCTTTCCCAGCCACTGTCATGTCTTTATTACACTCATGCACCTTTTCCACGCTCGGTGACGAAATTATTTCAACACAAACTGTGATGTTGCGATATTTTCTTTTCAGCTCAGTGTCTTTTGAACAGTGTGGCCCGTGTGTCCGGAGTCCAGGCAGACAGTTTGCTGTAGTATTATGTAGGCTGAGTATCTAACGCCGGGTCCCTTTTTTGCTTTGTATGTGCAGCCTTGGTGAGCTTTCACTTCTCAGTGTATGATTCTTGTTGTGTTGTTTACACCAAACTTATACTGCTGCTCCTGGAAATGTAAAAAGAGCCTCTCTGTTTGCATGTTTTCTTAGAGAGAGAGAGAGAGAGAGAGGAGGATGGGAGCAGGAGATGTAAAAGCTTCCAGCACGTCAGCAAGCTTCAAGAGTAAATGATGTTTCTCAAGTGATATGCTACAGTTAGTCTACATCTGTCTTACTCCCCTCTTTAATAAACAACTGTATTTTTTTTCTTTTTTTAAATGGTTGAGGTTGTTTGTGCATGACTGTTTGTGCAGCGCCAGTGACGACTTTTTTTGCATCACCTCTCAAAATGGGCAGAAACGAGGGCATGCTGTCCAGTCCTGTCAGTCAGCCTGAAGGACAGATCAGACTAACCCTGGTGATTGCTTGACATTTACTTTAGCTGAAGCTTGTCGGATCGGTCTTCAGATTGCCTCAGACATTGAGTACATCTATCTTTCATGGATGGTTAGTGAAGGTTCTGGGGGAAGGAAATATTTGTTTGTGGATCTGTTGGTTGGTCAAACTCTTAAATTCAGATTTGGCCATATCACATGACTTCACCGTAAAGTATTTCTGCTCTGAGCGGCTAAAATAGATGCCCTTACAGGTGGAATTCAGCAGGGATGCACCAGTCCGATATTTGGATTGGATTTCGGCTCTGATATTTTTTTTTTAACAAGGCTAATGTCAAACCTGATGCCTTCACTAACAGGGCAGGGTATACAGTTCATTCTATCAACAGGTGTACTGAATCGGTATCGGATATCGGCTGATACGCTCATCCCAGGTATTGGATTGCATCTGAAAAAAATTGATCGGTGCATCTCTAGAATTCAGCAACAATGTAGAAGTGTTTGTGACCCATACTGCAAAATCATATTACTTACATCTGGCTGATGATAGATGTATAGTTTTTAAGAAGTGCCTAGCTTTTTAGGGATGTTAAGTACAATAATTAGTGAAAAAAACATGCTGTCAGTGAACATTTTGGGAAATAGTCGAGTATCCATTTTGCCTTCAGGATAATAAGTAAGAAAAAAATAGAAAATATATTTTCTTTGTGTTTCTTCTCTTTTGCTATTACCAAGTCAAGGTTAAAATTCAGCAGCTCTAATTTTCAAGAATTTAAAGATTCTGTGAGGAACTTGAAGTTTAGACAGCTTATCTTTTTCTCTGTATGCTAAAGCACTTTCTCTTGACAAGAATTCTTATCGTGCTACTTTGACTCCTTTTGGGTTACAATTAAGGAATCCTCAATCTGCTCGCTGATGTTCTTGAAGGCATCAAAATGATTTTCAGACTATTTCATAAACGTCGAAAAACTCCTCACAGGAGATTTAAACCTTCTAAAATAACAGTTCAGCTTTTATAATGCAAACATGCCAAATGAAGATGGTCCACAAGTTAGATAGCGCCTGCAGATTTGAAACCCAGCCCTCAAACTACAAACTTGAATATAGTTAATCACCACGTTCCCTCTCTTTTTAGTATGTGACGCCATTATTACACAGCGTCACTTTTTAGAAAGCTCAGTCATTTCATAAAGCTTCAACTCTAATGGTCAGACTCAAAATTTATCATATTGATAAAAATGTTAACTGAAAAATGCCTGAAAAGTTAAACAATAACAGTAAAAAGAATATTAAATGACAAAGACAAAAAAAAGTGAGTGAAGAAATAATCAGAAGAGAGTGAGTGTCCATATTAAATCACTCTGGTGAAGAAAAAAATTCGCCTTGTTTATAATCTACCTTATTAAATAATGCTTAAATAATGGATGTTTCGGTCCATTACTGGAAACTTCAGAGAAACTGCATCCTCCCTCATGCACATCGTCATGTAAACTTACAGGATATTGCGTGACTGTGAGTGCCTCCTGAACAGTCTCTCAGTCCCCAGCTAACTGGAGTGTGTGACACATCTCGGAGGCGAGAAAGAGTGAGCTGTCTCGATATAACACATCAGCTGAGGAGTGATACTCAGATGCTGCAGTAATGAAGAGTGTGTGTGCGTGTATGTGTGCTGCTCGGTGTCCCTCAGGAAGAGGAAGCTGAGAAATGATATGCGTACGTCTTGCTTTCAAGGGTTTCCCACAACAGACACTTCCATTTAGATTTTCCAGCCTTGTTTTTGCGCTCTGAGTCAAACATGTGGAGCGCTGGATTCAGTTGCTTTGATTACAGAGCCATCTGTCTTTACCGGAGATTTGCTTAGCAACTGAAATGTAGTTACAGGAATTTCTGTTTGTGAAATTACATTTGTGCTCTCGTTGATTCGCTCTGATTCAAGTTTCAGGAAATGAAGTTAATGACCAATCAGAACTGTAAGGTCTAAAATAGGCATCCAGGATGTGGGTTTTAATCTGTATCCTGTATTTTACAATGTGTTACTTATGCACATCTGAAACTTAAGATTTATTGCTGTCAGTGTGTTAGCATGTTGTTCACCTTAGCTTGGCTGAAACTAGACTTTTAAAAAACATGCATTAGTCTGAAAGTGCACTAAATTCAACTTATAAAATAACTCAGGTATTAAAGGGATATTCCGACATAAAATTAATTTAGGGTCAAACACACTGTAACACCAAGTTAGACACCACGTCGAGAGATGAATATTGGCGACCGCTTGCTTCTCTAGTTACACCAACTTTAGTAACGACCGAAGGATAGCAATACACAGCGGTCTCAGGAGCCACATGCTCAACCAAAACGCCACTCTATAGCCACAAATAATGCTCAGAACAGCACCTAACTTCATTAACAGTACATATAGGGTCCCAGCCATAGTACTAGTCACCAAACATCTTTTTAGCTTTGCCTAATTTCTTTAGCAAAGAGACTAAACAAAACTCACCTACTCTTTTCCAGCAGCCACTTGTTTGTTGCCCCGGGCTAGTCCATTACGGACTACAGCGGGGTGACGCAGCTCAAGGAGGAACATTTATGATTATTTCAGAGAGTGGCGTTTTAATTGAGATTTGTTTGTGGCTCCACAGACCGCTGTGTATTGCTATACTGTGGTCATTTCTAAAGTTGGTATAACTAGAGAAGCAAGCGGTCGGCAACATTCATCTCTCTGGGGGGTCGGCCCAATTTGGCATGTGGTAGTTGCCTAATATGTGGTGAATGTGGTTGTGCAGTTATTTATTGTATGCATTAAAGGGCTATTCCAACATAAAATTAATTTATGGTCAAACACACTGTAACACTGAGTTAGACACCCCGTTGAGAGATGAATGTTGGCAACTGCTTGCTTCTCTAGTTATACCAACTTTAGTAACGACCGAACGATAGCAATACACAGCGGTCTGAGGAGCCATAAACTAACCTCAACCAAAAAGCCACTCTATAGCCACAAGTAATGCTCAGAACAGCACCTAACTTCATCAACAGTACATATAGGGTCCCGGCCAGAGTACTAGTCACCAAACATCTTTTTAGCTTTGCCTAATTTCTTTAGCAAAGAGACTAAACACAACTCACCCACTCTCTTCCAGCAGCCACTTGTTTGTTGCCCCGGGCCAGTCCATTATGGACTACAGCGGGGTGACGCAGCTCAAGGAGGAACATTTATGATCATTCCAGAGAGTGGCGTTTTGTTTGAGCATGTGGCTCTTCAGACCGCTGTGTATCGCTATCCTGTGTTTGTTACTAAAGTTGGTTTAACTAGAGAAGTAAGCAGTCGGCAACATTCATCTCTCGAGGGGGTGTCTAACTCATCGTTGTGTGGTGTTTGACCGTAAATTAATTTTATGCCTGTATAGCCCTTTTAGCTCCATGATTGGCCAATCTGCATCCTGGGTCCTGACGTTAGCATTTGGGTTGATGTTTATAACAATCCAATAAACTTGAGTAGAGATGTGTCTGTAATTTGAATCACGATGTTACAACAATATTAAACAAAACAACCAGAGGTGATCTTCTAAACGCAGCTCGCAGGCTTTCATGCCATCTTCATGTCAAATTTCCATAACTAAAACAGCAAGGAGAAATCTCTGCAGGACAGTATGCGTTTAGTTTGCTTGATCGATGTTAACAGGATTCGACATCATTCGTCTCTGCCGTCTAAATATGTTTCTTGCCTTCAGACAGGGTCAGGATTACACACGCAGGATGAGACAGCAACCATCCGCCCGCTCCAGAGTTGTATTTGTTTGTGTATTTATGCTTTTGTGTGTCTGCATTTGAATTTGAGGAGGAATATGCTTTCACGTGAAGAAATACAGTCGGTCCTGGCATGTGTAAGAGTGCATGTTTGTGTGTGTGTGTATGTGTGTGTGTGTTGTTCCCACGGAGCTGCAGAGCATATGATAATTGACGATGACTCACTCAGACCTTTGCATATTTTATATGCAGGAGATGGAGAGAGAGGCAGGAAGAAGTAGAGAAAGAGAGGAGAATTAGTGATGTTTTTGGGAAGTCGTGTCAAGATGTTAGGTCAAGCGTTGTGTGTGTGTGCGTGCGTGTGTGTGTGTGTGTGTACCCGTGAGATGCTGCTACCTCCCGCTGACCCTTCGGAAAGGCCCCAGAGAGTCACTCTGTGTGAAGCGATCGGTGTTGGTTAAACACACTCATTAGGACGAACCATGCTCCAGTGAAAATACTGTTTATTTCAGGGAGTGGACAAAATTGGACATTGACTCATAAACTGCTGGGAAACAGTTAATGAAGCCCTCTGGCAAAACTCCTGCACTCCTGACAGAGACTCCGACTCTCTCTGCACACATGTGGTGCTTATGATTTAGAGTCCATGTGTGTTACATTAAAAGTAGCACAGGGTATGCTTTAACTATCTTATCAAATAGTCTGAGGTATTGTTAAAGTAGCTTAATCGCAGCAAAACATATGCTAAAAACAGATATATGGATGCATCACGCTTGTGTACTTTATCTTCACACCCTGTCAAAGTGTTAATAACAACTATTCTGAGACATTATCGCTGTCATGCTCAGTAGCTCAGTTCCTGAATTCAAACCTGCAACCAACAAGATTAAATGAAATAAATACACAGGAAGAAAACCAAAAAGAGTCTTCAAAATCATGATGGGAAATACCAGCAAATATCAGGATATTGGTCAAAATGCAGCGGTATGATAAAATATGATATAATACAATAAAAGGTAACCCTTTCTTATAACCAGGTAATTAACAGGTAATAACCTAGTAACAACATGAAATTATCTGGTAATTACATGATAACTACTAAATCAATACTGTCTAGCTACCAGGTAGTTAACCTTCCATCATTATACAAATTTGAAGCCGAATCACTCTGGTATTTCCAGGATTTTTTCCGCTTCCTGGAACCACCACTTGCGCAGTAGCATTCACCGGGTGAGTCGCTGTGATAATGCTCGGCTCAAACAGCGTATCGCTACGCAATCTTCGCACGCCCATAGGCTGAATCAAGTTATCATGTAATTACCAGTTAATTTCATGTTGTTACTAGGTTATTACCTATTAATTACCTGGTAATAAGTGTACTGCAAAAGACAGGGTTACCTTTTATTGTATTATATCATATTTCATCGTACCTCTCCATTTTGACCAATAATAAATTAATTTGTATCCCATCGCATCTCATCATCATGAATCAGATAACATTTTGTATTGCATTGATGCAACATATCACACTGCATCATATGGTATTGTGTCCAATCTTGCTGTGTTGTATTGCGCCCTCTTATACTTTATAGCATCGTCTTCTTCATTGCATCACATCGGTTAATGTAAATTAATTTTCCTTTATTTTTGCACATTCATGTTTCGTTTCATGTCATGTCTTTCCTGTTTTATTCTGGTGGTTCACTAACCCTTGTTTTTGTCTTCTAGATTTGTTCCTGTCTGATCTGCCCTGCGCTCGTCTTGTCACACCTGCAGCCTGATTGTGTCTCCCCACCTGTTTCCCATCACCCTCGTTAACGGTATTTAACCTCATGTGTCTCACTGTCTCCTCACCAGTTTTTTGCACCTCATAGTCAATGTTCCAGCATATTCAGTCTCACTATCGTTTCGGACGTTTTTCCCTTCCTGCGATATTGCAGCATTTATTTTTTCGGATCATGATCGATTTTTCTAAAGTTTCGCATACTGTGTCCACTTCCACTGATCAGATTGCGTGTTGTTGCGACGTCAGATTCACAGGTATATCCAACATGGCCGACTGGCTGATTGTGTACCTGTTTACTAAGATCAAATCCAGCTTCATAGTACAGACCCTTGATAATATAAGCAAAGGCTGTCTCTGCAGCTTGTCGTAATTCACTTTGTGTGACACCTGCCTGGTGGCAATGATTACAGACATCAAGTACTAACTACATAAAGTAATCAGTCTTGTCCCTGATAGTCTCTTTTTCTGTAGCTCATTAAAGTTTTTTTATTCCGTCTGTTTTTCATAACCAGCGAAAAACCTTTGATTAAGTGTGTAGTTTTTATCAAGGTGAAGCAGGTGTTTCGAAAGTGTTTGAACTCGACTCGCACGTCACTGTAACAAAGTGACATTATCAGGTCTGTTTACATGATGTTTAATGAGCCGCAGCTGAGCAGATAATCAGCCATGTAGCCTGCAAGCTGACATTAGAGGAGCACTTTACGCCACACAATGTGCCGGTTGATGTTTCGACGAGATAAAGTGCAGGGGGACATGTGTGTGTCCGTGTTTGTCAGTACGATAAGAAGACTCAGGATTAATGTTGGATGTTGTTATTCGAGGGTAGATATACTAAAAAGAAGTCAAAATACTTTATTTGAATTGAGTTTGACTTGAGTAACTTGTGCTCTGATAATTGCACACATAGTTGAAGACAGTAAAGGCGTAAATGTTCATACTTCTGGTCTGAAAATTCATCCCACATAAGGCTGAAACTGCGTAAGTTTGGGAATACACGTAGAAAATGTAACATGAATGAAAAATGGAGTATGTAACCTGAGAAAATTCAATAATCTCTTCCCTCTCAGAAAATAAACTTCAGGCGCCCAAAGCGGAGCCGCAGATGGAGATTGTTACTTCCAGTATTCAGAAGCAGACAAGCAATTTTTTACTGTAGCTCTCAGTAAAGGGCAACAATATTATGACTGCGGGGCAACACGGACTCCGTTATTGTGTTTTGCAGTCTGGCATCTTCATTTTAACCCAATTTGTTTGACTTTGCTCTCTGTGTGGATCTCCACATCTGTTACAATCCGAGGATCAGACATACACAAACAAACACAGAGATTGTAGAGCTGAAAACGACTGTGTAACATCACTTATTTCTAATGAAAACAGGGTATGAGCGGCATCTAAGTGTCCTTGTCTGTCTTTGGGCTCTAAAAGCGGCCGGGACACGAGGAACAAATATGAACCTATCCCATAATGTAATACTGAAGAAAAGTTAAAGTAGATGCCCTCCTTTTGGATTTCGTATTAAATGCCTAAAAAAATGTGCTTTATGCACATAATCATGTTATTTAACCTTGTAAGTTCGGTCTCAGACGAAGTTAGTTCAAGTTCAGGCACAACACTGGAGTTTTATGACCCGCAAAGACTATTTCTGAAACCACATACTCGTACTATATTTAGTATTTGATTCCAGATTCATTGTCTCTGATTGGCCAGAGTTTTTAAAGTATGACACTTACTCACTGTCCCACAATGCAATCTGAGTCCAGCTCTGGATTTACAAAGTTGGATTGATGCTTTCCTCGTCTTTAAGTCTATTTTTGCATGTTCCAGCCCTCACAGTACCTCTGACAGGAGAAGCAGAGACAGTAGTCTCTTCGAAACCTGTCATCCTGTACTCTGCAAAGCACCCGGCCTGTTAACGGTCTTTTTGTGCTGCTTTAGCGCTAACCGGCACTGACTGAGACAAAGTGCTGCCGGTAACAGGAATAAACTAGCATGGGTGAGCATCTGCCTCAAGTGTCGTGCAGCGGACCAAGCATTAACATTCTCTTGCAAGAGAATCTCTTCACCTACAGCTGCTGTAAAACTGTTTGAGTATGATGGAGGTAGTGGGCAAGTATGTGATTTCAGAAATTACTTAAAGGGATATTCCGGCGTGAAATTAATTTAGGGTCAAACACACTGTGACACCGAGTTAGACACTCCCTCGAGAGATGAATGTTGCCGACCGCTTGCTTCTCTAGTTATTCCAACTTTAGTAACGACCGCACGATAGCAATACACAGCGGTCTGAGGAGCCATAAACAAACCTCAACCAAAACACCACTCTATAGCCACAAATAATGCTCAGAACAGCACCTAACTTCATCAACAGGACATATATGGTCCTAGCCACAGCACAAGCCACCAAACATCTTTTTAACTTTGCCTAATTTCTTTAGCAAAGAGACTACACACAACTCACCTACTCTCTTCCAGCAGCCGCTTGTTTGCAGCGAGACCTCAGACCAGTCCATTACGGACTACAGCGGAGATTCGCAGCTCAAGGAAGAACATTTATGATAATTTCTTCATGGAAATGAAATCAGACCGAGACGCTAAGGCAGAAGAACTACCGCGTCTGCAGTGCAAAAGGATTAATATGGTGATTATTACTTCAAAGAAATGATAAAGAAATGATCATAAATGTTCTTCCTTGAGCTGCATCACCCCGGAGCAGTCTGTAATGGACTGGCCCGAGGTCTTGCTACAAACAAGCGGCTGCTGGAAGAGAGTAGGTGAGTTGTGTTTAGTCTCTTTGCTAAAGAAATAAGGCAAAGCTAAGGAGATGTTTGGTGGCTAGTGCTGTGGCTGGGACCCTATATGTCCTGTTGATGAAGTTAGGTGCTGTTCTGAGCATTATTTGTGGCTATAGAGTGGCGTTTTGGTTGATGTTTATTATGGCTCCTCAGACCGCTGTGTATTGCTATCGTGCGGTCTTTACTTAAGTTGGTATGAGTAGAGAAGCAAGCGGTTGGCAACATTCATCTCTCGAGGGGGTGTCCAACTTGGTGTCACAGTGTGTTTGACCCTAAATTAATTTCACGCTGGAATATCCCTTTAAGTGTCTCACAATAGATGCCTCATTAAGCCATTACGGTATGATGTTAACGCTAAGGGAATTTTCATTTCAGACAAATACAAACAGAAAGAGGTTACATCAGTGAGACATTACCTATTATTCTGAATGAATATGCTTAAACAGAGTGAACTGGGAATAAAAGTCTGACACTCATATGAGCAAGCTTCAAACAACGGCCCAATACTTCTCGCAGCTTAGGTTAATGAAGGTCACGATTTGAGTGAATACAGAAATTGTCTCTGTATCAATAACCGCCCACAGTCTCCCTGTTCAGCTGTAAGACACACTTTGTTTTAAAAGGTGCCCTCCAAGAAAAGATCATTAGTGTGACCGTACAGTCCTAGGGCACATTCGTATATTAAACTGTGTATGCTCATTTCACAGTTTTTTCCCAGACCTTGTTATAAAACATTTAACTCGGTGTCTCTCTGACCCGCTCAGGAAGAAACTCGCTCAAAGCCCCGCTGGGGTGTCCTTGATTTCCCAGCTGCTGCTTAAGTGTTTTAGAAAAGCAATTTCTGCTCAAACAAAACAGCGTTGATCTCAAGCAATGTCTGAAGGATCCTGTTCAAACTTTATTAGATCTACGTTTGTACAAAGTAGACGGAGTATCTAAGATGATTTGTCCACTCGCCTCCCTACGTGGAGGTCAAAAGTCAGGGTTCGCTAAAAACAGCACACCTTCACCTTCTACGGTAGGCATGAAGTGTCATTTTGAAACTCTTGTGGTTCAATACTGGAGCTCAGGAAAGTCTTTAAAAACATGTTTGAGTTTTTCTGGCACAAGAGCGGATCTGTTAAACTCATCATTTTTCCCCTGACACACATTTAAAGAACAGAAGAGGAGCGTCTCTGACATTTGGCCCTCCGCCTCAGAATCGAGTCTCTGAGCTGCCCCTCTTCAGGGTGCTGCTGTTAAACTCGTCATGCTCGAAGCTCAGATTGTTATGTGACCTCGATATCATCAGCAGCTTCTCCCGCTTGCTGTAGTCACGCCTGGAAGTCGCATCCAACAGCCGCTCCCCTTGCTCCTCCCTGTCCTCCAGCCGCGTGTAGCCTTTACTGCTGCCGCGGTTACCGCTGCTACTCCGACTGCTGTTGCTCCGGTCGAGGCGTGGCCAGCTCGGGTGCTTCCTCTGCTCCGGGTTCACGCTGAGCATGCTCGGCCTGCGCTCCAGGTCTAGAGATTTCGAGTGGCTGCTGAGCATGTGCAGAGAGGAGTTTGAGCCGAAGTCAGTCCTCGCCGCGCCCGGGGAGAGCCAGCAGCCTGAGGGAGCAGGGGAGAGAGACGTGGAGGAGACGGAGGAGCAGTGGGAGGATGAGGAAGCAGAGTTACTTCTGTGAAGGCCGGGAGGTTTGGAGGCCTTGGCAACAGATGCTACAGGAACCACCAGAGACTCCATGGAGCTCAGAGGCTGTGACCTTTCCTCGTCTCTCCTCTCGCCTACTCGATCCTCCTCTGTGATCGCCTCCATCTCCGGCTCGTCGATAACGCAGTTGTTGAGCTTAATGACAGGGAGAGTAAAAGCAGAAATAGAGGAGGAGACGATGGAGCGAGCGTGATGTCCTCCTCTCTCTCCATCTCCATCCACTGACCACTGATGCCGAACAGAATCTGAGTGAACCAAGCCTAATCCAGGACCGTAAAAGGGGCGGTCCTTATAGAGCGGCGCTAGCAACCCGGCAAAACTACAATCCAAGTTAGCTTGTGACCTGTTCTCCTCTTCTCCTAACAGCACCTCCTCCTCCTCTGTGGAGCCTCCAACCCCTCCGGCAACACTCCCAGCCCGGGAGGAGAAAGCCAGGAGGGAGTTGCTAGCTAGCCGCGATGCGTTATCAGCTCCGAAGCCGTCTCTTGAATAGGTGCTGTTTCTGTGATGGTGGTGTTTCTGCTCCTTCTGCCTGAGGCGATGGATGTCAATGACGGTGGAGTACATGTCTCTCATATGGATTATCTAGAGCAGAGGAGAAAAAGTATTAGCAGCAGTGGGAGGAGTGTTTACCTTTGGATTCATTTAGTATCTGTTTTATTACACCGCTGCGGTGAGTGCCCCTCGCTGATGTCTTCGTTTTCTTAAAATAGACGAGAGAAATCTGATCCGGCTTCACCCTGAGGCTGCACTTATTGGTATAAATCTACAGAAACAAGTCTAGCACTTTTAACTTGGCCTAAGGGAAACACAAATCAACATATTTATTGAAGACACGACTTATGTAATAAACAGAGCACACTGTAGACTTGTTGATATGATTCAGACGGATAAAAACCTAAATCAGAGCCACAGATCAAGAACTTGAGGATTGAGGCCACTTTTAGACGGAAACGGTCTCCACAGAAAATGGAAAAGTGCCGTTTCGTTTCCAGTTTTTATGCTGTGTTTGCACAAAAACGCAATGTGGTTGAAAACGCTGTAATGTGCATGCCAGGTCGCTAGGTGGCGCGTGTCGGTGTGACTGTGCTCCCATATAGACCAACAACGCATACGTAGAACAACTTCCGTTCATCTTCCTACAATCATTAATTATTTGATGCAAATAATTCAGACGCCTCCTCTGCTGGGCAGAATGATCCGTGAGGATTCTGTACAGGTCGAGATTGAGCTCCTGCCCGTTAAATAATAACGACAGCGCGACTCGAATGTCTACCATGGTTGTTGTTGTTATTTTCAAGGAAGCGGCGCATGGCTATGATGTCATAAGTGTGAGCTGACGTGAGCCAGGACGTCACAGGTTTGACTGTTTTCGGTGTTTTTGTACTTTAGACGAAAGAGGGACTAGCAGAGCGTTTACAACATTTCCACTCTGGAGGGGGTTTTTACTTTGTTACGTTTTCATCTCCTGAAAACGCAGTTGCCGTCTAAACGGACCCCCCTAAACGAAACTAAATTTTTCAGTTTTCTATGGAGACCGTTTCCGTCTAAAAGTGGCTAAACCTGGAACAATAAACAGAGAGCAGGTTTTATCCAGGACTGTAATTCAAATGGTCATTAAATCACTCCAATGTTTCTTGTTTGCTTGTGTTTTCTTGATGTCTGTGACCTTGGAAAAACATGGATTACCTGAAAGTGGAGAAGGGAGGAGGAAGGAAAGTGTAATCGAATCAAGGAAGGGAAAGAGGGGGCATAAGAGCAGAGGAAATATGATCAGAGGAAAATTGCAGAGATAAGGCTGGCTGGAGGTTGGTAGAAATATGATTTGCATGTTTGTTATGTAGAGATGATGAATAAAGATGACCGGCTGCAGCGTGCATGTTCGTCATTAAGGAGAAAGGAGGAGGAGAATTAAGAATACAGGGTTTAGGGAGGAATATCAACTACTTCTTGGGTTGACTTAAGGTTTGTTTGAAATATTCTCTCGTAACTATTTTACCACCTCGTTCTGAAAATACAGATAATAATAATTATCCCTTTAATGCCTGAAACCACAAATTATGGACAGAAAATTCAAATTTTTTTTTGGAGCTGAAATGTTTATTCTGCTTACAAATGAAAACGAAAAAAAAATCAAAATGTCCTTAAAATTTAAGAAATATATTTATTTATCTCATTTGATACATAAGATGTATTTGGAAACTGATGAACTACAAGAGGACATTTTTATCATTTATCAGACTGGATTCAGGTGTTTTTTTTAGTAATTTGTTGATCATATTGATTTGATAGAAGTATCATAAAAGTATGTGTCAGCTCAACTGAAGTGAGAAACGAATGAATCACTCGAGGAAGTGATTCGATCCGGTACGTTCACTTAAAAGATTCGGTTCTCTTTAATGAATCGTTCGAACGACACAACACTAGAAGCGGCGGCTGAAGTAAACGAAGTTAATGTGGGAGGGGGTGAGCAGCTTGAGGAGTAGTTTTATCGTCCATTTATCGATATCGAGGTGAACTACTCAATATATCGTGATGTTGATTTGAGGCCGTATCACCCAGCCCTTATATGATGCATGATGAGCTACAAAGTAACATGAAGGGGTGTGTCCAGACTTATTACCTCCATATTTCAGCCCTACCTTAGTTTCTCTGTCTCTGTTTTCATGAAGAATGGCGTTAGCGCAGATAAAGATAAAAATCCCAATGCCCATAGTGAAGGGTCCGAGCATCTTCATCCTCTCAGAGTGACGATGCTGCTCCAGAAACCGTGTCAGAGCGCCTCCTGTCTGCCTGGAGGGTGTATCTAAATACAAGAAACAAAGAAAAGGTCATCTCAGGGATTTCTGAACTGATATAAAAGTTCAACAAATGTTTTAATTTGAGGAAAAATTTCCAATTAAACTTTCTTTTCCTCTGCATTTCCTCTTTTTTGCTTACCTTGCAAATTACTGGCGTTGGAGTTGGCCACATCTTCATCAGTCACGGCTAAACTGGCTCCATTTCCTCCCCCTGCAGATATTTTAGCTCCTCCAGAAGTTGCTGTCTTGGATCCGCCTCCAGTTGGGGATTTTGGCATGACTTCACTGTGCGGCCAGTAACCCAGTGTGGCCATCCCGATCCCTATGGCCAAGATGATGAGACCCAGGAGGAGGAAAAACCCAGAGGCAGAATAGAGGCGGAGCCTACCTCGTACCACCACAACATCAGTACGCCGTTTCCTCTTCCTAAAAGAAAGTTTACAAAGAGAGCAGAAAGTTCAGACAAGAACCAAAACAAAGTCTCAAATCTCTCTTTTAGTATCAGAGTTGCTCCCAAACCAACAGAGAGATTAAACTGCTTCTAGTCTTGTCAGTCGTTTTCATCTTTCAATCACCTTGGAGCAGCCTCAGTCCCAGAGTTCCCCAGGCCTGGCGATGGCGGTACAGGCCGGTGCTGAGAGCGGGCAGAGTCCTGGCGTTTTAGTTTAGCCAAGCCTGTTAGCACACCTGCTGCTGCAGTCATTCTTTACCTGCGGACACACATGCAGAAATAATTAAGCACTGATTTTTAACAAGCATCTGTTCTGCGTGCACTTGTACTGCCAAGCTGCTAAACTCTCAGAGTTTCTGAGATGTTCATTGCCAGTTTGTTTGCGCTTTTTTGTGCACAATTACAAAAAAGAAGAATCGACTCTTAAACAGCTGCAGACATAACTTGGACAGGATCTGATTTGCACATGAAAAAGTAACACCAGCAGAACATTAAAAACAAAGTAGGAAGACATATATTGTAGAATTCTAGATACTCTGTACAAAATATGTAAAGACGCTTAATATTCAGAGCGCAACTTTACCCACAGATGTGCAAATTGAACCAGTTCCAGGGATCGGGACTTCATTTGTCTCAATTTGTTCATGCATGCCATCTCATATACAGCTGTGTCTTTGAAAAGCTGCTGTTTCTTTATACTCATATTCAGACTTGAGAGAGAGCCCGTACTGTTCAGTGCTGATAAAGACGTGAGTGCACACAAAAATGTACACACAGTGTACAACATCTCTGTTTACTGGTGATGTTTTGTTATTGCTGTCCTCCTCCAGGGCAGGGGGCGTGGATGTGTGTGCGTACTGCGCGGAGTCATACGTTTACCCCGGCAGAGTGTTTGTTTACCGAGGTTTTCCTGTGTGTTCGGTGGAGAGAAACTCAGGAAAGAGGACGATGAGAGATATAGATGTAGGACGAGAAAGCAAAGAAGCAGAGAAGCAAACACACATGATCATTTTTTCAGTCTAGTTTAGTTTTTTTAATGGTTGTTGTTTACGTCACAGGTATAAAACTGGAATATAGTGCTGCCATTCCCATATTATTTTCAAATGAATCATCGTCTCTGTTCTCGCCAGCTGCTCAGTTATCTATTAATAGTTATTAAGATGAAAGGGGCTTAAATAAACACAGCCTTCTCTCAGGAGCCTCATTTGTGTTTAAATGCCTGTTAATCTGGGCTCAGATGAACATTAGCATTGTCCTGTCGAGCACTAAGAGGATTAAACCGGCTGTGTTTGATGGTGAAAAACCAAGGAACAATATTTGATCCTAATTTCAAGTGTCCTTCTCCAGATTAATTCCTGACTAAGTCTAATTAAGTGAAACAAACAAACAAACAAGAAATTAAGCAACAGTTTAATGATTTTTGTAACCTTTTTATATGGTTGCAAAATGAACACATCTGAAAGGCAGTTAACAGGAAAATAAGGATTCGCATCACAAATAGGGCTGTCCCGATATGATATTGATATCGGATATTGGTCCGATATCAGCCAAAAAACAAATATCGGATTATATCAGCCTGCATCTAAAATCTCTGATACAAGCAGTCCATTCCACACTCCAGTCTGGCACCTCTAGCTAGCAGCGCCTAGATCCAGCATGCAGAGCTCACGTGATCACAACAACAGTGTGTACAGAGGTACAAACAAAGTACCAAGGAGTAAGAGTGATGTCAGCTGTGTGGCAGTATTTTTCATTAAAGTCCAAAAACGACATTGTAATGAGTGCAAAACTTGTCATGCACAAGTTCGTGTCAGTATCGGTATCGGCTGATACTAAAGGCTACAATATTGGTATAGTATCGGAAGTAAAAAAGTTGTATCATGACACCCCTAAACACAATTCAATTTTCTCGACTGAAGTCTAAACTTGAGAAATCTTGAGCATTGTCTTGTACTTTTTTAGTGAAACCTTTCGCAAAAGGGTCAGAGTACAACCAAGACTGGCCAAAAACTATAATTCACAGCGTGTGTGAGTGTGTGTGTGTGTGTGTGTGTGCGTGTGTTATCCATAAAAAGACTTTCCTCCAAGACAGCTGCTGCTGCTGTGTGATTTACTGTTGGTTGACTCCCCTAAAACACAGACACACAGGCCAGGCCACCAGGTTCAACAGACTTTCCTTAGAGCTCGCAAACTAAGTCTAAAAACTGTGAAGTTTCCATTCGTGCATACTTCACATCATGAACAAACTCAAAACAGTTATATTAATTTAAATAATAAAACACAGGTAGTTATGGCGGTATTATTTAAAGGGATAGTGCATGAAATTATACAAGGGTTAAGTAGAGTTTGTGTTCAGAGATGGGTTGGAGAAGATTGTCTGCTGCGCTTGCATGTGGATATCTGATCTAGACGTTAATTAAAGTGAAATCAGTGTTAGATCTCTGCCGGTGAGTTACAGCTTTGCATTACGATGAACTGCATCCCCTCTTTCATGTTGCTCTCCACAGGAACTGTTTTCATTATTACAGCTTGCCTGCTGAAACAATGGTAAATTATGCTGCTATTATGGTACTCTGGTCCTTCACCTGCAAATTCTGCAAAATCTGTAAAAGGGTGTTTTCTTCAGATTTACTTTGAGGTTAGATGGTACAGTAAGGAAAGAAAAGCATGAAAAATATGCATCTAAGAGACATTTTGGCTTTTTTTACGGATTACGAACAGCAGGAATCACGAGAACTAACGAGAACCAGCAGATTCATGTGCAATCGCGCGATAACAAGTTGTCTTTAGCCATATGGGCTAACCATATAATGCAGTAGATTGTGTCCTTTCAGAGGAGGCAATCTACTTCTAGACTTTTATACTCAGCACCTCCTCATCCATGGTGTCACCGGAAAAAATAAAACTCTTACGATCAGCTGCAGAGTCCAGCAATCCGCAGCGGAACGGAAAGAAGCCGGTGGAAATTGACACATTAAATTGAATGATGTGGTGGAAACTGCCCGTCAGTTGCTTAATGCTAGAAAGATACTTAAACCATGAGGGTGTTGAGGGAATTGGTAGCAAGCACCAGTAGAGCAAGTCTTCAGTATGTGGTGAGTTAGTTCAAGTACGCACGTGAAAGACAGTGCTTCTGATCCAAACAGATTTCTCAACAAACTAATTGTGTTGAACCAGAGTGAGCTCTGCGTCATTCTTGGACATGAACAAGACCCCAGAGCTCCTGCTCAACCTATTAGGCTTCTAATCCACATTACGATGCATTCACAGTATACGTTACCCTCTACATGGACAGTTGAAGGTCCTTTTTCTAACGTGCGTCCATCACATTAATATGAAACAGGTTTAGATAATTCTACAAGAGACTGAAAGATCTGATTTGTGTTCATTAGTGTTGCTTCCATTTAGGAATCTGTGCCTTATCAGGTCTTTTGGCAAGCAGGAAATTGTGGTTGTTGGCTTTAACGTTGGTGTGGTTGGATTTTCTCATCATGGTCGTATTAATTGAAGTACGTTTATTTGGTAAACAGTGCGTGTAAAAGGATGAAACATATTTAGCATGGGAACAGGAACACACCCATGACCTTCCTCTTTCTGTTTTTAAAATTCTCTCCTCCTCCTCCTTGCCTCCACCTCTCTCTCTCTCTCTCTCTCTCTCTCTCTCTCTCTCTCTCTCTGTTGCTCTCTTGAGCTCCTTCCCCTCTCACAATCTTTAAATCTCTCACTGTCTTTCTTTCTCACCCCCCGTCGGTGGGCTAATGCATTCTGGTTGTGACCCTGAATAATTTTATCCCGCCTTCACTCCCTTTTCCAGCTTTCTTTAGCTTCATACCTCCCTGTTAGCCTTTCTCCTCCGCCGTCCCTTCTTCTTCTTTTTCTTCTCAGATCTATTTTTAATCTGTCTCTAATTTTAATTTTCTTTTATTTGGTCACTCTCCTCTCTCTCGCTTTCCCTCCCCGCTTTTCTTCCACATTTCTCCAAGCGATAAAACCTTCTTTGGGATTCAGAGTGAGACAAAGCTTTTAGTAATCAAAGAAAGTGTGAATCACACACACGACCAGACGTCCTCTCCTCCCACCCTCTTTTCTCCCTCTCACTTCTTAATGTATTTTTTATGTCAATCATCCTTTTTCGGTAATACTGCTGTAGAAAAGTGCTCAACCACAGATGGTGAATCACACAAAGGCAAACAACCAGCCACTTTTTCTTGGGTTTTCTCCGCGGCTCCCTCTCACTCTGTCTCCGGCTGCTCTGTGTGCGTCAAACAGGAACCCACACAATGTTTGAGAGCAGAGGGGGGAGAGATTTCCTCCGTTTACCAAGAGAGATAGATGGTGGATGAAGGCAGGGGAGACAATAAAACGAGAGAAAAATATGACAGAAAGGCATATCAGAGCAGTAATTTACATCCTTGTACCTACCGGGGTGCAACACTGACTCATGACAAGAGACTGAAAACTGAAACTGTAAAAAACAAAGTGGTGAAGGGGAAAGGAAAAGAAATCCTCACAATGACTGAGATAAGAGTGCTTTTCCTGTCAGAGATGTAGAAAACAAACCGAGTGGATCTGAAGTTTTAACAAGGCAGATACAAGAAAAAGAGGGTCAGAGCGAACAAGTCTGCCATTACAGACGCACCAGCAGTCCTAATGAGAAAGCACTCAGGCTCTGAGACGACAAGGCTTTCTACTTTGGAGGATATGTCAGACCTGCTCAGTGACCACAAGAAATGACACATTAATATTCAGTTACCCTGCTCAACATCCAATCAGTCCATCTGTGCAGGTAGGAACATGTCCAGAATACTTGGACCAGGGAAACCCAATCAGAGAACTGACTAGTAGCTGAATTGTGTTCACCTATAATATCTGTCTGTGGCAAACATGAGGGTGTCAAACAGTTGAATCCAGGCATCAGTGGAAGAGCTTAGTGAGGGCCTGTGTCTATTTACAGCCTTTTTGTACTGGCAGCGCCTATTTGTGTACAAACCAATGCAAGTCTGCGTTTTCAGTGACCAAACCTGATCTAACTTAACCTAACAGGAAGTGCCAGTGAGAAGAAATCTTGTGGTCATGGGTGCTGCTTGTGCAAAAAATGCTGTTGGTGCACACAGACCCTTAACCTTAAAAAATGCAGTTTGAGGACACAGGCCCTTAGTCTTTAAAAACACTGTTTGAGCACACAGGCCCTTAGTCTTTTAAAGACGCTGATTGAGGACACAGGCCCTTTGTCTTTAAAAAATGCTGGTTGTGGACACAGACCCTTAACCTTTAAAAAATGCATTTTGCGGACACATGCCTTTAATCTTTAAAAATGGGGGTTGTGGACACAGGCCCTTAATCTTTAAAAAATGCTGATTGTTGATACAGACCCTTAATAATTCAAAAAATGCTGGTTGTAGACACAGGCCCTTCATCTTGAAAAACACTGGTTGTGGACACAGGCCCTTAACCCTGAAAAATGCTGTTAGTGGGCACAGGCCCTTAACCTTTAAGAATGCAGCTTGAGGACACAGGCCCTTAGTCTTTAAAAAATGCTGTTTGTGGACACAGGCCCTTAACCTTTAGAAATGCTGGTTGTGGACACAGGCCCTTGATTTTTAAAAGCGCTATTTGAGGATACAGGCCCTTAGTCCTTAAAAAAATGCTGTTTGTGGACACAGGCCCTTGATTTTTAAAAGCGCTATTTGAGGATACAGGCCCTTAGTCCTTAAAAAATGCTGTTTGTGGACACAGGCCCTTAATCTTTAAAGCCAATTTTTGTAAAGATAAAACAAGACAGTCGAGGTAACAGGTACAATTAGAGGAGGATGTGTGACAAACCTGCCTACAGGCTGTTACACCAACCCCATTGTCATTAAAGCAAGTTCTACCTCAGCCAAATTAGAAAGTGGCATCTAAGATAGCTTATAAAAGATTCTGGGGTCAGTGACACCCCTAGGCCAACCCGCGCGAACACCCATGTGTAGGATGCAAACTTCTTTTTTGCTGCACACACAACATGAAGAAAAAGAACTCCTGCAGAAAATGTGCTGTTTTGGGCTTTTTTCGTCTGTGAACTTATCACAGAGATCATGCACAGATTGCATGAATATTCATGAGTTTTTTTCCACCTCAAATCAGATAAAAGTTATAAATAATGCCACATCCTCTGCTCTATTTTCTCTTTGGCTGCCTTAATGAGCCGCTTTCCAAATTAGTGTTCAATGAATTATAAATTAGCCTCCATGTGATCACCTTAATACCCTAATGACTGAACAGCTTTGCTATTTTAATGCACCGAAGGAAAAACTATTGAAGAGTTTCAATTACCTCACTCTTCAGAGAGCAGATTTATTCTGTTTCTGAAGCGATTGGTAACAGTGAGAGTGACTCTTACATGAAAACGTCACATCGTAGCGATTAGAGATACCCACTCTGCTGTGATTTCCTCAGGCTGTGTAGCGTCTTTGAGCAAAGGAGATGCCTTTTGTAGCATGATAACGACAAGATTACTATCTATAGGCGACTTCGTGTGATGTATTGTCCCTATAGCAACATGTTCTGCTGCTAGGTGACACGTTTCTATAGCAACTACCAGCTGTGTGCAATGGAATGTCAGGTATATCATTAATACTGTATCTAAATAACAATGAGGCAGGATATTCCAGTTTCACTGAGGGGGTATCAGATAAAAGCGAACCTTGAGGTAATGCCACATGGTTAAACTAGCCCACTAAATCAGTTAGAGGTGTCATCGAGTGGGTGAGGGGGGAGGTAAGGAGACGGAAGCAGGGGGTGCAAAGGTGGGATTGAAAAGGGGTTGGCACAAAGAGGCAATGAAAAATGGGAGACACGAGAGAAGAACACAGGAGGTGAGAGCAACAGAGGAAGTGTTTGCAGAAATAAAACTTACAAATTTTTGCGCCCTCAGAATTAATGTGTTTGCGCTGTTAATCACATTTTTTTTTCCTGCTTTTTGTGCCAAAGCTCTGCAGTTCTCTCTCAGATAATATAATCAGGAGACGGATGAGGAAAGAGATCAAGATAAGTGCAAAAAGAGGATTGGTAAGGCAGCGCTAGAAGAGAAAATATGTGAGAAATGGAGACCAGAAGATGACAGCCGGAGGGGAAAGATGGGGAGAGAGGGAACAGAGGAGGTGTTGTGATCCACATGGAACAAACACCAGGGACTTTTTCAACTAGAAAGTCACTGGAAACAGTTAATCTCAGTGACTCGGTTTGGTTAAAAGTGTGCAAAAATCTCAGGGATAAAGGCTTGTGTAAGAAAAGCAGCAAGAAGAGAAGTGCCAAGAGAAACGAGAGCTATGATAAGCACGGAACATGAGGAGGGACATATTTGCTCCATTATATCTGCCATTACAGGAACATTGGATCATGTGTTTGTCTAACCTGCTTTGTTAAGGTTAACTGAGGCCAGAGAGCTCTAATTGAAAGAGAAAGTACAGTAACAGCAGCAGGACAAACAGGCCCTCCTGCAGCTGCAGTTAAGGTCAGCCATCATTGCATCATGGAACTGATAGACCGCTCTCAAAACAACATGTATAAGCTATTATTAGCCTCTGTAGAGTTATTAATGTGCTTAGTTTTTCTTTATTTGGCGAAATTGAGAGGAGTCTGCTCTCTGCTCTGATGCAAAGACTGGTGGCATTTATAGAAAAAGAACAGAGAGCAGTATTCAGTCTTTGCACAACCTGCTCTCAACACTGCTTTTAACCTGAAACGCTGAATTGAATGGATTGTTAAGTGATTTAATGTCAGGGTCATACTTAAGTACTTCACTTCAGAGTACACCTACACCACCGTCAAGCATACTAGAACAGCCAGAGTTCAGGGCAGTGGAAAAGAGCATGTTCGTATGTTGATTGTATTAAACAAGAATAAGTTTTGAGTAATATTTGATGTTAATTTGCTTTATATTTGAAAAAAAACTACAAGAAGTGTTAAATTTAACATGTGACCTGTATACCTTCTTTAATGTGCCAAACACCATAATGAGGTGGAGTTTGTTAACCAAAAAACAGCGTTGTAACAGAGCTCTGGTTGTAATTTTTTCTACATATCTTCCTCCTTCAGCGTGACCCTTCTTTGAATAATACGTAGGATGCGTCCATCTCCATGACAGCAGGTTAGCCTTTCTCTATCGCCCTGGCCTGGAGTTTTTGGTCCACGTTGTTGGAAATGGGGACATCAATAACCCGAAAACGAAAAGTAGATTTTTATTATTTTGTTGTATATATTCTGTTTTGAACTGAAAATACAAAAACAAACACTAATCTTTTATGTTTTTCGGTTATATAGAAAAACAAATAAACAAAATATTGACTCATTTTTTCATTTTTCATTTACTAGATTGATTGAAATAATTGAACAATTGATGTAGAGTTATGAGGCAAGTTTTAAGACAACGGCTGTCCAGTTAAGGGGAGACTTGGAACGAAGCAACAACAAATATAATACCACGCATTTCATCTACAAGCATTAAATTCTGAAAGTACGTAACTGAAAAACAGGACAGAGGTATTTCCATTACCATGATGTGTAATCCAGCCAATACACCACAAATTGGTTAAATCACAGTGAGTCTGATTCTGAAGCAAAGTTGTAGGAGTGAAAAGTTTGAGTACGATCTTCACACTTCCTTGACTTTAGAAATTAGTCAACTGTCTCCATCTAAAAATGGTCCATTGTTGATGGTGTGGTTGCTCTGATGTCTCTTGTCCATTGTTATTATCTGGTTGGGTGGTGGGGATGTCTGAATGTCTCCTAATGTGCTGTCTTTGACCTATCTTGTCTATTTGATGTGTCTTGTACAGTCTGAAAAATGAATTTTCCTGAGTGGGGCAATAAAGTATAATCTAATCTTATCTAATCTAATCTTGAAAAACAAACAAATCCAATCCAAATGTTAAAATTTCAACCATCATGCAGTGCAGTTTATGATTTTCAAAAAAAGTCTATAATGAAATGACACTGTGTAGTACGCTTTGTGGCATTATACTAAATAGAATTGGACAAAACTGCAATTTTTATATTCAAAGACATTTTAATGTCTTTGCCAATGTAGCCTATAGGGTTCTCCAGCACATTAAACACAAATTGTCTGTACTTTATGTTACATTAATCAGTTAATTACTTTATCAAATGGGTTGTGGTTCAGTCACAACAAGAGGCAATTTAAGCATATCTTTGGATAATGTGTTTCAAAAAGCCCTGAAACCTGCAACTTTTAATGGAAAAAGTTAAAATGATTCTTTTTAAAGTTTTTTTTTTTTTCAGAATAACAAACGTGACGCTTTAATTTGTGGAGCTTTTCACATGAACATAATAAAACTTACTCTGGTACTGTGATAACACGACTCAAATAAAGCTAAAACAGCTCAAACAAAGAGGTGAGATGTTGTGTGCCAAAAGCATAGACATGAATCACACCGTGTTTTGTGTTTCTAATTTATTTTGTGGAGCCCTGCAGTTAAAGGTCAGAGGTCAGAGTCACCCACAATGTCTTAATCACATCTCGATAACAGAGCTATCCCACAAATTCCTGTTCTATAAGATAAACGTGTTTTTCACTCTCGTCACGCAACACCCAGGAGCTTCATCTGGATGGTGTAATGCATGCAGAATTTGCTTTTATCCCCCGTAGATCCCAGTCCCCTACATCCAACCGCCCTGACATCCCAGAGTGAGGAGCAGACATGAATCCTGAACCAGCTCTGCGCAGGAGATGCTTTAGAAGATGCCGGTATGGTGGCTTTTCAAAAAGGATTCACACTCTTGCCTGCAAGATTCATGCAGGATGTAAAGGAGCCACACTTGTGAATTACACATGCACAGATATTATCTTTGCACTTTTCACTGCGCTCGTGTTCATCAATTCTCTGCTCATGTGTGCAACACTGCAGCCAGTGGAGTGTTAACTGTCTAGAGTGCATGCAGAAATGGACCGAGCACGTGATTGTTGTCTCCATGCTCAGTGCTCTCCTGCTCGCAGAACTTAAACGTGCTCGTTCTTTGGTCGATCAGTTTTGTCAGTGAGTGGGCGGCATCCTTAACAAAATTAGCTGGAGTGGTACAGATTTCTTTTTTATGATTGGACTCTGTCGAGCTCCAACTGGATGGAGCTAAATTAGCTCAGTGAGGGAGTAGCATTAGAAGAACAATAGCTAAAACATTTGAAGCATGTCAGACCTGGACTTTTTAGCCTGGCAGTGGTTAACTCATCTGCGCTTTTGCGTGTCTGGGATCTTAACATCCTCCTTCTTATCATGCTCATTCTGTCCTTTGGCTTTTCAGACACTTTTACCCCCAATTTCCACCGCATCTGGAACAGCTACGAAAAGGCTGTATCCGCCGATCACAGCTGATCGTAACCATTCAAGTTAATGTGTCAATTTGCACCAGCTTCTTTCTGTTCCACAGACTCCACAGCTGATCGCAAGAGTTTTACTTTTTCCAGACCCCGGATCATGCTGCATAAATTCAGCACAGATTAGTCTGTGCTGGAAAAGAATTCCGGCACAAACACAAAATAAAACATCCAGCTTCTTTTAAAAAATAAAACCCTACATGTTTCAGGCGGATCGTATCTCACACCATGCCAATGAGCGGCGACGAACAGGTGAAAAGTTTATAGACAGCATTTCACCCTGAGGACACCATGGATGAGGAGATGCTAATTGTAGAAGTCTGTAAGTGGATTTCCTCTCATGGAAGGACACAATACACTACTTATAAGGTTACTTGGTTGTCTTTATAGAGACAACTCGTTATCGCGCGATTCGTATTCCATGTGAATCCCTGGGTTCTTGTCAGTTCTCGCCATTCCTGCTGTCCGAAATCCGCCACAAAATTCGCGTCACAAATGGATCCAGTAGAAAGTCTCACAGGGTTAATAACACCCTGGATGCTGAGATTGTCCCAAAGTCTGACATTGAAGAGGAGGAGGAGGAGACTCACATCCTCATTGTGGAAGGCTTTCTGCTTTACACCTACAAACCTTTGATCGACGTGCTAAACCAATGTTACTTTACTTCCATCCCATATGAAGAATGCAAAAAGAGGAGGTGCTCCACGAACTACAAGGTGCCAGATCCCCCGGCCTGTTTGATGGTCACATCTGGCCCATGTATTTGAAACACAAGAACATAACATCTAGAGGTAGATTTACTTCTCTGGAAGGACACAATCTACTGCTTATATGGTTACGTGGCTGTCTAAATAGAGACAACTTGTTATCCCGTGATTCCATGTGAATCCGCGGGTTCTTGTGAAGTCTCGCGATTCCCGCTGTCCATAATCTGCCATGAAATTGGCCTCACAAATAGATCCAGTAGGAATTGGCGGACAGCAAAAATCTCAACTGTTCCGGATGCAGTGGAAATTTGGGGTTACACACACCTGCTTCCTCCTGCTTCTCTCCCTGCTCTCCTCTCTCCAACTCATTGCCTTGCTGTAGTTCGTTCACATCTTCCAACACCTGAGTGGGACCGGGTTGTGGTGATAAATAATGCAATGTGTCCACCACAGCCCCTGTATTCAGAACCTGACAGCAGGCAGAGACAGGGCAGCTGCTATATTTGGAAAAAAAGCAGCTGTGTGGTGGAAGTTCAGTCAGTTTTGTAAGGTTCATTTCAAAGAAAGGCGGCTCTCTACCTGAATCCTAGATGGCATTAAGAGTCTTTTATGTACAAGAACATCGATAAGACGTGAACATGCCATTAGCCCACTTCTCAGGTTGAAGATGTGTGAAACTATTAAGGGAGTCAAATGAGGCCACAATATAACAAATGCACCATGGCAAAAGGCAAAGTGAGCTCAGCCACCACACACCCACACAGTCTGGAGGAGAGTCTAATCAGGCAGGAAGAAAAAACACACCTGTGGAGATGAATCTGGGTTATTCAGGAGCTTTTACAATAAAACAGTGAGGAAACGGCTCTTTTAAAAACTTCAATATTTCATATTTTCAATGCTGAGCTGTTACATAATGTTCAAAGTCCTGTTTTCTAGCTTGACATTGATTTGAGCCGAGCTGCTGAATCAAGTGAAATTAAAACACAATACCTGTGAGCTTGGTTTGTGGCTGAATCAGGCTTCTGAGTGATCAGACCTCTAAATGAACCTGATATAGAAACACGCCTGAAGTTCTCTTTAAAGAATAAAACTGCAAGTTCCCTTTTTATTTTGAGTAACGTGTCTTTATTCTGATCACAGGTTTCCTGGCTATCAGAGAGACGATGATGGAAGGACTTCTGCCCAAGAGGGAAAGAAGTACCAGGAATGAGCATCAGATAAACAGATAGCGAGCGTGTGTTTGTGCATTACTTCACTCCTACAGACTCTCGGTCAGGGGTGAGTCATCTGTCTGGAGAATATGTCACTTTGTGTTTTCACTCTGACCTTTCAGCAACACATTTTTGATGCGAGCACTTGAGTGTAAAATCCTGCGCCCTCCTCACCATCTTGTTTGCTTTTCATCCCCTCATTATACCGATGATACACACTGTCCTTTTTTTCCTAAGTCTTGCATCCTTCACGCCTCCTGTGATCAATCCGGCCTCACTCAAGCGAATTACGTTTTGAATTGAATCATCGGGTGCTGATGCCAGGCTTATGTGAGTGTGTATGTGAGTGTGTGTGTTTCCTGGAGTGAGCCCCCCTGTTGAACAGTAAAATGACTCACTTTGTCTTCCCCACACTCATCCTGCACCATGAGCCGCTTTGTCCCCAAGAACCAAACAGATTTGTTGTTTTAATTGGGGTCCTGGGACCTTTTGTAGATCCACATTTGGGTTAAAAAAATCCCCCTTTTGTTGTTTTAATCCCACTTGGATTGAGTTTTCCATGAGTGGAGTTAGGATTGAACAGTCACATATTATCAGGTCTTTACGTAAACTTCTTCAAAACTGATCGATTTACCTCCAAAAGCCTTTCAAACATCCTTTTCTTTTGAGGACCAAAATAAAGGGTAAGACAAGATCTCCACTTCACTTGAAGGTCTTGTCACCCTGATGAGATTCCAATTTGCATAACCACCCACTCACAATTACTAACCCTTATGGAAATCACAAGAAAATCTCTCTCATAGTGTTGGGTGGTATGACATTATAAAAGAGTCTATCGGTCGACATTTTGGGTAACGCTTTCTTTTACGGTACACTTATTACCAGGTAATTAACAGGTAATTACCTTGTAACAACATGAAATTATCTGGTTATTACACGATAACTACTAAGTCAATACTGTCTAGTTTTTGGGGTTCTTATTTTCTATGATTGACACTTGATACAGCCTATGGGCGTGCGAAGATTGCGTAGCGATACGCTGTTTGAGCCGAGCATTATCACAGTGACTCACCCGCCGAATGCGTACAATGCTACTGCGCAAGTGGTGGTTCCAGGAAGTGGAGAAAATCCTGGAAATACCAGAGCAATTCAGCTTCAAATCTGTATGATGATGGAAGGTTAACTACCTGGTAGCTAGACAGTATTGACTTAGTAGTTATCATGTAATTACCAGATAATTTCATGTTGTTAATATGTAATTACCTGTTAATTACCTGGTAATAAGTGTACCGTAAAAGAAACAGTTTATACCATTTATTGGTCAGGTTTGGGTGCGCTCCCTATAATCACCAGCGCGTCCAGCAGACTGCTTGACATAGTTTCGACATAAAATGAAACAGCGTCCCTGGTGGTGGTCATGGCGGGCACAGAGATTAGTGGCAGTGCCGAGCAAATCGAGGCAGCCCGGCCCACCCAACATGAGGAAGAGGAGGAGGAACTCATTCCGAAAAAGTCACGACATCGGTCGTCTGGAGATTCTTCGGAATAGAGAATCCGATAATTATCAAAAAACAATACTATGCAAAGAGTGTCATGTGGCTGTCGTTGCGGGAGGTGGAAACACCAACAACCTCTTCCACCACCTAAAGATGAAACACGTAAAGCTCTATTATAAGAGCCAAAAGATGCTTGGCGCACCCGCTGCACCAAAAACTAAAGTTGCAGCAGCTCCTCTCTGCCTCTCTGCTTTTCTTTCGCCAAACGTTCGCTATATGATAGAAAATCGCCAGGCTTATCTGGCATTTTGTTTGCATTTATGTACAAATACGAGGAAAATGAACAAATGCGACAGTATGGGTATTTTTAAGCCATTAATTGAATTTACAGGGGGAAAAAACACACCATGATATATACCGTTACCATGATATGAAGTTACTCATACCGTGATACAAGATTTTGTTCATACCGCCCAACAATAATTGGGTTTATGCCAGTTCTACAGAGTAACTTACTGTTAACAGTGAAACTGAGACTCACAAGAAACAGACAGTAGCTAAAAAGATTTTAAGCAACTAAGAACTGGCAGCTATAATTTTAAAGACGTGTATGGAGGGCTGAATTTAGCTTTCTTTTAAAGTGATTAAACAGTTGATTTTCGAGTCGCTAATGAGACTGTTAGCAATGCAACATATGGAAAAGCATCCTGCAAGAAAGCCCTCAAACACAAACATCTGTCTACACTGGAAATGTCTGAAAAGTTCACCATCACTTCCAGAGGCCACGTCATCATTCGAGCTTACCTGACTGGTTCTGAGATTTTCCTTAAACTGGCACCAATCTTATAAAACATTCTCAGCAGAAACAGTAGTCCTCTCGTAAATCAGAGTATTTCACTCACATGGGGTGTCTTGGATTAAATCTATTTATCAGTCGATGGTTTAAAAGCTTTCACATCTCTCTATGGAAGCGACAAAGTGAAGGAACTGCTGACCTAAGGGGGATTGAAACAGGATTATCCATTTAGAGGTTATCTGCGAAGGAGGATTAGCTCTAACGTCTCTTGACTCCTTAATGATTCCAAAATTAAACACTGATCATTTCTGCAAAAATGTTTGGCGGCGACACACGTCAAATTTAGCCCAGGGACTCTTCCTCGTCCTTCAAACTACTCTCAAGGTGAGATTACACCTCAGCCACAAATGTTTGTCAGAGACTGAGCGTTTGTACTGACAGCGGCTTCCACTCTCATTTAAGATTTCAGGAAGTGTATCATCAGTGAGATGTTTGACCTTCACTGAGAGCAGTTAATAGAAAGCTGTTTCCACTCCTGTTTTAAGATGAAGTGTTATTAACAACCAGGATTTTGTTTCACCTAAACTCCAGATAATTATGCTCCAGGCGGTAACTTAAATTGCGGCTGACGAGGAAAAAAGACTCCACAGACTGTAATTACATAAACACTGTCAATTTAAACAAAATTCAGACTATATTCAACAATATAAACAAACTGCAAACAAAAGCCGTCTGGTATAATGTTAGTAATGGGCAGATAGCAGCAGAAAAGTCAGAAACACTTGCAACAGAAAAAGTTGCACAACATAAAAGTTCCAGGTCTGTAAGATTGCTGAGTAAAACAGCTTTACTATTGACTCAATAGAAGGTTAAATGGGTAATAAATATGAAATACAATTATTGATTAATCACAAAACTGGAGAGCTGTGAGGGAAAAGCTTTGATGCTATTTTTCGACTACGAAGTTCAACAGATTTACAGCCTGGTACTAAAAAAACGATTGACTGGTATGGGTTAACTTCACCTCTTTGCCAGTTTCTAGATAAGCCTTCAGGTTGGAGTCACCATTTCTTTTTAAGTTAATCACCATCCATAACACCTCTACAGAATCCAATTGGTGACTTCACTGAGATTAAACTCCACTGAAAAACACTGTCACTTTTACAGCTCAGTACCATTTCTTTGTACGATAGGAAAGTTTAGTCTTTTTTATGTCCTTTCTCTGCCTGGTAATTTTAAGGTCATTTTAATCTTCTGGTTAGAAGTTCAGCGAGTGAATACAAGAGCATGTGCAGATAGCTTCAGCCAATTTCAGTTTGATAAAGCTGTAAACATAGACTGTATATTGAATGGACAGCGTCTGCCTCCTCGCTGGGTAAAGCCACTCTGAGAACAGCACCCTCTGGTGACGGGCTGCAGTATAGGTCATAAAATCCCGCCTCCGCCAGCAACAGTAACAGTGCCATCTTGGCGCCAGCATAATGGGAGTAACCTGGGATTTTCAACGCATCCAGAACGACTCTGATCTGGAATAGCGATTTTTGCCGTACGCCAATTCATACCGGATCCGTTTGTGAGGCGAATTTCGTGGAGGATTATGGACAGCAGGAATCGCGAGAACTAACAAGAACCCGTGGATTCCAGCACAATCGCGTGATAATGAGATGTCTTTAGCCATCTCCTCATTCATGGTGTCATCGGGGTGAAATGCTGTCCATAAACCTTTCACTTGTTCGTCCCCGCCCGTTTGCATGGTGTGAAATACGATCCCCCTGAGACCTTGTGTCTTATTTTGAAAAGATGACGGATGTTTTATTTTGTGTCTGGGCCCGACTTCCTTTCCAGCACAGGCTAATCTGTGCTCAATTTGTCCGGCATGCGCTGGCGTCCAGAAAAATTACAACTCTTGCGATTAGCTGTGGAGCCCAGCGATCTGCAGCAGAACGGAAAGAAGCCGGTGGAAATTGACTCATTAACTTGAACAGTTACAATCAGCTACGATCGGCGCATACGGCCTTTTTGTAGACGTTCCGGATGCGTCTAAAATTGCCAGTAAACCTGATGTCAAAAAACTGTATAGCAGTCACCACTGCCCATTAACAAAACTTAATTGAAACAGAAAAACTAGCAACTTTTTCAGCACATGGGCTACTGTTAGCTAAGTTCGCAAAACAAAATCAAGCAAAGCATTTATACGTCGTCCTCGTTTGTAAAATTGCCATTTCAATCAGGCACAAAAACAGAAATCTAAAGACTTACACACGCTAGGTTCGTCTCTACTGTCACTAAAGTGTTAAAATCTTTTAACTCATCCATTAGCTGAAGATACAGGTCACACAGTCTGCTCCTCTTCCTCAGTGTTCACTTATTTAAGTCACACTCTCAGCCTCAGACAGTAAGTGACCTCACATATTTATAAAGACTCCTACTATCCTCCAGGATTGTAAAAACAATCTGCTAGTTATTGCTGGTTTAAAGGATTTTTTGGCCCCCCAGTTAAGCCCCACCTACCAAAAACATGATACTGTTTACTCACACTGAAAGGCTCTATAATAGAGAGGATATGGGTCAAACCATTGAGAGAAGTGATCACATGAAAACTGGTACAAATCGTCCCAGATACACAAAAAAACATGCCATAGATGTTTTGGTCGAGATGGTAACTAAATGAAGACCTAATGTTAAACTTGTCTGATCATCAAACATTCAACAAAGCTCATAATTTATAGATCAGAAATAAAGAGTCTATCAGGCTGTCAGCTCGGATTGTTTCACAGAGTGTTTAGAGAGTTTGATGGAGTTCACAGTCAAAACTTGCTGCTTACCTTCGCAAAAAAAGCTGACTTTTCACTCTCACTGTGCCATTAGGCATGCAGGGGGATTTGGCGGTATCCCGGGGAGAGGGGAAATGCCATCTTCCACTTTGAAGGCTACTTCCACTAAGATGCCATGCCGGAGAAAATTAAGATGACAGGAGACAGCTCAGCTCCAATGTGAAGCTTTGGGAGAACAACACAGTTCCTCCTCACAGCAGAGATCCTCAATGGAGTCGGTGTAATGACATTATTTCATCCAGTCCGGGTCAAGACGGGACTACAAATCTTCAATCTGATGACTTTAGTCAGCACGGAGCAGGTTTTACGCCATTTGGAGAGTATGCGCACAACACTGTGCCAATTACGAATGAGGGGAAATCCTTTCACACAATCCGCCCATTTAAAGTCATAAAAGCTCTCCTGGTTACTCTCAGCCTTGGTTTATATTCCTTGTTCCCCGGGATGAAGACGAATCGAGCCGCGGATGTGACCTCCCTCCTGGGTCTAATGCGTAAAACTCGATTTCCTAATATTCCCCAAAAACTTGATTTTCCGTCAAAAAGGAGTCACAAATCCTCCGAAAACTGCTCCGAAGAAAGTCGTTCAGAAACCAGAAAAAACGTGGGACTGGTTAAGTGAAGGAAAGCGAGTGTTTTAGTGTAGAGAGAGAGAGCAAGGCAGCGCCATCCAAGCCCTCCAAAGCGCTTCTCCGCTTGTGGGAATGTGGCTTTCACCGAGACGTGTGTTTGTGTGTGTAAGAGAGAGAGAGAGAGAGAGAGAGAGAGAGATGGGGGGTGAATGGTTTGTGCGCGCTCTGGGAAGATGTATGCATGCGTTTTATGGAGGGGAAACAAGGCACCGTGCCATGCTTTGTGCGTGTGTAGGGCGCAGACGTTGAGGGGGTGACTGGTTTTGAGAAAAGGCAGATGAAGCTTTTAGTGATGCTTAAATGAAAAAAAGAACAAAATGATCAGATTGCAGATCTTGGACGTACCTCTGCAGATTCTGAATATCATCACAAAAACTTCAAAAAGTGTGTTTTTGCTCTTTTTTTTTCTAGCCTCAGTGTCTTTTTTTCATTCTAGACCCAGATGTTAGGAGTTATCAACATACACAGGGTGGTGTGTTTTTGCTCAGCTCTTCCTCTTCCACACACACGCGAAAGAGAAAGAAAGAGAGGCAGCAAAAACGTTGCAGATGTTGGCATGTGGATCATTTCCTGTATTTACATGCTGGGATTGATTCAGTGAGAAAATATCGCAGCTTGGGCAAAGTGTGGAGGATTGAAGACAGAGCGATTTGACAGTAAAATGTAAGTGTGTGTGTGAGAAAAAGAGAGCAGTATTTGTTCAGGTGGCACAGATTGAGTTGGGAATAAAACCCTCTGAAGGCGAGGAGACAGCTGAAAATGTACACCGCGTTCTTTGGATGCTATTCTCAACCTTAAACCTGACCATGACATACCTGACCTCTGACCTTTTCTCTTATTTTAACACCCTCCCTGCACATGCAGGACAATTAACCAAAAGCGGCCTCAAGCGTCGCCACTCTACTTTCTTTCCTCCTCGTGTGCAGACATCTGGAGCCAGTGAGATCATAAAAATCCTTATCTCGTTGACATCCTAACCCTTCGACTACTCTGAAGCACATTGCTGAGATTCATGTCGCAGCGGTCAGTCGGCTGCTGTTTTTACGCTCTGTGTGAGATGAAAATGAAAACAAGCTGCCGAGGGGGTCAGATGATGGGGAGAGAAAGTGTGGGAGAAAACCAGGAGAGGACAAACAAACAAAGCCTCACATTGTTGACTGTTGCGTTTCTTGTTTACGAGCCCACTCGGGATTATGGGATTTACCAAATGTGTCGACTTTTTTTGTGTTATACTTATTGTAAGCAGCTGTGGACAGGAGTCTGCAGCTTAATAATTAAAGGGGAGCTGTAATTGAATTTAGAGGGGAGTTTTTAGAGGAAAAGGCGGAAAAGGGGAGAGGGGGCGAGGAAGGGAGAATTTGTTAGTTTCAGCATTTCTCGCACATGAAATGAGGTTTTCTGGATGCGTCAAAGTGGGGTTGACAGCCTGTATGGGGTTATTTCAGGCTCAGGGGAAGGAGGGACATGCAGACAAAGAGTTAAACGGTTGCAACCTCTGATAATTTCATGATCGACTCAGCTTTTTTGAGTAAAATCTGAGTCGGCAGATGTTCCAAATGGCCATCACTGTGTCCCAGAAACCAAGAGTGATGTCCTTAGAGCTTCTTTTCTATTCAACTAATGCTCCAAATCTGAAAATTATTCATGAAGTAAAACCCCAAATATTCATATCTTCAAACCCCGAGACTTCATTTTTCTTGTCACGCAAAGTCCATCTTTTCTCTTGTCTGTGTGCATCTAAATCCTTACCACGAACCCTGACATGTGCTCACTCACTGATAATTACAGCCTCTCAGCTGCTAACACATCACGTTAACATGTAGGTCAATGAGCTTCAGTGTTGTCATGAGTGTCTCTGTCCTTCTCTGTTGGCTGCAGTGATTTGAAAACAGATCAGGAGGAGCTTGTTTGGATTTTTCTTTTTCTCTGGTCACAGCAGATGTTGTGATGTACACTCCCCCCCTGCACAGAGCCGCTCTCTGTTGATTCGTCTCCATCAGCCCCATTTTTCATCCTCGTCATATCAAGTCTGGAAATGATAACTCGCTCCTCGCCGTTATCAAGATGTGCTTCAGCTGTTGCATTTGTTTGAAGTCGTTAAAAAAAAAGGCTTCCCTTCCAGAAGTTTAGTCTTTATATCTCCACTGTGCTCCTTACAAGGCATATTTCTTTGTTGTGTAAGCTTATGCATGGGCGTAATATTTCATAGGAGCTATGAAATCCATCTGACAGTCTCTGAAGCATCAAACATTTCCCTCTTTCTTCTTTTTATTCTGCTCTGCTAAGATTTTGTTGTGCTGGCCTAAAATACAAGGATTTAGGGTCACTTTCATGGTTTTGAAATAATCAAAAAGGATTTAAAATCAAGGTCCCAGAGTCTGGAGGAGGACCGCAGAGGCTCAGAATCCAAGTCTGTGATGGTTTGGGGTGCCATGTCATCTTCTGGTGTTAGTATTCTGTGTTTTTTCAAGTCTAGAGTCAACACAGACTGCTGAGAAGTTTTATATAGACGTAGATTTCCTTCTCTGACAGAATCTGGTACCTGCCCACAGTGCCAAAACTACCAGAAACTGCATTGCTGACTACAGTATTACCAAGCGTTATTGGCCTGCCGAATGGCCTGACCTGAACCCCATAGGGAATCTGTGAAGTGTCCTTCACTTGTGGTCTGAGTTGTTCATACGCCCAATTTGGCATGTGGCGGTTGCCCAATATGTGGTGAATGTGGTTGTGCAGTTATTTAGTGTATGCATTAAAGGGATATTCCGACATAAAATTAATTTAGGGTCAAACACACCATAACACCGAGTTAGACACCCCCTCGAGAGATGAATGTTGCTGACAGCTTGCTTCTCTAGTTATACCAACTTTAGTAACGACCGCACAATAGCAATACACTCTACAGCCACAAATAATGCTCAGAACAGCACCTAACTTCATCAACAGTACATATAGGGTTCCAGCCATAGCACTAGCCACCAAACATCTTTTTAACTTTTCCTCATTTCTTTAGCAAAGAGACTAAACACAACTTACCTACTCTCTTCCAGCAGCCGCTTGTTTGTAGCGAGACCTCAGGCCAGTCCATTACGGACTGCAGCGGGGTGACGCAGCTCAAGGAAGAACATTTGGCTTGTGGCTAGGACCCTATATGTCCTGTTGATGAAGTTAGGTGCTGTTCTGAGCATTATTTGTGGCTATAGAGTGGCGTTTTGGTTAAGGTTTGTTTATGGCTCCTCAGACTGCTGTGTATTGCTATCATGCGGTTGTTGCTAAAGTTGGTATAACTAGAGAAGCAAGCTGTCGGCAACATTCATCTCTTTAGGGGGTGTCTAACTCGGTGTTACAGTGTGTTTGACCCTAAATTGATTTTACGGCGGAATATCCCTTTAATATTTGGTCCAGATTGTTGTAATTTTCATAACAAACAATACCACTTGAATGCAAAAACATTGAGACCAAGCAGAACTATATGAAAAGACTTATTTAAATTCAGAGAGATCTGTGTGGTTATTTTGTTTGTCAGTCAAACTGTGTATCACTACACACAAACACACAAGGGGATGAATAGTCAAGACGCCCACCTTGCTCCACATGCATCCCACCTCCTACTCCCCTTCTCTCTGTCACCATGGTTACAATGATGCAGGTTACCGTGGCAGCCGTGTAAACCCCACGCTCTCACAAAGGCGCACGTGCATGTGCTCCGCCACACACACCCGGACATACGCAGGTTGTGACGCTGACGGGTCGAATGAAGAGTTTCTTCAAGCTATTTGTAGAAGAAGGAGGGGGGAAGTGGAACTGTCGTCATTCCTGCATTCAGCCCCACTTCCATCTCAACATTTTCTCTGTCTCTTATCTGTGTTTAAATGATCAGATGAAACATCAAACAGTGAAAACAAAAATGATTTATGAGAGCATGATCTCAAACCCATACATATGTATGAAGCATCAGAGGCTTCTTATCTGTTGCTGTCAGTTCTCTGCATGTGGGTCTTATCATCTGGTGTCCCTGCGCTGGTTCTTCACTGGTAACCGTGTGTTTGAGGTCCCACTGACACCCAGTGTTCATATGAAGAACTGCAGGCAAAGATTGTAAATAATTATCCTCGTTTTTTTTTCTGTCAGGTTGCCAATAATAATCACTTCCAGAAAAAAATCAGGAGCTCAGCCAGTTGATTTCATGCTGTTAAATGCTGCATTATTTGATTATCAGTGATTATTTTGTAAATAAAGGTTGGAGAAAATTCAAAGCCTTGAGATATGTTGCTCTCTCTTGGTCTCGATTCAAGAAAAGCTGCAAATCCTGATTTAAGAGGCTCGGTGAAGGAAATATTCTTTATTTTTGCATTAAAAAAAGAGAGGGAGAGGAGGAAATGTGAGGAGAGGATGAAGTAAGTAAGATGGAAAGAGGCAGGAAACTGATAAGGCCACAAATTAAGAGAAAAGGGGAGTAAAGAGACAGAAATAAATTAGTTATTCATGAACTTTAACAGAAAAGAAAAGAGAATGAGACTAGAAATGAAAGTGTAATGTAAAACTGAATAGAAATACTCATCTCTTAAAGTCCAAATACAGGTTTATTCATGTTTGTTAATGCCTGTGAAGTAGACTACATTCTATATGTTCATACAATATGTTCACCCCTTTTAGGATTTACTCAGACTTCTTAGTAGTAATCCCATTTCTTTCTAATCCCTCCTCCCTCCCAGACGGGCTCACTCACACACAAATACTCACTCATGTAGCCTACTTTCTCACATTTAGACCTGCAGCCATTCATGTTGTTGGACTACTGCTGTCGTTGTTGTGGATTCACACTCATAAAACGCCATGGACCCTTCTCCCTCAAGGCTACACCCAGTGACACCTGGGTAGGGACACTGTGTAATGTTTAGTAATAAGAATAATGTGTTAGCATTAGATAGCCGTAGTGTAGCAGCAGCACTACACTAGATATATTTATGTGTCATAATGCGATTTTTAAATTAAATGTGCAGTATTTTAAAAAATATTCAATATACTGACTTGAATTTTTGTTTATGGCTTCCTGATGAGAGTCAAAATTTACATCCAGCCAAATTTAGCTTTTGAATTTATGCATTGAAGCTAAAATTAAATCTCAAACATGTTTTTTGCTGTTAGCGAAAGCTTTGGTAGGTTGGGGGATGAATTTGAAGTTACTTATCTGTTTTTAGGAGCAGGTTTTTTTTTTAAGTACAGCCGTTTCTGGGTGTAACAAACAAACCAGCGCCCAGCCAAAGCGTTTAGCTGTCTCAGAGTATTAGAATAAGCTTAGCCAGCCACTTCACTGCCTTCAGACACACCCACGTCCTCATGGCTGTAAAAAAAAAAAATAAGTACACCAGAGGGGGGGCTTTCAGAATGACCTTTAAAATTTCATCCAACTATTTAAGCAGAAAAATTAAACACAGAGACATTTTTATTCAAATTTTTTCTCCTCTTTTCTCAAAATTACTTTTTTTATCGACATGGTGCAAGTGAGGTAGAGGTGACTGTAGTGCGGAGGACAAAGTTAAGACAGTAAATGCACCATAATACAATAAATTGATTCCCAGAAATGCTGTGCTAAACAGGCAATCCTTCAAGTATGCTACATCGTCTTAGTTAATGGCCTATTTTCCTCATTAGTTAGACAATTAGACCATGCTAGCTGCTCTGAGAGGCTGTATTTAAGCACAGCTGCACTGTAGCACTCCAACAACAATAGCATGCTGATATTCTTATAAACACAGTAAACATGCTGATATTATTATACCTCTAAAGCAGCTCTACCTCTAAGATATCTTTGAGGCTTTCTACCTTGAAGAAAGATGCTGCGTTGGCTTATGTTTGAACCCAGACTTTAACAGAAACAGACGAAAACTGTATTGATGCAGAATATTTTGATAATGATTCAGCATAAAAACTTTATTTTCTTGCTAAAATGGCTAAAATACTTTTGTTTCCAACCCACAAAAAATGAGGATTAGCTGCTTTCCTTTACTTTTAGTCTTTTGCAGTGTTATAAATTCATTATTGTTTTAATTTGGGACTTGTCAGTTTCTTTTAGTGATTCAAGCAGCCATTATTTGCTAAATTAGACACAGTTTGCCTCTCTGCATCACAAAATTAACACTGTATCGACAGTAAAATAAGTGAGGAATGTTTTAGCTGAAGTCTCCCAGCAGATGTTTAACTTGACTCAAGAGGAACAGCACAGGTGTAACTTTGATTAACAGTACCTGTGCTTAATTAAGGTGTTAGCTGGGCTAACACGCAGGACTCCAGCACCAGAACACCTCAGCCTATTATTAACGCAATTTGTTTCCGATGTGTTTGACAAGCCAAAATCTCCACTGTGGGAAGAGGTCTGCATATTCCTCTTCTGCGGGTGTCTTCTAACCCATTTCCTGTAAGTGCTGCAGTTAATCATCTATGAATGGAGACTTAAGCAAGAAACTGTCTGCCGCTTCATCCTGTCATGAGCTCCGCTTTTCTGGGTCATGACGGAGAGGAGGGAAAAAAAAGGAGGGGAGCGGGGAATTTCTGTTTGCTTTGGGACACACAAAAGGCATCAAATAATTATGACGCATTCCAGATAATGTCTCCACCCGTTCCCTGGTGTGTTTTTTCTCATATTGAAAAGGCTTATGTTACTCCCATTTATAAACTGAGGCATGAAAATCTCATTGATTAATGTCTCTCATATACATTATTGATTTTCTGTGTTTAACCTTGCACAGGGTTGTAATTTCAGCTTTCCCCCCAGTAGTCTACTGAAGAAAAAATGAGCAAACATCTTAAGAAAATATCAGGAACAAATAAATTTTAGCGTTTTTATAAATTTTACTGATTGCCTCACTCTTCCTCCTCTCCTCCTCAGGTTGTCCTGCAGAATCTGTTGATGTGCATGGTGTGCTTCTACTCTCTATACTACATCGTGGTCAGTCTCTGCATCGGACTGCTCAGGTACGTGGAGTAAAGTCAAGTATACACCATAAAATTTCATAGTCAGGACGAAGTTCAATTAAAACAGATAAAGTAAGTATTCAAATAGATATTTGCGCCATTTTTTGCACATTTTATGACCCTCTGGTCTGTCCTCAGGGTTCACGAGATCAACAGTTTGTTGACTCCGTTTGACTACACAGCACAACCATCATGGCAGAACCCCAAATACCTCGGTGAGTAAATGTGAAAGTACTTCATATTATATATTGCTCACTTTTTTAGCACTGGTATAGATAAAGCTATAATAATTGTAACATCAATGAATCATGACTTAGATGTGACGATTGTGTGAATGTGAAGTATCCAAGTATAAAGAATTATGTTTGTTGTTTCTCTCCTTCAGTCGGTGTGATCTCCACAGAAGTCACTTATGTTTTGGGAGGGCTGGTGTTCGCTTGGATCGTAGAGGAGTGGGTTTGGGATTACGCCATCACTGTTACACTGCTGCATGTCGGCATGACCGTAGCAGGTAAATCCACACACTCATAGACACACACGGATGGATTCAAAGTAGATCATAGAGCGGAACAGCTGATAGGATTTGAGGCCTGGTTATGTAACTGCGTATGGTGGCTGTGATTTGAAGATGTGAGGAGACACTTAGGTACTTGCAATTATCTCTCTTTTGTGTGAAATTAGAGAAACAGCACAAAATTTAGACGCTATTGAAAACAGACGAACATCCTATTCATTTGCATCTTTTAAGTTAAATAATTCTGTGCTTATTCTTTGTCTTTCCACAGTGATGTCAGATTTCCCCTCAGCTGAACAATGGTGGATAGCTCTGGGTGAGATTTCTACTTGCCTCTTTTTTTTTCCCCTTCAACTCTTCCATGTTATTTCCAGTTCAACTTGCCTGACATGACAGCTCTACTCTGTATCTCTCTCAAACCCGAGATAGTGATATTTTCTCGAAGAAGATTTCCCTTCCTAAATCCCTTATTCCACCTCCAGACATCCCTCTGATTCATCTGCTGTTTCTTATGTACTCAATCTGTCTCCCCGCAGCTTCAGGCCTGGTGATGATGATATTTGGAGGACAGCTCCTGGCCTACAAACTCTTCAGAAGTAACTTTGTCTATCCTACTGAGCTACAAAACTTCTAACAAACACAACAGGAAAAGCTTTTAACTGGCTTATCTGTTAATCTCATAAAACCCGAGGATTCACTTTCAAAGATTGTGCTGCTAGTTTGAAATGACTAATAGTTTCAACAACAACAAGCACGCATGCACTGTATATATATTTCCTACAAAGATAGCTTTTTTATTAGTTTGCAGTTAGATCTCTCCTTGTAAAAATCGCCCGATCTGTCCATTAAACACCTTTGTTTTGTATATCTGTACAGTTGAAATATTATTTTGTACTGTTTCTTTACAAACTTTACACTGTAAGCTAAAAGAAATGCAATGTCTCCCTGTAGTGCTCTGTTACTAAACGTAGTCAAAAGAAATCTACAGGTGGATGTATTGAAGTTTTTTATATCTGAGATGTAGAGTTGACTTTAATGTTGAATGTGTTTGGTATTAAGAGTAGTTTTTGTTTGATAAACTGTCATTAGGCTACAAAAACAAACAAAAAAAGTTCAAATGAATAAATGGATCATTCATTAATCAAATTTAGGTGCTACAAGTGGGAAAAATCCACAACAGTTTTATTACTTGTTGTAAACTGTGTTGACATACATTAAATATCTGAAGCAAATTATTTTTGTTTCTGTATTTTATTTGTATTGTACTTTGTATTTTATGTGTTAAAAGAAAAGATGCTGTTGTGAATGGGTCAGTGTAGCAGCTGAGCAAAGGGCCGTGAAAAGGGAAAGGACAGTGCAGACGTCTTATAATAAAGGCCTTTACCTTTTACACACATATGCAGAGCCATGGGGTTACAGGTCTCTGACACCCCGGTGGCCACCTTGAAATCCTAAGCCATGATTAAGTGTTTGTCTCGTCAGTGGCGGTGCCTATGTTGGAATCAACTCTGGATTGTGTCAAACAGATTGCTAATAGCTTCCTAATGTGTCATTTTTTAAATCTTTTTCTAATACTAAAAAATATGGCTTTGACAGTCATTATAATTCTTTCATAGTTTTATTAGTTTATTGAAATGTTTCCACTCCACTGTGTTACTTTTTCAAGTTAAACATTAAAAACAAGATTTCAACAGTTTTTGGATTCTTTTATAAAAGAAGTTAAAGCAGAAGGGATATAAGGAGATAACCCACCTAGATTTGGGCTAAGCATTCTTCACCTGGCCACCCCTACAAGTCTTTACCCCGGTTTGGCCCCCTAGCCAAAAAAAGTCTGGGTTCGCCACTGCTTACTCAACCATTTACAATTTTGAGAAAATACTTTTTCCATACATGAAAGCCGCTTTTGAAAATATATTTGACATGAATTTATAGTTTTGAGCAGTCATCGTCTGATAATGCCTGTTTAATCCATGAGACGTTCAGTTGTCGTCAGTAAACCACAGTACTTCACCGCCCATTTGCTCTGTCACCTGAACTGAAAACCCCAAATGTTAAGTGCGAAAACAAAATAAGACGCCGCTTCTCATCTTGGTAAGACTTACATGGTCAATAAAGCTGCTGTATTTCCACAAAATGTCCGGGAACGGGTTGGTATCCAGTATCAGGAGGTTGATAAACGCCAACGAGCAGCAGAGAGCTCCGGTAAGTTTGTATGATAAGCGTTGGTTTGGCTAGCTAACTGTGCTAAATGCTAATAAAGCTATATAACGTAAGGTGTCTGAGTGCGGCCGATATCCGATACCGATGCTAATGCTATTGTTGAATAAAAGAACTGTATACCTTGCCCTGTGAGTGAAGGCATCAGGCTTGATATTAGCCTTGTTAAAAAAAAAAGTTAACAAATTAACACAGCTATAAGTAACTAATATTATTTATTAACAAATAACAACTTGCACATTAGCACACAGCAAAAATAAGTAGCTAAGACTTCCATGTATTACATTGGAATGCTGGATCGGCATTATTCATCCGATATCCGATCCAGTTAATTTGTCAATATCAGAGCTGATATCTGATCCAAATATCGGACCAGTGCATTCTTATTTTTACAGTTAAACTCCTTTGTCTTTGTCTACCCCTGTCCAACAGAAATAAGCTTTTTACTCAATGCAAAATTAGATTCCTTTCAGAAATGTAGTTTTATCTAATTTGGATGTTTGTTTTGTTCCTGGTAGGGTCCATTCCATCAGCTAGGCCAACAGATGGTTGATGTCTTGGGAGATGGAGGGATCCTGAAAAAGGTGATCCAGCCTGGTGAGGGTCCACCTGTCCCCCAGAATGCTTCAGTACTGAGTATGTATGAATTCAGCTTAAGTGTGAACAACCAGGTGAAGTTATTTGTCGAGCTGGTTTGGATTTGTTCTCATTTTCTTTCTCTACAGTGCATTACTCTGGTTACCTGGAGTACGCTGATCGTCCATTTGAAACTACCACACACCACAAGTACCCTCAAATGCTGAAGTTAGGGAGAGGTCTGTGATTCAGTCTTCATTCGCCTGTTATAATTTTATGTATTTTGGCCTATAGAGAGATCATGCACCTTGAATGATATTAAAGTCTGAATATTTAAAGAACTGGACTTATTGTTCAAACAGAATTGACACTGACCGGGCTGGAGCTGGGTCTGTTGACCATGCAGAAAGGAGAATTCTCCCGTTTCCTCTTCCAACCACAGTACGCTTACGGGGAGCTGGGTTGTCCCCGGCTGATTCCCGGTGCAGCTACAGTGCTGTATGAAGTTCATGTCCTTGATTTCTTTGACTCGGGGCAAGTGGACAACTTTGTTGGGATGAGTCCAGTGAGTGGCCTGTTGCTTTCTCAGTCTGAAATAGCACTGACATGTCAGAACATTGATGTTCACTTGATTGCAAATGCTTTTGTAACAGCATCAATATAGAAATTTCTCTTAGATTCTGAATATATTTGAAATTTTTACAGGTGTGCATTTTTGTTTATTCACATCCCTTTCTACTTTCACTCTGCAGGAGGAGCAGAACACTTGGCCTCTGTCCACCCTTCTTGAAGTTGTTACCACAGTGCGCAGCTTTGGCAACCGCTTCTTCAAGCAGAGCCGCTTTGAATATGCCAAAGATCGCTATAAACAGGTAAGTGAGTTAGTAAGACACTCTACACACAAACACCATGCTGTTTTTTGTTCAGTTTTGATTCACTAACTTGATTAATTGATTGGTATTTCTGGTAAAGTTAAAATGTGTTTAATACTAGATCCTGTGACTTTTGGGAACAGGGCATGACGCTTTTGGGGAACAGGGACGTGCAAAATGATGCAGAGATGGAGAAGATCAAAAAAGCTCTGCTTCCTCTCTATCTGAACCTGTCTCTCACTGAGCTCCGCTTGGAAAGGCCGCACAAAGCCCTAAAGTACAGCAACAAAGCCTTGGAGATAGACTCCAAGAACACAAAGGCTCTTTTCCGCTGTGGACAGGTCAGTTTGGGATTTGCTCTTATGTACTACCTAATCGTTGGATAGGAATCCAGAGGCCTTTTCAATGTATGCCAGCAATTTTCAAACTTTGTTTTGATTCCATATATACACTCAGTGAGCAATGGGGTCAAAGGTCACTCTTCCCTCTCCCTTTGGGTTAAACATGCGGGTAATTGTTCACACTACAGAGAACAATTAGTCCATTATTTGGAATGATGTAATCTCCACCCCGTCAGGCGTATCTGGAGCTGCATGAGTACGAGAGTGCGCAGAATTGCCTCATAACTGCCCAAGAAAAGAGACCCTTTGACTTTGACATCAACAACCTGCTGAGAAAGGTGGCAATGTAAGTCTTTTCTGTTTTCATTCATACATACATGAGAAGCTTAGAATGAGTCTGTTTGGCGCAGTTCTTGCTTTAAATTCTGTCTTTTTTTATAGTTTAAATTGGCAGACCCACTTTAGGCCACAATGGTTGTTGTAGATAAAACATGCATTTGAATGTCTTTCATGTTTCAGGTGCCATAAAGACAGCTTGGACAAACAGAAAGATTTGTACTCCAAGATGTTCAGACACTTGAGGAACTAGTGAGCTGTAAAGATGAGTGAAAAGGTAGGAAATGCTGTTCACTATCATCCCTGGGCTCATAAATCTCATCCATTCTTTATCTGCTTGTGAATTTCCCTTGCTTACTCATTAAACTTAATATGCTCTTTTCCTATTTTCCTGTCCTGTGTGTAAGCTTTGCAGACGGATTGATCTCAATCTTAAACTCTTTTTGTGTTACAGACAAAGAAGCAAAGAGCATGTTTTTCCTTGAGTTCAACCGTTAGTGTTTTGCCTTGTTATAACAGAATAATTTAAGTTATACTTTTGTTTTTTTAAGAAGTTATTTCTTTAAAATTGTTCAGATCTTTGGTAACAATCACACTCAGTGGCTATTTTTGTGCAGATGAAAAGACTCTGTTGACCTGCATGGGCACTGTTAAACATTTCCACTGGGTCTTGTGACGTTTTTGGTGATAAAAATAAAAATATCGCACACTTCTGAGATGCTTTGACTTTGTGCTTTTATCAAAGTATAGCATTTATTGCGCATGTACTGCATGAAGGCTCATAGTTTTATAATTCACACTGACATGTAGAAGATAAATGGATTTGCATTTGGGTGGAATTAAATCACTGTTGTTGCATTATGCCAAACTAACACCAGGAGGTGCACCTGCAGTATTTCAGCCTCTACAGCAGCAAACTGTGCTCTTAAAATTTGATCTTAGAAAACATACAATCTCAAATGTTTAAACAAAAGTAAAAACAAACTCCAGGAACTGCATCAATGTGATCAAATCAATAAAATCATTACTTTGATTTGATATTGCACATATCAGAACATGCATCGAGCTTTTTCTGGAGGAGATACTTGAAGTGCACAGAAACAAAAAAGGAGTGAGTGATAAAAATACCGCGGTACTGGGGGGGTGGGGGTTCAGATGACAGAGGATCAGATGTGGGGAGGTACAGATGGAGGAGCAGCAGAATCTGATTGACCTCTTTGGCTAATCCACTTTTCACAGTGTGTGAGTGCTATAGCATCATCTCCCGGCAGCACATGGCCAGCAGGTCGTACTCTGTTAAAGACCGCTTAGCCGGACGAAGGCGCAGACAGACACAATGGTCTCCAGGCTCGTCTACTACCTTCATCTCAGGTGAGGAACCAGAGAGTGAGACAGGATCTGTGTGCTCTGATACTGATCCGCTCATAACCCTGCTCATTTCTCTGTGTGTGGCTGCGCCCCTGACATACTGTATGTGTGTGCTGCTGTTCATCTGTGTGTGCGTGCAGTTTAAGGCATCTGTTCAACAGTATGTCGGCAGTGTAACACTTTACAGTCTGGCAACTGGATGTTTGTTAATTTAGATATCTGTTATGGAAATATGGGTAGTTACTGATCATGGCTTTTTAGATCAGGGGTATATTTTCCAGGACTGACTAATTTATCAATATCCCGCTTTGCTTTTAAACTATGATGTGTATAATTCATAAGGTTTTAAATCAACTTGAGGAAACATTTCAGGTTTTTTATAATTCTTTCTGCTACACTTGGTAGGTTTGACATGCTTTACTCCATGACCTACCTGCATGAACCACTTGTACAACAAGATCCTTGTGAATACTTTTAAAAACCCAAACTCAGGTCAAGCAGTCGTAAAAGAAAAGTTTGATATTGGTTAAATTGATTCACATGGAATAAATAAACTACCAAAGAGGGACAAAACAAACTTAAATAGATTACTTTAGATGTCTTACATCTGTTGATAACCGCTTGTTTGTTTTGGCTTGTAGATGTCAGGTTTGGTTTGGTTTGGAGGCTTGTGTGTTCTCGGTATGACCTGATGTGGTCCATGATTATTTGGATTGACCAGGACAGCCAAGGAGATTACTCTGAAACCTTGTGTGTTTGTGATGTCTGTCCCTAAAGTTTGAAAGATCCTGAACTCACCACTAAGGCACTTGTAAAGAGCTTAATATCAGGACTTTATATTCATAGTTTGATTCAAGATGTGAAATAGATCACAAGACACTATGGGCAAACATGTATGTTTCACATGTTTACCGCATATGCTCTGCAGTTCTACAGCATTTTGCAAAAAAAATCCAAAAAACATAAATACCATTTTGGTAGAACTGTGCACAAATGTAAACAATATAACAGTACATATTACTGTAAACTGAACATAAATTATTCCTGGACATTCACAGTGGTTCTCCCTACATTTAGTTGCATTCGTCGACCAGTCTCAGCCATAATGAGGCCATTACTGACAACACAAGTCAGTCACGGCCCTAAAACAAGTGTAGCCCTAAATTCATCAGTGATTTGCTTACTTTACCTCTTCTTCTACTGCCCTTGTTTCATCCCCTTCCCCTTCCCCTTCCCCTTCCTCCCCGCATTCTCACCCCTCCTCCACGACGCTGAGCTTCCATTTTTGCATCACAGAATTGTAGAAATGGTACACACTATGTCCTTGCTTGCCAAGCGAGGGTTCATGGGATTCAGCTCTGAGTGACTGTGGACAAGTGGTGGTCATTGGTCACAACTCCTCATGAGTGAAAGCTGAGGTTGGCCCGAGAGCAACTGTTCAATTTAAGAGACATTTTCAGAAAAAGAAAATGATAAAGGAATGTATGAAATCAACTTAATCAATGACTCAAGCAATGAAATGAGGACTTTTAGTTTTATAGGGAATGACTATTCAGCATTCATAAGTACAGCTCATTTTGACTGACATGACAGGAGCAAATGATAATGTTATTTAACAGCAGAGAATTGTATGAAAGTAACTGATACATGTCCAAGAGCATTTGCAATTTGTTTAGAAGACTCAATGTTGTGGAGGTTGAACTAATAGTTTTCATTCCGATGTGAGAAATGCACCAAAGCGACTGAGACAAACTGTAATGCTTTTTGCAGCCCCATGTGAAAGGTTACACCAGGAAGTAGTCAGTACCTTCATCCAACAGAAGGGGGCGCCATCACCTATGAGACTCTACTCTGAGTTTAAATTCTAGCCAATCCCCGTGCTGTGAGGTAGATGTGGTCCAGCCCCTGTCCAGACACACACACACTCATCAGGACACACACGGACACACAAAGTTGTGGAGAAAGACGAGAAGAGAGACGTGAGAGGAGTTTAGTGTCAGCATGAGTCGGAGATATAATGGAAGTTATAGCGATGGATGGCACAGATAGATAAAGACACAAAGGTGGGAAAAGTGAGTGCTTGGATGTCAGCGGGGAAAAAAAGAAGAACCGGAGCAGAAACATGAGTCGACAGCAGCAGGAGTCGCAGGGAGTGGTTTTAACGGGTTACCACAGCAACGCCGAGCTGTTGCCGAAAACTGGACCGTGCGTCTCGAGCTGTCCGTCAGCACAGGGGCACGAGCCCAACCTGCACAGGTGGGACACATCAGTGTTGTTATCGCTTTAAATGTGGGCGGCAGGTTTGTGTTTATGTGAGTGTGAGTGAGCAAAGGTCGCTGCTCTGGATGTGTTGTTCCTCAGTCTTTTCGGCTTGGAGCATGTTGGTGCAGAAAACTTGAATTAAAGTAACCTCCTTTATCATGCTGACTGCATCCTTTCACAGATAAAGTACATAGTAGTTTACTCACTTCAAAGCAGAACCTGGGTAGCTACACCTAAGCAGGCTCTTTTCATGTTGGGGCCATCTCCACCCTTGGCCTTGGGTTATGTTTTTTCCTTTTTCGTGCCTTTCTTATCAGCAGGTTCACCTTGACTTTGTTACACTAGCTCAGACTTGATCATGTTTACTTAGACTCCACTGTAGCTCTGAGAAACCATACATTTCCTCAATAACATTAGGCTGATTGTGTCCTTATGGGGCAATGATTGCTGTATTGATATTTTTAAGAAAATATTTCATGGTTAAGTTTGCTCAGTTTGTGGTTTGAATGAGTGGAAATTCAGTGTTTTGGGGATTAAGACCACGCTTTAGCGCCGAGGAGATGATAAAGGGCCTAATTTCACATTTGATAGCAGGATGATGCTGACCTCTTAATTACAGAAGACTAGGGCTGTGTCCGAAATGAATCACTCAATCCCTAACCCCTAACCCCCATATGGGATTTTACTTTATAGCTGACTATGTAGTGAACCCAATCACCAGAGGTTTCGGACACTACATGGCATGACGGGATGCCCACCATCGGTGAGTGACCATCGGATGGTCACTTCATTTTGCAATGCTTTATGGGAAATTTTGAGTCGCCTATATAGGGCACTGGAATTGATTACTGAGGTTTCGGACACTCCTCAAAATGGCGCTAACCCCCATGTAGTCACCTATATAGGGGTTAGGGATCCATTTCGGACACAGCCTAGATCTCCAAAAACAACTTAATTCATCTAAAAGGATATTCCGGCATAAAATTAATTTAGGGTCGAACACACCGTAACGGTACAAACAAGCGGCTGCTGGAAGAGAGTAGGTGAGTCGTGTTTAGTCTCTTTGCTGAAGAAATAAGGAAAAGTTAAAAAGATGTTTGGTGGCTAGTGCTGTGGCTGGGACCCTATATGTACTGTTGATGAAGTTAGGTGCTGTTCTGAGCATTATTTGTGACTATAGAGTGGCGTTTTGGTTGAGGTTTGTGTGTGGCTCCATAGACTGACGTGTATTGCCATCGTGCAGTCGTTACTATAGTTGTCAACTAGAAAAGCAAGCCGTTGGCAACATTTATCTCTTGAGGGCGTCTAACTTTGTGTTGTGGTGTGTTTGACCCTAAATTAATTTCACGTCGGAATATCCCTTTAAGAAAAAGTCAGAATTATAAATGTTTAAACATGGTATGTCCATAGGAAGTGGGTTTGCCATTATGCAAGGATTCTCACAGTAGGAGCAGTGTCCAAAGCAGGTTCTTCAAAGTTGGCCAAGAGCTGTACCATAGGTGTGTAAGGTTTTGGGTCACCTAATGGTCAAAGATTTTCACTCCATATGAAGAGGAAAACATTGTCAAACTGAAAAAATCTGATGGTCATTTTGAGTCTCCTGAATGGCTGCAGTTTCTCCTGTCAAAAGTTATTCTCTGAGAAATTCTTACAGTGAGGTTGAGGGAAAAGACACATTTGGAGTCACCGTCGCAGAGGAAACTCTGAGCAGGAACTGCTCTCAGATGGAAACAGAGTCTTTTATTTATAACCAAAGTTCATTTGTTTATTCCTTCAGGCCACACTGTCTGAGAATCCAGTTCATGTTTAGGTCTACAAACAACCGCTGTCAACAACCATGGTGTGCTGCGAGTAAATAAGTCAGAGTGTCCCAGCATTCAAATGGACACACCTGCATCTGTCTCTGAGTGTGTATACAGTTTATTTATGTGCATGTGTATGTGTGTGTTCCAGATGGCTCGTCCAGCTAGCTGCAGAAAAACAGCATCACATTACAGCCTGCTTTTGTCTCACCTCCCACAGAAGAGTGTGTGTGTCCTGTCTAGGCTGACATTAAGGCTTAGTTTGGAGCTCATTGTTTCCCCTGGTCAGGAAATGAAAGACAAGGAGACACAGTCAGAAAGACGGACAAAGAGACAGACAGGAAGCTCCTGGACTTTTTCCAGCAACGGACATCTAAGCTAAGCACCCTCTGGTTATGTGTCTCCCGGGAGTTTGACATGAGGATGTATTTCAGTTTGAGTTTTGGCGCTCTTATTTTTGCCTTAATGGGCGGCATATCTCTATTGTGTTTTCCATTGTGTTGTATTTCCACCTTTTTGTAGTGTGACTGAGTGAAAAAGTAGTCAGTGGACACACATGGTTTGGATTAATTCACCCTGTGGTGCAACAGAGAGGCAGCAGAAACACAATGCCTCACAGGAAATGACATCTGCAGAGAGGAAGACGAGCTGTGAAAGGTTACAAGATGCTAAACCGGCAAGTGAAGAAGGAAAGTCAGGGTAACCACGACTCAGATTCAGCCTTGCCACGCTTTGAAAAGGACAATATCTGGAGATGCAGATTCAAGATAGACTAAAAGCTCAAAGGAACAGATAATTTAGTGTAGTGTAGTGTAATTCGTCATTGCCAAGACTGGTTACTTTAAGAGGGGAACACAGGCAGCCTCTGTTCTCCACAGAGGGCAGCTGGCACCTGTTAGTATGAATAGAAATACCACTAATACCATATCCTCCTTCCCTCTCTTATACTGGCAGCAAAACATCCTCAGCTGTCCATTGTTGAACAACAACCATCTCCATGACTCATCTAAAAAGTTTTGCACAGTTGGCTCAACTAACCTATATACACTTTTTTTCCATCTGAAAGGAGAAAGTAGGTGAAGGTATTAGTGGAGGTCCAAAAATTAATCAAATGATCATTTTTGTCATAGATTTAGCTGCCAAACAGGGTGTGTTATCATTATTTGTTGCACAGCTGAACACAGTGGAAGTCTGTCGATTCCATGCAGCATCTATATACAGAATAATCTCGTTTTAATCAAAGACTCGGGTGGACTAAGTCTCCATCTGCCAAAAGAAAACTAGTTAATTAAATGTTTGTTTGAGGACAGAATGAGCAAAAGGGAAGAGATGAAAACGGCTGAATAAGCAAGAGAGATGAACGACAAGAAAGTGTTGTACAGAAGTTGTAGCGACTGCTTTCCTTCAACAAAAAAGGCAGCTGGGGTTCAAGTTCGCTTGCATCTGTAACGCGTTTGAATAATCAGTCCGGAGGAAAAGAAAACACGTTGTGCCGGGTCTAAAACTGTGCCTTCAAATGAAAAGGTAATATACTGAAATGAGGTTAAAACAGGATGAGTCGAACAGTGAAAAACGATGAAGGAACATGTCATGGATCCAAGCAAACCTAAACCACAGCTGCCTTTTTTTGTTGAAGGAAAGCAGTCGCTACAACTTAGTCAACAGAAAATTATCAGAGCTTATCACGATCGTTGTCTGGCTACACTGGTGAGATTTAAATAACCCGCCAAACATACCAAAACCACGACCATTTAGTGGCGATCCCCGCAAGTGACGTACCAAGAAGAAATCAAACTCAACAAATATATTTTGGCTTCTACAGAAGTGATGATGGCATGAACTGGCAACTCAGAGGATATGGAATAGTTTTAAAAGCTGACAAATAACAAAGACTGAATGACGAGGCAGAAAAACTCAATGAAATGCTTCACCGATTCATGCAGATTCACCTTGTTTGACCTCCCCACCAGAAGAAATGTTATATTGTTCATTTATAAATTGGGTAGCCATGCTTTAAGCAACAATAACGGGTAATCCTCAGGTTCTGTCAAAGCGAGACGAGAACCCTCTGAAGGTTTTGGGGTCCTTCTGTCCCTTCCACGTATCCAACCTGCTGGAACAATCTCACTTTTTGTCATCCCATACTCAGCACCTGAAAGCTTAAAAAGTTTCCTCCTGACTCACTGAGCTCACAGTGCTGCTGTAACTTCTTGTCCGCACCTCTTCTTGCGTTATCTGCTTACACACACAACTTTACTTTCAGTCCACGGCTCTGAGCCCGTGATAAAAGGCGAGGATAAAGGCACACACAGTCGAACAAAAACACAGAGGGGCTGCTTTCCTTTAGCGGTTGTTTGTGCAAAAGAATGTGTGAAAATGTTTGTTTTACTCACAAAGGCGGCTCACCTGACTTCATTGAGAGTGTGTACAAGAGCAAAGCCTCGTGTACTATTGTGTGTGAAACTTAAAGTATACTGTTTGCATTTTTGTGTTGTTTTTTCACCGCTTGTGAGGATAGATGGCCCCACTCCAAATCATACACACACCTCAACACCTCTGTATGCTACTGTTTTTGTAAATCATCGAAGGATACATTTAGTTACTTGTTATAGATAAAGATTGATTAATTGACTGGAAGTATTGGTTAGATTGTTAAAGGGATATTCGATGTAAAATTAATCTAGGGTCAAACACACCGTAATACTGAGTTAGACATCTCAAGAGATAAATGTTGCTGACCGCTTGCTTCTCTTGTTATACCAGCTTTAGTAACGACCACATGATAGCAATACAGAGCGGTCTGAGGAGCCATAAACAAACCTCAACCAAAACACCACTCTATAGCCACAAATAATGCTCAGAACAGCACCTAACTTCATCAACAGTACATATAGGGTCCCAGCCACAGTATTAGCCACCAAACATCTTTTTAGATTTGGCTAATTTCTTTAGGCAAAGCGAGACCTAGGACTAGTCCATCATTGACTGTTGTGGGGTGACGCAGCTCAAGGAAGAACATTTATGATCATTTCTTCATGGAAATGCAATCAGACCGAGACGCTAAGGCAGAAGAACTACTGCATCTGCAGTGCAAAATGATTAATATGATGATTATTACTTCAAGGAAATGATAAAGTAATGATCATAAATGTTCTTCCTTGAGCTGCGTCACCCTGCTGTAGTCTGTAATGGACTAGTCCGAGGTCTCGCTACAAACAAGCGGCTGATGGAAGAGAGTAGGTGAGTTGTGTTTAGTCTCTTTGCTAAATAAATTAGGCAAAGTTAAAAAGATGTTTGGTGGCTAGTACTATGGCTGGGACCCTTTATGTACTGTTGATGAAGTTAGGTGCTGTTCTGAGCATTATTTGTGGCTATAGAGTGGCTTTTTGGTTGAGGTTTGCACTTAAAGACAGCTGTGTATTGCTATCGTGTGGTTGTTACTAAAGTTGGTATAGCTATAGAAGCAAGGGGTCGCCAACACTCATCTCTTGAGGGGGTGTCCAACTCGATGTTATGGTCGGTGCGCTTGACCCTAAACTAATTTTACGCCGGAATATCCCTTTAATTTGCTGTTTGTGAGAAGTAAGGCATTCATAGAAGGACATATTTCACCCTGTTGTCAGGTCCTTACATTGAAAACCCTTAATTGGCGTGCAAACAAAAGTCAGAAGATGATTAACTTTGATTCAACCTCTGAAGTACCAGGAATGTTTGCAGTATGTCTTCACAGCCATGTATCAAACAGTTGTTCAGATATTTCCGTGTTTACCAAAGTGGCAGCAGAGGTTTATTTCTCAGAGCCTCTTAACCTCACTGGCGTAGCTAAAAATAGCACAAATGTAAGCCAGGGAGGAGCACATCAATAAAGGAGAATCACATCAGGGAGCCAAGCCAGTATGTACAGAGACGCTGCATTGTGAAGAGATAATCCGCCTTTCAGTCACTCACAATGCTGTAAAAAATTATTAGTGTGTTAAAATGTTTGTGTGTGTGTGAGAGTGTGTTTGCTAATGTGTGATTTATGGTTCCTCAGATTGTTGCTCTGCATTAAGGTCAATGATTAACTCCCACTCTGAGGTCATCTCTACTTCAGAGGCAAACGCCTTAAGTCTGAGTGAAAACAAGAACATTTCTGCCATTCCTCATCAATGAAAACATCCAAACTGCTGAGTCGTGAGTGAAGCCAAGAAGAAAAACGACCCCCCTAGGTTTGCTGTTGGCGAAACAAAAAAGAGACAGACGGTATGTTTCGGCTTGTGTTATCACTCAGGGGGTGTTACGAAACCCCCATGGGTGAAGTAGAAGTGAGAGGAGGAGGAGGGCAGAAATGAGACTCAAAGATAAGAAGAGAGAGAGAAGAAGGATTTTGGTGAGATACTTGTTCTGGATCCAGATCAAAGTGTTGCACCGGTGTTTTAAGTGTGTTCAAAGTGTGTACGTGTGTCAGGAAGTCTGCTGTGGTATGTGACCTCAACTCAGCAGGAGCCCCTTAGGCTAATACCCTACTGTTAACTCCAAATTAATTAATTCAGGACATTAACTCCATGCTGTTTTTGTCTGACTGCCCGGTGAGCCTCGCAGGCTGTTTTGATGGCTTATTATCCCAAACAAATCTCTAACTAGAACTCTGTGTTTTACATTTCTACTTCAAACTACAAATACTGACCATAGAGTATTTCTTAATTGTTTACGTCTCAGTATGCTTAATCTTGTCTTGAACTTGACAGAAACAGCTGACACGTCCACTTTCAGCTGTAGCTGCAGCATCAGGGATTTAGTTTCTTCTTAACTGTGCTGCTGATACAAATACACAGCCCTGTATTTTTCCTCACTGTGTGTTTGAATAGCAGAGACCAGAGCGATGGTTGCATGAAGCGCAGAAGCTGCTCTACGGTCAGATGTACGTGAACAATGCTGCTCAGTCCTTGATAACTCTGCAGCCTGAGGTGGAGGATGAACACAGAGAATGTGCTGAGTTCGAGTGCCTCTTCCTGTCTGAACAAAGGAAGCATGTAGTCGGACATTGTCGACACCAAAAAGGGACTCTTGTTTCCTGAAGAGACTAACCCTGAAACTGTCATAAGGCCTGAAAGCATGTCTGAGATGGAAAAACAACATAAACAGAGTCAAAATTCACATTTCTAGGTGATGTAGGTTGTGTGTTTGTGCACAAAGCTGACAGTATTTCATATGTAAATTAACTACCTGTTTTTTTTTTTTTTTTTTTAAGTAAATGGAAAGTCAGGCCCTGCCTCCCAAAGTCCCTGGGCCATTACGAAGTACTGAGCGGGGGATGTCCAAGGGGTTGAACTAAATTTACATCCTTGTTCCTGGGAAAGTTCCTGCGATAAGGGTTAGAGTTAGAAAAGCAGATTTTGGCTCTTGTGTGTTTTTAATGTCTAGGAGCAATAAGGGGGTTTGTTTGTTTGTGTGTTTGTTTTCCTACCACATCCATTACCCGGCCTGTCATTTTCATCTCTGCCTGTTGACACTGTGGCAAAACATTCAGTTTTTGTCTCAGTTACTGGCCACAGCAGCCAACAGGAGCAGAGCTGATATGTACATCTGTAATTTGCTAAACGCTGATGGTTTAAGTTGTGGCATTTGTGGGTGAAGAGCTGAACCCTGAGAATGAGGAGAGCTGAATGAGACAACAATACAAACAGATGTTCCTGCAGAAGTAGTGATGGGCACGGCAGTTCTTTTAGATGTACTGAATCACTAGAATCAGTTCACTCAAAAGATTTGTTCACCGAATCACTGAATCATACAGCGCTTGGTGGGAGGAGCCTGCAAGAATTCGCACTGAACATGCACCGTTCCTTCAAGAATCGCTGCAAGGATAGGATCAACCAGTCACGCATTTCTCAAACTGCGGGTTTTCTTCACTACTTGTTACATGCTGTGTCCTACTGTATGCAAGTTGTTGTGGCAATTAAGCAGAGTTAAAAAAAGTCTGTTTTCTCTGAGGTACACTATCTCCCGCCATCACTCCTGTCAAGTTTGTTTAACTGGGAACTAAATCTGTGAAAACAATGGGGAACAACTATTCCCATGAAAGTGTGTCCCTTAGTGATTCAGGCATCGGCACGTGCGGTCCCTCGCTCGCCGGCTGCTTACCCAGCAATGCTGCGTGCTATAAGCTACGCTACTGACAGCTCAATGAACGAATCACTTGAGGAAGTGATTTGGTTCAGTACGTTCACTTAAAAGATTCAGTTCTACTGAACAAATCGTGATAAAGTGACATTCAAGGGACTTAATATTTGAGCTTGGTTATCAAAGTTTTTAATCAATGAAATATTTTGTGTCAACTTGATCAGGTCTATATTAAGTTACCTTGGCATTAAGCAAGTAGGTAAGAGAAGACTGTGTACAAATGTGTGTTTGAAAATATAAAGATATTCGCTGCACAGTAAGAATCAGAAAAACATTTTAGTTTCGATGTTTCTGTGCCAGTCTTGTCTCATCTGTGTTTCCAATCTTTTTGCATATTATAACACATTTAATGACAGCCCATCACGTCATAACAGTTAAAATATATGCCTCTGCTTTGCCTTTTAGTGTGTCTGTCCATGAAAGTAGATATTATTTTACAGCCCTGCAGTGACTAACACCTGCATGTCTTCATCTTCTCCATAATTAGCGTTCACAGCTTCAGCTGGGCGAGACTAAACACCACCATCCACCTCATGTTGAGATGAACTGACTGAGTTAAGCTATCACACAGACGTCTGTGCCAGCTGCTGCTATTCTTAGTCTCCAGCTGGAAATTCAACACACTGCTGTCTCCGCTTCAGCGAGAAACACTGACCGACTTCTCTCTGTCTGACTCACTGACCAACAAGTGTCACAAGATATCCCTGCTGCCTGTTGTGTTACTAAGTCAACAGTTTACCACACCTCTGTAAAGAGCATAAAAACACAAACAGATACCAGAAAATCCAATGTTACGATCCTGGAGTGTTTTATTTTATTGAGAGGTGCTTGTGAGAGACGTTAAAAAGGCAAACAGCAAAACTGGAAGTGAAACTGTTTGCAGTGAGCAAGTTTACATAAGGCTTGTGAGCTTTTTAATCAAGATTTATTGTTCTGTTAGAGAAGTTGGACATGTTCTGTCATGTCTAACATACAGGAGTAGATACGTACACTAAATTTTACTGACCTGTCTTTACTTCTCTGTCTTTTTAGTCGCAGAACAGGCCACTATGCAGTCCAGCAGAACCAAAACACACAGCATGGAGACAAATTTGGATCTTCCTCATCAGCCAAATCTATAAAAACCACCATAACAGACCCATCATCGCAACCCATCTCGAGTGCAGCTGCTTGCCCCAGGTCCCAGGCGTCCTCCAGCCCTAAACCGGGCTCCAGCCCCAGACATAGTCCCAACTCCAAATCCAGAGCCCGGCCTCCATGTCAGCGCTACAACTCTCAGGTAAACTGTGATTAACCAGGACATTTACTGTTACTTTGTGAGGTTAAACTGTTAAAAATTCACATGGGGTTTGGTGTGCACGCCTATATAGACAAGCAGATTGAACTGGAGTATCCTGCTCTGATGTCGGCTTAGATTTTGAATGTTTTCATTCATTTTTTCAATTTCTTATGAAGACGTGGGGTTTCATGTTATCTGAGAAGCAGAGCAGCCAGTTGTGACCACGTCCAGGACTTGTTCTGGCTGGTCTTGAATTCTTTGCTTGTCTTTCTTGGCATTTTTCATCTAATCTAAACACACAAAGAAGCTTTCAAAAAAAAGAAAAAAGCTTCAGGTATGACTGTTTCCTGACTAATATGTTGTCGGGCGTCTTTTGCAGGACTCTCTGGACGAGCTGGAGATGGACGACTACTGGAAGGAGGTGGAGAATATTACTCGCTCGGGTGGAGGAGCAGGGAGAGGCGAAGGTGGAGGAGAGGGAGACGTGCAAGAAGAAGAGCAGCAGAAAATTCCTGAGGGTGAGATACACGTTTAAGACGTAGTTTGCTTCTTTTAAAGTTGTAGGGGACCCTTTAGTGGTCGGTTTGTATCTCATACTAATAGAATAGAATTCAACTTTATTGTCATTGCACATGTCACAAGTACAGAGCAACGAAATGCAGTTTGCATCCATCCAGAAGTGCTTAGCAAGTGTAAATATATTTACTATGAACAGATTATACATATGGTTAATAATATGAAGGCTATAAACAGACTATAAATGTAATTATATGATGGAAAAATGATGCAGTAGTGCAATATTGGATGTATTTACAGTAGTGCAAATGAGGTTTAATTATAGATATAGATATAAAGTGCAGGTAACTTAGTGTAGCAGGTATTAGTGTAGCGCTACAGTTGATTTGTGTCTGTTTATGATCTTTTAGTTGATTATTGTTCCCCCTTTTTGTCTTCATGGTGGTTTTTCATGCATTTTTTGGTTGCTGAATTAACTTTTAGATATCAAACTTTCACCGTTTCAAAAAGGGTTGTGACTTTTTGGTGGCTTACATGCAAAAAATCATTCCTGAAAAAGTTGGGAATGCGAAAAGAAATCTAATTTTCTAAATTTGCTGAATTTCAATAAACCATCTTTTTGTGAGGCTGTTTCCTGTTTATCTGCATCTTTCTGCTCGCTCAGATTTGAGTCCCCTCACATAAGAGGTAGTCAGGTCTTGTGTATATATCTGCGGGTCTTACTCAGTCTGTTTATAAAGGCTATTGTTCTTTCAAACAAACACAATCTTCCTGTATAATATGTGTGTACAGTTTGTCAGAGGTTACTCCTTTCCCTTTCCTGCATCTAAAGAACAGCCCCGAGTGTCTTTTGGCAAGCTAAGTTGATGCTTTACTCACTGATTTAGAAAGATCACCATTTTTAAAATGTGTCCTCTAATTTCTTTTTCAGAGGGTGAACAGGAGGAGGCGTGGCTGACAGAGGCGGGGCTAGCAAGGCTGTTTGATGATTCAGTGGCAGCTGATCAGGACCAGGTATCAACCATGTTATTCAAATAGACAGACCTGAGTCACGGCAGAACAGTTTCATGTTCAGTTTCGTGTTTCAGTGTGTGTACGCTGCATTAGTTCATTTCATTTCATAGTTTATTTCATTCAGTTAACATTTAAAACATTCAATACAAACAAGGAAAAATGCCAAATATGTGAATGAAAAAGGAGCAGAAAGAAGAAACTCATTCGATAACTGCACGAGGCTATGGTAGCTGCAGTGCTCCAACAAGCCAAATGATTTTAAGTGTGCCTTATAGTGCGAAAAATACGGTAATACTGCTGTATGGAAACTGTTGAGTCGTGTTTGACCCTGAGTGTTTGACTGACAGGAGGAAGACAGCGCAGTGTTCCTGTCCACGCTCACCAGGACTCAGGCTGCGGCTGTGGAGCGGCGCGTGGCATCACTGCATCAGACGCTGCGAAGACGCAATCGACAACACGTCCCTGATGTCAGAGACATATTCAGACCCCCTGAAAAGGTCAGAAGAGGCTCACGCAGAACATTAAAAATCAGATCAGAATCAGAATCAGAAATACTTTAATAATCCCCAGGGGGAAATTGCTTTTGTCACAGTACTCCAGTGCAAATACAGTAAAAAGAGGAGATAAATAATAGATAAAATAAGTAAAAATAAGTACCAAAAAAAGAGAGATAAATAGAGACAATAAATAAAAAAAGAGATAATATACAATTATATACACTATATTCATAACAAATAGTAACTTTGTATGCATGATACATAACAAATAGTAACTTTGTATGCATGATACATAACAAATAGTAACTTTGTATGCATGATACATAACAAATAGTAACTTTGTATGCATATACAACATAAATAGAATGCTTGGTATCCAAAAATCAGTTAAATAATTTCTCATTGGAACACTTTAAGATGGTAACACTTCATTCATCAAACTCATAAATCAGACAGCGAATTAGAGCACCTCCAGGATAAAGGTTAGCTTTGAAGTGTTTGGTAAATATTCTGCAGTCCTAGGTTTGTTTATCGAGACGTTTCACTGCCCGTCACTGTGAGCTGTGATTATTAGAGGACTAAGAAGTCATGACAAAGTCACTGAAGCTGAATCGATGCTGTTGATCTTTCCGCTTTGATGGCAGAAAATAAATCTCCCACCACAACACACAAGTTTGGCATTTGCGGTATTTATAACCACAAAGGAAGTGGTAAAAACTGCTTACACCACTTCTGTTATCATCACAGTAATCAGGAACAAGAGTTTACCAAAATTCAACTCTGCTGCAAAATCAAAACTCTCGTCTGAGGACATTTTAAGTGCTTCTGCTTCTGTAAACCATCCCAGTCAGCAGAATGAACTCTTTTATTGAAGGCGTTTACACTTAGTCCACTGATTAACATGAAGGATAATGAGTAACGTGAAGAATGTAACGAGGAGGAGGTGGTCTGCGTGGAGTTTGTGACACATTGATCATCCCGCCGTGTTGCCTAACAGCTCTGTGTGTCTGTGCCGCAGGATGAAGAGCCCATTAAACTCAAAAGGGGAAGCGTGAACGGACAGAAAGATGTCGCTCCGGCTGGTATGTGCGACACACACGCTCCTGCAGACTCACACACGCGTCCAGTATGAGTCAGAAAGCTGAAATGACGCCGAAATAAACTTCTGCCTAACAACTTACCGGTGAATCATGACTGTAAAGGAGAGAGGTGAAGCAATGTGACGCAGTGTGAAAACCTGCAGCAGCCTTTTTGTGCTCACAGGTGTTATAAAATCTGATAAGGAACACAAGTGTAAAGATAATTGAATGAACATGTTATTCTTTAATTGGGTGCACTCTGGGTTAGGTGAAGACTTTAAACGTGAGCTCATTTTCACAGAGAGGTAATGTTTGAAAGAAAGCAGCCGGCCTGTCTGCTTCCATGTAGGCTTGAAAGCTTCTTTCAACCGTCCGTCTCTGTGTTTATAAAGCCGCACTTCACCTGCGTAAACACACTTCAACACTCGGCACTACTTGCGTGACTGTTTGTCTTGTTTCCTTTTTTTTTGTCCGCGCCTCAACAGAAACAGAGACCGAGCTGAATGTTGAAGTGGCTTTTTCAGAGCAGGCGCTCACTTACAGGGACATCCACCAAAGGTTAAAGGTCAACGCGGGCCCCAACTCACCCGACGACAAACTGCCGGTGAGTCACGCACATTTAGACGATGAATACTTCCTCTAAATATATCTAAAAATATTTGCTCTTTGCATATGTAAAGCCACTTTGCATTGTTGTCTCTTGACGTGTTAAAACAGAGCTTGTATTAGTTAATTATTGATTATCCCAGGTGATCATTGTGGGCGAATGATTACCACAGATCACAGATATAGGAATCTAACAACAGAAATAGAATAATACTCCACACACAGTTGTTTTATTTCTGCTCTATATGACCTCAAATGACCCTATTACCTCATGAAGTCCTTTATTAAATCTCCAAAAGAAGAAATTGCTTCGTTTAATTCAAGTGTGGTCACATTGTTTGAGTTGTTTTGTACACAATTTGTCCTTAATATAAAAGTAGGATGAAGTGTTTAATGTACATTAGAGAACAAACTACATGTAGTTGGCTGGTTAAATGGATAATAAACGGTTAATTTGGACTTCCATTGAGTTGCACATCAGCAGAAAGCATTGTTTGTGTTCTAAGTAGTGGTATGTAGCACCATCTGCTGGTTGATGCCGGTATAATTATGTGATCATAAAATAAATCTCTCACCTGCAGTTAGAGTAAATTTATAAAAGAGGAAGCAGAACTTGTTTTGTTACTTAATTCTGGTTTAAAGTTCCCCCCACAGTCACTAACCTCGTCCTCTCTGTTTTCCTTCCTTTCATTAGAACTTTAAGCTGCTCCGGGATAAAACAGGTCAGACCAGAATAGGAGATCTGTCTCCTCTGGATATGAAAAAGGTAATGCGGTTGCATGGCAGTATTTGTTTGTATAAGCCATGTTTGTTTTGTCCCTTTGAGGACAAACTGTTTTATAACAGACAAGGAAGTTGGGTTCAGTTACCAGTATAATATAATTCATACAAACACAAATTTTACTGTAGTAGTAGTGTGTAGTTCACATTGTTGTGCGTGTCTGTTGTTCTGTCAGGTGCGTAGATTGGTTCTGGTGGAGATGACGGCTCTGTTTGACACAGCTGGGATCGACCCCAAGGCTCACAAAGCCGTCAAAATCAAGACTAAAGGTAGAGCACACTGACACTGTATCAACACAGACTCATAGAGCTGAGGGAGCACCGAAGGTTAAATTAGACTAAAAGTAAACACTCAGTGACGTTTACCAAGTCACACACAGACAGAGGATGAGTATTTGCCTGTACCGCCAGTTATAAAAACATCTTAAAAATAGTTAAAGTGACAACAAATAGCATTCACATTTCATTTTCTGTCTGAATATATTCACGTCAAACTCAATATTTGTGCTTGTGTGTGCAGAGAGCGGTCTTTTTGGTGTTCCCCTCACCACTTTACTGGATCAGGACCAGAAGCGGGCTCCTGGAACCAAAGTGCCAGTCATACTGCAGAGGGTGAGCAAGTCAGCCTGTCACCAGAGCAAATGATAAATATGAATTTAACAACTGTAATCCATTTAACTTTCATGTATAAACCTCACCATTGATAGTAATACAGTTCTGAATGAAGCGTATCCAACTGTACTTTTCTTTACATAAACATGATCTCTGTTTTGTTTCCTTTTTCAGCTCATTAGTCATATTGAGGGGGAGGGGCTAGATACAGAGGGGCTGCTACGGATCCCCGGAGCTGCAACTAGAGTCAAGGTTAGCCACAGAATTACCATCTTTAAAGACACGTTTTAAATTTGTTCTGAATGATCAAATTAACATATTAAATCAGTGTGAATTCTCATTATTATTGCCTGATATTGTGATGGTTACATTGTCCCGAATCAGTCGCTGTGCCAGGATCTTGAGTCCTCTTTCTACGATGGGATGTTCCCATGGCAACAGCTGAAGCAGCACGATGCTGCTAGCCTTTTGAAGCTGTTCATCAGGGAGTTACCCCATCCATTACTCACCGTGGAGTACCTCAACGCATTTCTGGCCGTCAACAGTATGTACAGCACCTGTTCATGAATTATTCTGCTTAATCTCTAGATTAGCAGCAGCTTTATGTCTTTACGAGGGATAAACTTTACATTAAGCGCTGTTCTCTTTTTCTATGTGTGTCGACAGAGCTCCCCACAAAGAAGCAACAGCTGCAGGCTTTGAACCTGTTGATCCTTTTGTTACCTGAGGCCAATCGGGATACTTTGAAGGTAGATTCACACAAGAGCAGCTTCCATCCTGACGATTAAAAAAATCCCTGTTGTTGCTTATTTGATTTGTGTTTCCTTCACAGGCTCTGGTTGAGTTCTTCCAGCGTGTGATTGACCACCAGGCCAAAAATAAAATGACTCTCAACAATGTCTCTGTTGTCATGGCACCCAACATCTTCATGTTCAAAGGTTTCCGCTCCAAAGTTACGGAACAGCAGGAGTTCTCCATGGCAACCAGTACTGCTAACATCGTCCGGTTATTGATAAGATACCAGAATCTTCTATGGACGGTGAGAATATAAAAGAATGGCGTATACACTCATATTTCAGTCATAAAAACAGCTCTGTTTTGTCATTGCCACCATGCGTACTTACTAAGAAAAACATCTATATTTAACCTTAGAGTGGGGAGGATAGAACACTGTAAACTAACCAAGGCTTTTGTCCGTGTCCCTCCAGATCCCCAAGTTCATAGTGACCCAGGTCAGACAACAAAACATGGAGAGTCATAGGAAACAAAATAAAGAGAGGGCTGTAAGGAAACTCTTGAAGAAGATGACCACCGAGAAAACATCCGAAAAAACCATCCCTGAGGTAAGAGTTGTACTTTCATTAGGAAATAAAAGCACTCCTTATAACCTTACCAAGTAATTCATTAATGAATAACTCTGGGTCCAAAAGAGGCGTTATGATTATTAAGATAATACAGCTAATACATACATAGCTGTGTTTACTAAATACCTTTTTATGAACCTACAATTGTCATGACGTACGCTGGAGAGATTGGTAAACTAGTGACATCTAGTGGTGGTGTTTGGGAAATCTTTTCCCTCTCTTTAACTAGTTTATTGCTCCAACTTGCATGTGGATGTTGAGAATAAAATAGAGGTTAGTCTGATACTGAATCAAACAGGAACAAGATTTCTGCTGAGCCATTGTTCCCCTGCAAAGTAAAGTTTGATTTAACTTAAACTATTTTAAATGACAGAAAATTGGAAAAAGAGAGAAGATGGGTGTTGTGTTTTCTTAATTTAAGTGAAATTCAGCCACAGCCAATGACCTGAGCGAATATGATAATGACTATTCATCTGGTATCTTGATTGTTGTTGTACTGCAGCTTTACATCATTGTAGGCCATGAAAAGACCCGACAAAGAATAAGAATTGAAATAAGAATATATTGGATTAAAATCAGAAGAGCAGCATTCAGTGTGATCAAATTTGTACCTTTGTGCAGTGTGCAACCATTAAAGTCAAGTATAATGATAAGGACAACTGTGCTGAAAAAAACGGCAAGTTAAAAAGAAGTGATGTACAATAAAAAAAAAAGAAAAAAAGCTAGACTAAATAAGAGCAAATATCAGTTTGAGTATCAAACAGTGTTTTTATATATGCTGTACAGACAAGTACAAGTGGAAGTAACTATGGCAACACTTGACCCTTCCTGTACAGCGACATGCTCTGAGGTCAGACTGTTTGGATCTTATTAAACAAAAGAGGATTTAGAGTCCACATTCTCATTGTCCGAAGTTTCCATCTTAGCTGAGTGATTGTGTGACGCCGACTGCGTTTTGACCTCGTTTCTTGTGACGTGTTTATCGCCGTTTTTACATTTTATCGTCTCTGTGTTTACGACCAGGAGGGTTCACAGGGATTCATACGAGTCCAAGCTCCACAGTTCAGTAAAGTGTCCATGGCAGTTCAGCTGACTGAAGAGTTACAGGCTGCAGATGTGCTGGTGCGCTTTCTCAGCCAGGACAGGTAATGATTTTACAGCACAATCAAACAATACACTAAAAATACAGTATATTACCATAGCTAAACTGCTCTTCTTTTCTTATCCCTCCAGTTCGGTGGCCGTGAGAAAAGATGATCTGTGTCTCTATGAGATTGGTGGAAATATCAGTAAGCTCTGCAGCATCTGACATACATTATTCATAATATTTGGATTTAGTTTCTCTGCCAATAAACCAATATTTTAGCCAACCTGCCAAAACGTAACAACTTCTTCTCAGTTATAATATTTTCAACTCTTCATGTCTCCTTTCTCCTTTAGAGGAGAGATGTCTCGATGGAGAAACCTTCATGAAGGACCTGTTCCACCTGAACCCGACAGCAGAGTGGGTCATCAAATCTGTTCACAAATAAACTTGTTCCTAAGATCGCGCCTCGCTGGAAGCTGGGCAGCTGCAAAATATCACCACTATGTCCCACGGAGAAGAGGCATCATTTGGCTCTTTGTGGTTACTGCTGGTTCAGGAAGCACTCAAACCTATTATTTGTTGCATTGTTTCACACAAAATCTGGCTTCAAAAGCTGCCCGAACGTGTATTTTCTCACTCTTTTTAAAGACATCAGATTTCTGGAAGGAAAGTTGAGGAAAATTGACAAATCTTTAAATGAATTTTCCTCCTCAAAATGTTGGCCCCAAGTTAGCAGAAGCTTCTGTTGTCATGATGAACGAAAACCACTTACTTTGAATCACCTCTTGTCATCTCAGGAGTCCTGACCGTCTGCTATTGAAATGTGTCCGAAAACACTTCAGACAAGCTTTTTGCAGCACTTGAGTCACAATATTGGGATAGTAAACACTTTGTGATACTGGAAGTGTTGCAGTTGGAAACTGTGATTTATTGCCACAATTCATGTTGCTGTGTCTGCAGTGAAGGCTGAAATGTTGTGAGGCAACAAAATATTAAGAATCTACAGAATCAAAATTTGATTCTTCAACATAAACCCATTCATGGTCTCAATTTACGTGTTTCAGCTTCTTTTTATTTATATTTCTATCAAAACCCCGCTAAATAAGTAATATAGTTTCATTCTTATATCAGTGTATTGAAGCACTTCACTTTAACCAGAAAGGGAATGAACATCAGAGTGAGCTGGTGTGACTTGGAAAGCTTAAATTGGGCTTTAAATAGAGGAGGTGTGATAAAGCACTGATGTAATGTGGGGTATAATTTGAGGGAAGGTGACACGCCTCAGCAATGACCCCAAAACTCTTCCTGAAAATGTCACCGACGACCATCCCGGGCACCCAATGACGACGTCGCTGTTTAATGGTACAATAATAATGCCGGACATTCTCGCATTATACACCACTGATGTCTGAGCGGTTCTTTGAAAAGAAATGCTGCTCACTAGTGTTCAAATGTGAAGTCGCACAGTGTTGACCGTGAGTAAGCTCATGAGGAAGACATAAAGTCGGTTGCCTTACAAAGTTGAACCAAAGACTCATTTTGCAGAACTGTTCATGTCTAAATTTAAAAATGAAACTAAGAAGCTGCCTTCTTCAATGATACACAAAGGTTTCAAAGGTCTCTGGACACCTTTAGCCTTCCTGTATTTCTTGTTTGTTTTGTTTTCTGCACTCTTCACAGTCTTAATATGACATTTTTTTCAGTTCTCTGGCAGAAGTTGTGTAAGTCCAGAAAGAGAAATCCCCCTATCTTTTGTTTTGCGCACTTTTGATTCTTTTGGCTCTTAATAAAAAGCCTTATCTGATTAAATGTGGTTTCTAACAGTTCAGGCAGCCTGTGGAGAATATATCCACTATTAAGTTAAACGCAGCAGGTGTTTGACTAATGAAAAAAACTCTTAAACTGCAATGTGTCACTCCCTGCCTTGTATTATTGTGTTTTTACTGTGAATTTTCTGTTTGTCATATCGATGCCCCAGAAATGACCACTAAACAGCCTGTAAATTAAACAGTTATTGATTACCAAACGTACTTTTGAGTGTTGATGTATGCAAAGGATGACACGATTTAAACCTCCAAGAGAAAACTTGAATTAAACAGTATCTGTATAACTCTTTATCTGGCAGCTGGCACCCCCACACAGGTGCATGTTCTCATTTCTTTTTACAATTAACTGCCCTCAGGTGGTGCCAATAGCGTGAGTGGCTTATAGGGCCTGAGCCAATGCTTCATTGGTTTACTGGGGTCAGAAATGGACACTGTGTGAGAGCTTAGTTACCTTATTTCTCCTCCGTAATAGCTGCAGTCTAATTGGACTTCAAAACAGTTTCCAAGAATAGTTGTTTAGTTTGCGATTTAAATGGGGAACTATCAGTCTGAACCTATCTACCAGTAGAAAGAAATACTAAAGCCAGATAAGAAAAGTCTGGATATTATATTGAACAAATGAGATAGAAGATGATTCAAATCAGAATCAGAATGCCCTTTATTGTCATTATACAAAAGGTACAGTGAGATTGGAAGCTTCTCCAAAAAAGATTAAAAAAAAGAAAACGGAGACAGAATTGAAAGTACAAAAAAAATAGTTTTAAGAAAAGAATAAAAGGTACAGACTATATACAAGATAAAATCCTCTAGTGCTGTGTAGACAGTGCAATGAAGCAGTTGGAACAAGTCTACTAATGTTGCCTACCAATTTCAAATTACATTAGGTATCAATTCTTATTTTGTTCTGAAAAAGTTAAATTTTATTTCTGATCGGAGTTTTAAAGACAGATTTAGAGCAGTCAGGGTGGCACAAAACTCCACACAAACAATAAAAAAGTGACTTTATTCGTTTGGGGAAAAACATATTTTTAATATAATGCTTCAGGTGTTTTACTATCAGTCTAAATCTATCTACCTGTAAAAAGAAAGAAGAAAAGGCTGGATATTATTTTGAACAAATGAGATATAAGCTGATTCAAATCAGTTGAAATAAGTTGTTACTAATGTTGCCCACCAATTTCAAATGGTTGGAGGATTAAAGTACATGCTATTTTGTATTAATTCTTATTTTATTCTGAAAAAAGTTAACTTATATTTCTGATTGTGCTCTTAGAGCAGTCAGGGTGAAACAAAACTCTACAAAAACATGATAAAATGACTTTATCATGCTCATTTCATTCGTGTAAAAAACCAAACTTATTTTTCATTTAATTCTGTAGGTGTTTTACAATAAACCACTAATGCTGTGTTGGTCTCTACCTTCTGGTTTTTTTTCTCTTCTCTGTTTTGGTGTCGTGGACGATCGCATCGACGAGCAATATAATTGTGTACGCACCTGATTGGCCGATGCGTGTTCCGCCGCCGCTCATTGGCTACTGTCAAACCAGCTGCCCTGTGATTGGCGGAAATCCGAGAATAGGAAGTGTCTATCAGTAGTGGAGGGCTTAACATGGGTAGCTAAGTATTAACTGGTTGACAAAAAACAGCCAAAGCGTTACATTTTGCATTTCTCGGTATCCTTTTTCGTATTGAGACATCCTGGGCAACCTTTTTGTGGACTTAGGAGTCATATATTCGGATAATTTTGCGTCTTTTGGAGGTTGCTTAATCGAAGCTGTGTAACACTAGCTCGTTAGCTAGCAGCTAGATGTTTGTACTTCACTCTCGGACCCTGCTCTGACATTTGTCAGCCTCTCTAACTCACATTAACAGGGTCGTTTCGCAGGGAGAGGACGGTTTCGTGCGTGTGAGTGTATTAATGCTGCGTGTTAAAGTGTGACTCCTCTGTAAACTGGATGTTTAGTGATAGAAAGAGCAGCGGCTGCAGCTAGCAGAGTGTCAACAATGGGCTATAAGAGACATTTAAAGACTGCAAGATCGATGTTTTTATTGATCACCCTGCTGATAGTTCTTCTTAAAGGAGTAACAGCTGGTAAGTATGAACTCTTGTTTATGTAAAAGTCTACACACCTCCGTTCAAATGCCAGTTTTCAGTGATGTAAGAAAATGACTGAAAGATAAATATTTTCACAACTTTTTCCACCTTTAATGTGACCTAAAACCTGTGCAATGCAGTTGAAAAACAAACAGAAACCTTTAAGGGGAAGAATTAAAAATAGAAAAGTTAAAATAACCTGGTTGCATAAATATGCACACCCTTAAACTAATACTTTGTTGCAGCACCGTTGGCTTTTTTTTACAGCACTCAGTCTTTTTGGGTAGGAGTCTATCAGCGTGGAACATCTTGATGTGACAATATTCGCCCACTTTTCTTTGGAAAACCGCTCCAAATCTGACAGATTGCGAGGGCATCTCCTGTGCCTCTTCAGATCACCCCACAAGTGTTCGATGGGATTCAGGTCTGGGCTCTGGCTCAGCCACTCCAAAGTCTCAATCTTATTCCGATGTGTGCTTTGGGTCATTGTCGTGCTGAAAGATGAAGTTCCTCTAAGGCTGAAGGTTTTGTGCCAACACTGACTGGTATTTGGAACTGGTCATAATTCCCTCCACCCTGACTAAGGCACCAGTTCCAGCTGAAGAAAAACAGCCCCAAAGCATAATGCTGCCACAACCATGCTTCACTGTAGGTATAGTGTTCTTTTGGTGATAAGCAGTGTTGGTTTTGCGCCAAATATTCCTTTTGCAATGATGTCCAAAAAATTCAACTTTGGTTTCATCAGACCATGAGACATTTCAGATGTCTTTTTGCAAAATTAAGCCGGGCTTTGATGTTTTTCTTTGTAAGATAAGACTTCCGTCTTGCCACCCTACCCCATTGCCCAGACAAATGGAGACAGCGGCAGATTGTTGTCTCATGTACTACACAGCCAGTACTTACCGGAAATTCCTGCAGCTCCTTCAGTGTTGCTGTCGGCCTCTTGGTAGCCTCCCTGACCAGTTTTCTTCTTGTCTTATCATCAATTTTGGACGGACGTCCTGTTCTTGGTAATGTCATCATTGTGCCATATTTTCTCCACTTGATGATGACGGTCTTCACTGTGTTCCATGGTATATTTAATTCCTTGGAGATTCTTTTGTAGCCCTCACTTGACTGATGTCTTTGAATAATGAGATCCCTCTGATGCTTTGGAAGCTCTCTGCAGACTATGGCTTGTGCTGGAAGATGTGGCTACAAAAATGTCAGGAAAAGCTACGAGAACAGCTGAACTTTATTTGGGGTTGATCAGAGGCACTTTAATTGGTGACAGGTGTGTGCTGACTCCAATTTACCCTGAGTTTGAATGTTATTGGTTAAATCTGAACTCAGCCACATCCCCAGTTATAAAAGGGTGTGCACACTTCTGCAACCACATGATCTCAGTCGTTTATTTTTACTTCACCTCCCTGAAAGATTTCTGTTTGTTTTTCAATTGTGTTGTACAGGTTATAGGTCACATTAAAGGTGGAAGAAGCTGTGAAATTATTTATCTTGATTTAATTTTTTTACATGACAAAAACCTGACAGATGAACAGGGATGTGTAGACTTTATATCCTCTGTAGCTGGCTTATTTCGCACAAGTTGCCACACAACAGCTGTTTACACACCGACCTGCTACAACATTACAGACACCTTTATAATCTAATGCAATGCAACACAGCAGCTCCACCTTAAACTGTGCTTTCACTGTACCAGCTGCTGAGATAGTCAACAAGGTGATAACTGGTCTTTAAACTGATTGTGTGTTATTGGTGTACTTCATATTTTGGATATAAGGACACTTAAAGTCAGCCACCACAAACCATGATGTCTTTAGTTTTAAATATAAAAGAAGAATAAACCATTTGGCAATCATGTGAAAAGAGACTAAGTACAGTTTGTGGTAGGGCTGCATGTGTTCATTGTGTTTTGGTTGGTAGGTGTATTTAACGAACAGGTCTGTCTGTCTTCAGCAAACAATGTTTTTACTCTGTCAATTTTCACTTTTCAGATGAAGAGCAACATGTCGATGATGGACCGGAGCTTAAGGTAATTTATGATAGTTTGCACATCACACCCTTAAAACCACCTGATTGGCTCGACTTGTAAGAGAAAGAAGCATGTTAAAGGGATATTCCGGTGTCAAATTAAGGGTCAAACACTGAGTTTACACACCCCGTCGAGAGATGAATGTTGGCGACTGCTTGCTTCTCTAGTTATACCAACTCTAGTAACGACCGCAGGATAGCAATACAGAGAGCCACGTGCTAAGACCCCAGGTCCACCTCTTTCTTCATAATAACTTCCTGTTCGTCCCTCTAGTCTTACCATGACCCAGAATCAGATGAGGAAGGCGTTCATCTAGCAGCAGATATTGTGTCTCGTCCTGCTGTGAGCTCTGGTCATGATGTATCCCAGCCAGAAGAAGAGAAACAGCCACCTGAGGATGGAATACCGGGAGAGGAGAAAGAGGACCTGCCTGAGCAGCCTCCTCCAGCTCAAGAGAAACCTAAAGAAGGTAAAGACTCAAACCACTAATAAGTGAGTTCGTTGGTTTATTTCTGTCCAATATGACACATGATAACATGAAACACGGCTCTTTCTTTTTTGTTGTGAAACTGGAATTTAGTTTCGAGCTTCTCTTGATTGTTTACCAGACTATTTAGCTGTTGTTTGTGTTCTTGACTTGTGTTTGCATCTTTACATATCTGTGAGACAGAGGTCATGAGTGGGCATACATTTTGCCTCTGAGAAAAAGCAAGTGTCTAGTAGTGGTTTTACCTTTACATTTCGAGCCAGGAACGAAATGAGTCACAGATAAGAGCCTCCACAATAAGAGAGGGTTTTATGTATTCTTTGCACTTTAAAACGAGCAGCTGCACATCAACACCTGCAGGGACATCGCTTAGATTTTGAAATGATATGCAAAATTATCATCAGGGATGTTTAAACCTGAAAGGCTCCAAATGGCTGCTTAATGAGAGTTTGTGGGCCATCAGGCATCTGCTTTTTAAAAAAAGATTGATATTAATGAAAAACAGAGTTTGATTTGGATGATTTATTCAACTAAGGCTCTTCAAATTCTAATCATTTTGTTCAGTGTTTGGAAATTTGTGGTTTAAGCATTCAGGACATCTAGACTAATATTAGGTATTTCTGAACCACGTGGGCGTTGTGTCGCCGCGCCGTCTCTCTGTCGCTCTGTCAACCTCCTAATGTCTCGGGGCGTTTTTCTGCGTGTTAAGCACATGTGCTCATGAGAACAGTTCTGTGTGATTTTCGAGCTTTGCTGAGTCTCGACACATTAACCTGTTTTCTGTTTAGCTGAGCACAGATGTGTGCGGTCTCAGGGCAATGCCAGATTAGATCAACGGTTGAACCTCTGGGGAAATTAACAGTACTTTGCACCTGTGGCTCCTCTTGCAGGCGGTTACATCATATTTCTTGGGAGCTGTTTCAGTTTTTCAGCGTGTTTTGCTCAGAACTGATTATATCGAGCTTTTTTAGCAATGGAGATTGACTGACATCATTTAGATCAACTCTGAATATGTAGTTTGAAGTTGTAAACCTGTACAGAGCAACAAAGCCTTTTTACTTTAATATTTTTGTGCGATTTCTAATCTTCATTTCTTTTACAGTTCCTGTGGTGAATGGAGGTACAGCCCAGGGAGAGCCTTGCCTCTTCCCTTTCCTCTTCCAGGGTAAGGAGTATTCAGACTGCACTACTGACGGACGCGGAGATGGGCGGCTGTGGTGCGCCACGACTTACGACTACGATCAGGAGAAGAAGTGGGGATTCTGTGAGAGTAAGTCTTCAACATAATAACTTAGCTCGTATGAGGTTAACACTCTCCGAAAAGCAAATGCAGCTTAATAACAATTTATAACCTTGAGTGTCAAAACTGGAAATGCTGCCATTAATCTTCTCTGCATTGGTGTAGATGATTATTGCAGTGTGATTGCGTCAAATCAGGATGAATTGTTGTAGATTTTTTAGAACTGATTGTTATTTTTACACCATAGTAACAAAAAAAAACCCAGAAACTAAAGATGAAAACACGCCAGAGGGAACGTCACGGTTTCATTTCCACAGTTACTTTAATTCGCTCCGCTGCAGCAAAGCTTTTAAACTTTTCTTTTTTCTAACTTAATGTTCTTATTGACTTTCCTCTCTGTTACTCAGCGGAGGAGCAGGCGCAGCAGAGACTACAGGCGGAGGAGACGGAGGAGCAGTATCAGTCTATCCTGCGGGTGCTCAATGCTACAACCAGGAAGGCCCAGAAGAAGGAGTGAGTCTCCTCTGATTTGTCTTATCCGTCTAATCTGTCTAGTCTTTCAGTCTCCGGTGTTTTGTCGCATCAAGCATATTGATTTGTTAAAAACAGACGCCATTTTTCCTCCAAAAACCTGATAATTATTTAAGTCTTAGAACCTGACAAAGACAAAATATAATATCACCATCTTAGAAAGACAGAATCAAAATGAAGAATATGCTCAGATGAAAAACAACATGTCGTCTTTGCTGCTTAATGAAGTTACAAAAAGCAATAAGCCTGCTGTATATGAAATGTAATTTATCATGTTGCCTCAAGCCTCTTTTGTCCCCACAGACATCGTCATCTAATCTGATTCGGCTTTATCTTTGTAATATGTGCTCAGTTTTTATGCGACTGTGTTCACCACGTCCTTATTTGTCAGAGAAGAAGGCCGACTTATGCATGTGTCACTCTGACTCTGCCTCAGGTTGTACGAAAAGCTGCAGAAAGTAGCGGAGAAAGGTCACCAGAAAGCCATGGAGAAGGTGGCGTACGCCATGCTGTTCGGGGACTACGTCACCCAAAACGTCACCAAAGCCAGGGAAATGTTCGAGAAGCTCGCGGTGGAGGGTTCGCCCAAAGCTCAGATGGTAAGTGAGACAAACTTACAAGATGTGCATGTATCACAAAGGAAGTGTTGAAACCACCTGACCTGAGATCTTATCAAATACGCTGATAATTAGCGCTCAGAGAACCAGTTGTGTAACATTGTTTACTCTCCAACAGGCTCTTGGCTTTCTGTATGCAGCGGGACTTGGTGTGAATTCAAGTCAGGCGAAGGTAACTTCTTTATTTATTTATTTATTTATTCATTCATTCATTCATTTAGACAGGACAGTACCAGTTCATGGACAAGGAGAAGAAGACATGATACAAGAAGTCTATTCTCATTGTAAACCAGCCGGAGTTAGCTAAGGCTAATTTTCATCCGTTGTCCTCAAACAGAAAAGCAACAAAAAACAAAACATAACAAAAAAAAACAGGAGGAAAAAACAAACAAAACAAAACAAACAAACAAAAAAATAAAAATAAAATAAAAAAACAGACAACAATACAGTAGCAGACGACAAACACGACAAATATAAAAACAGAAAATATATAATATAAAAACCACTTCTCACTTATATCTTATATCTTCCCATAGCTTCACGCAGAAGTCCCTCTCCTCATGAATTTTCACATTTTCTGTTTGTTTTGTTTTTTTCAGGCTTTGGTTTATTACACTTTTGGTGCGCTGGGTGGAAACTTGGTCGCTCACATGATTCTGGTGAGTCTGTCAGTAAAGAAATGAAACAGTCCTTTTTGTCTCCTAAGTCCACACACACACTGACGCACTCCCTCTTGCTGGTCATTAGGGATACAGATACTGGGGAGGCGTGGGTGTTCCCCAGAGCTGTGAGTCAGCGCTCACTCACTACAGGCTGGTGGCAAATCAGGGTAAACATCTACTGCCAAAATTCTCTGATATCAGGTGTGATGTTTCCATTCCTGTTTGGAGAATATGTATTTTTTTCTCCACCCTCTAGTGGCCAGTGACGTGTCCCTGACAGGAGGCTCAGCAGTGCAGAGGATCAGGTTACTGGATGAGGTGGAGAACCCGGGATCGACTAGCGGGATGCTGGAGGAGGACTTGATCCAGTACTATCAGTTTCTAGCTGAGAAAGGAGATGTTCAAGCTCAGGTATGATACTGTCATCAGCTACTAACAATTATTCCTTTTTGATTACTATTATAACTAGGGGTGTCCGGATACACATTTTTTACTTCCGATACGATACTGATATTGTAGCTTTAAGTATTGGCCGATACTGATATTGATCCAATATTGGCACAAACTTGTGCATGGCCAGTTTTGCACTCTGTTGCAACATCTTTTTCAGACTTTAACAAAAAATTCTGCCAGGTTGTGGATCATTTGTGTGCGACTCTTTCTGCCTGGCTCGCTGCTTTGGGCTCGCAGCGCTGGCCTGAAGCGAAGAGCAAAGTTTAAGTGTCACTCTTAGAAAACAAACGTTGAACGTGACGTTGTCTGACTCTGAAGACTCTTCATTTTTGTGCTTATGGTGTGAGGAAGGCCGATGATGCAGCTGACCGCTTGGCTTGAGCGCAGCGGAGCGGCGCTTCATTGCTTTGATCTTTCACATACTTTATGTCATTTTCCAGCGCTAAAATAAGACTCTGTAACATATTTTGATATTATAAGTGTTGGGTCTAAAACCTGCAACAAATGACTGAAAACATATAAAGAAGAGAAAGACAATGGTTTCTTACTCGAGGAGAATGGACAGAGATAGTTTCAGTTGCAATCTCAAAACCATTCTGAAGGTATTTCCGCCCAGTCTCTTTATTTAGGGTTGTCCCTGGTTACACAATGTTACTAAAGGGTGGGGGAAAAATATGTGAAGCAACGTAAGCATTCTCATAAAACATAATTATGAACAACAGAAAATATGTGAGGGTCAAGGCAACATTGTTGACATCAAACGAGCTCCTTCTGATAGGAGCGGATCCTCCTTATTACTTCCCACGATTCACAGTGGAGGATACATCACACACACACACACACCTGCTAATAGGAGAAACAAGTTCACAGAGAAGTTAAGAAACATTCATGTGCTGTGTAATAAAGCTATTGGAGAGAGAAGTTAGAAAACACTCTTATATGATGTGTAACAAGAGGTTAAAACAGTCCTTACTTGTAGCAAACTCTTACATAAGAATTTGAGTAAGATGATAACTTCTATATACATTTATACACATTATTCTGACATTAAACATGGCTTTCATGTACTCTTAATATTTATTTCAGATGAAATCTGGCCAAATAGATCGACATGTGCTCAATTTATGCTATTTTCTGGGAGTTAATTAATTTTCATGTATTCGAATATTCAGTTTCAAAATGGTCGTTTAAACATCAGTGAAATTAACCTCTGGGAACATCCCTAATTTCTGCCACACGGTTGACATCACTCCTACTCCTCGCTATTTTTTTTGTACCTTAGTACACTCTGTTGTTGTGATAACATGGGCTCTGCATGCTGGATCTGGGCGCTGCTAGATAGAGGTACTGAAGCGGAGTCTTGGAATGGACTGCTTGTATCAGAGTGCTGATATTAGAGATTTTAGATGCAGGCTGATATAATCCAATATATATATGTTTTTTTGCTGGTATCCTTTATCAATATCGTATCCGGACACCCCTAAATATAACCAAAACTAAACCAGATAGAAACTTTGATTTTTCACCTTTTTATCTGCATGTATTTTTCACATTACTATGTTGCAAGTCACTGAAGTTGACCGGTTACTTTCTCTCTCCTTATAGTTGGGACTAGGTCAGCTATACCTGCATGGAGGACGTGGAGTGGAGCAGAATTACCAGGTGACATTTTGAATACTCTCTCTGACGCAGCATCATCAAAGTAATGTGTTTTTTTTTGCACTAGTGATTGGCACGTTTACACATATTTATGGTGATTTTTCTCCAACAGAGGGCGTACGACTACTTCACTCAGGCCGCAAATGCAGGGAACACACATGCTATGGCTTTCCTTGGAAAAGTGAGTGAAATCCCTTTTTGGAGTGAAGGTGAAACGGTTTAATAGTTTCAGAGTACAGCAAACATTTGTAATACTCAGCAAACACTGGCGCACATTCAAATGTGTGTTCAAGCCATCTGTTTCCACTCGTGTTGGTAAACATTATGAATATGTAGATGATCCTGCGAGACGACGAGGCAGAAGCAGAACAAAAAAAGAGCTAATTACCCGGCGTGCGTTTGTGTTTGAGGGTCGGCTTCAAAGTCTGGATTTCTAAGAGATATATCCTCTTCTGTCCCTCAGATGTACTCGGAGGGCAGCGAATATCTCCCTCAGAACAACGAGACGGCGCTGCAGTACTTTAAGAAGGCCTCCGACTTGGTAGGAATAAATCAGTGAATTTCTCTCTTTGTCTCAAATTGTGCTGCCTTTCTTTTTCTCCCACCCCCTAGTTCAAACTCACAGCTATAACCTCTGGGGGGCGGTCTTCTTTTTTATGCTGTGATTTGGCGTGAAGTTGTGGGTTTTATTGACTTGTTGTCTTTTCATTCAGGGCAATCCAGTGGGACAGAGTGGCCTGGGCATGGCCTACCTCTATGGCAGAGGCGTACCGGTGGTAAGTAAAACCTCCAAACATCACAGAACTCTTTTCAAACTATGATGAAGTTTGAAGCGTTAACCGCCTGTGACTCATTTTTACAAGTCATTCGCTCTGTTTTGGTAACCTTAGAGCCACAGGTTTTGTTGTTTTGATTAAAACGATAGGAGTTTTTAATCAGGTTAAACTCATTTTGAAACTTGTTATGAAAATGAAACTCCAAACATGAGTGTCCCTCATGCAGAAACCCCTGCAGTCTTTTTTTGAAATGCGTGTGTTTTGTGTCTCTAGAACTACGAGCTGGCACTGAAATATTTCCAGAAGGCGGCAGAGCAGGGCTGGGTGGATGGACAACTCCAGCTGGGGACGATGTATTACAGTGAGTGTCTTCTTCATGTTTTATCCACACGTCTCCCTCCTGCTTCCTCTTAAATCTGGCTAATCTCACTTCTGCACCTAAACATTCGACTCATTTGTCCCCCCACCAGCTCTGAATATGTTCTCCTTCCTTAACACTTAGAACTCACATGACACCATTAATATTATTTACAGTTGCTCGGGAACTATACTGTGTATCTCTATGGGTTAAAAAGTGTTCAAAAGCTTACCCTTTTGGCGATCTGTCGAGGGTCTCCAGGCATTTCTACACCTCCCACAAGGTTTACAATCCAACCACAAAATAGGCATTTGATCAGAGAGGTTTGATGACAAATCTGCAGTGATATACCGGTGAAAACATGATTATTTATCAGATTGTTGTGATAAAAAAATGCCGCTAATGTCTAACGGACAAGCTGTTTTGATGACGTCTTTTTCTGTCAAACTTTTGACCAATTACATGGTCTCATATTCTTCTTCTATTGTTCCCTTGATGGTAGTGTCCAATAAGAGGCAACCAAAGATCAACAAGAGACAAAAGAGTTCCCTGCTTGTCTGCAAAATAAGAAATTATGGTCCTCAATGCTTGGAAGAAGAGATTATGAGCAGTATGACATGCTCCTCTGACAGGAACTGCTTCAAAGAGTGGCATAAACAACTGTAAATAGCAAAAAACGCCTAGAAGAATTAGTGTAAATATGTAAATAATTCCTGTTGTGTGTTTGTTCCAATCCTAATTTTTCTTCTCCTGATAGCCAAGACTTGATAGAATGATGTGCAGGTGAGAAAAGGCTTGGTCACTGTAGATTTATGTGTTTTTTGTGCAAAAAACTGTGGGTATCAATTTCCGTTTTTGTTTTTTGGTGGACTTAATTTATATAATGTGCTTGAAAGGATAGAGTAGCTACAAACAGGCGGACCAAAAATGGCAAAATCGAGCTAAGAGTTCTGAGGGTTAAACATCATTTTCTTATTTCTGGACTGGATCACTTACCTTTAGCCTCCCTTTAATTCTTTCCCTGTTTCCTATCTCTCCTCAGACGGCATCGGCGTGAAGCGTGATTACAAGCAGGCTCTTAAATTCTTCAACCTGGCCTCACAATCCAGCCACATCCTGGCTTTCTACAACTTAGCTCAGATGCACGCCACCGGTACAGGCGTGATGCGGTCCTGTCACACCGCTGTGGAGGTGAGTTAATCTGTCTTTGTAACCAGTTTTACTCCAGTGTTTCGTCTTTACACTCTTGTATCTTGACTCACAAAGTGATCCACTGTGTTTCCGTGTCTTCTCCGCAGCTTTTCAAGAACGTGTGCGAGCGCGGCCGCTGGTCAGAGCGTCTAATGACGGCATATGGCAGCTTTAAGGAAGGGGACACAGATGCTGCGCTGGTCCAATATCTGCTGCTGGCTGAGCAGGGCTACGAGGTGGCTCAGAGCAACGTGGCCTTCATTCTGGACCAGAGTAAGCTAAACATGCCGAGTCAAGTTTAGACACCATCAGTCAGTTTTCTCTCTCACTCTGCAGGAGTAGTTTTACAGAATAAGTGTGAACATATCTACTCTTACAGCTGCCTCAGATGAATCAATTTTGTGTAATTCTGGAGTAACTATGAAAATCATGATCTTAACCTTTTAAATGTTCTTTTCTTTCTTCTTTGTTTGGACCATTATGTAAAGAAGGTGCAAAGATCTTCAGCGAGAATGAGACGTACCCACGCGCTCTGCTCCACTGGACGAGAGCTGCAGCACAAGGTAAACTAGATTCAAATGAAGCGTTCCCTCTTTTTATAGAATCCTGGCTACAAATGAGAGTATAAGGAGAGTATAATATGTTTTCTCATACGTCGTCTCTCCCAGGTTACACTGTGGCGAGGATAAAACTCGGGGATTATCACTTCTATGGCTACGGGACAGACGTGGACTATGAGACGGCTGTCATCCACTACAGGCTGGCGTCAGAGCAGCAGCACAGCGCACAGGCCATGTTCAACCTGGGCTACATGCATGAGAAAGGACTGGGCATCAAACAGGTGGGCATGAAGTCTAATGAATAAAGCCGGCCTCCGACCCCCAGAGGTTTTGGTGTAGACGTTTGGTAACCTGACCCCCAATTTCCACCGCATCCAGAACGGGTACAAAAAGGCCGTATCCGCCTATCGCAGCTGATCGTAACCACGAAATTCACCTTGCATACAGATCCGGTAGGAATTGACGGATAGTGAAAAATCACAGCTGTTCCGGATGCGGTGAAAATCTGGGGTTAGGGCTTTAACGGCTCTGATTTTACTCCGTTTTAACAGTTTCATAACAAGAGCTACAGGTTTGGGAACTTCAACCAGATTCTTTAATGAGTCTGGACTCGTTTAGTCCTGGTTTTGCTGACTGTAAACCTTGGACCTGATTTGTGATCTGGATTGGTTCTCTGTGGTTCTGCAGGACATCCATCTGGCCAAGCGCTTCTATGACATGGCTGCCGAAGCCAGCCCCGACGCCCAGGTCCCAGTTTTCCTGGCTCTGTGCAAGCTGGGTTTAATTTACATCCTGCAGTACCTGAAGGATCTTAATGTGAGTACTCGCTCTTCAGCCAGAGCCAGGACCGTTTGGCTTCGCTGAGTATCAACGCCGACTTTCTACTTCACAGTCTAAAACCCAAATTAATCCTGGCTTGTCTTCTCCCATCCGTCTCTTGTCAGTTGAAGGAGCTCATTTCTCAGGTGGACCTGGACCAGCTCCTGGGTCCAGAGTGGGACCTCTACCTCATGACCGTCATCGCTCTCCTGTTGGGCACAGTCATCGCCTACAGACAGCGCCAGCATCAAATCATAGTCCTCCCGCGCCCTCCGGCTCCCGCCCCTCAGCCCGCCCCCGCCCCGCCTCCAAGACCGCCTCAGGAACAGATGCAAGACACGGCCGAGCCCCAGGGTCAGGGGGAGGCACAAGCCCAGGGCCCGGCGCCTGAGGAAGAGGAGCAGCAGTGAGAGGGGAGCCAGACGGGAGAGAGGGCAGTAAAAGACAGACGCTTGTGGCAGTTCTTCCAGCTCCCCTGCTCCCCTCCTCACGCTTAGAAACGAACTGAGGCGGCTGCCGGACCGCGCAGTCCGACGACTTCTGTTCTCCGATTTAGATAAGCTGAAGACAGACTGCGGGGGCGTTCACGGACAGTGTTACAGAACAGGGCGAAGAGAGGGAAACTCAGACATTCGGACTTGGTAATCTGTGACTCAGGATACTGCCAGAATCTCCCCCCCCGTCTCCTTCAACGTGGAAACAGCGCCACAGCTGCCAGATTTAGGGCTTTTTGGACTCGAGTAATCAGAAAAGTCGACACGTTTGGAATCTGATATGTACGTTAGTTTCTTCACATCTGGCTGAGCTGCTTCAATCCTAATCTTGAGCAGTATTTTAAAAACCTTCTTCAGTCGGGAGACAAATGTCATTTTAAGTAATTTAATTTGCTACAGAAAGTCATGTTTTTTGCATGTTTTTCCTCATGATTTCGCAGAGTTTAATTCTAGGCACCTTTTTGTTTCAGACACTTTATGACTCAGCAAAATTGTGCATTAGTTTTTTTGCATTTTTTAGGGGTAACGGTAAAGTCGACATATCGGTTCTCAGAGAGGCGGTTTCTATAAGTTAGACCATTTAAAAAAAGCCATGTTGCTTGGAAAAGAACAAGAAACCAGTTTTTGGTTCTTTTGTTATTTGATGGTTTGTTTTTTTTTTTGTTTGAAAAGCTGGGCTGGAATAATAATTAAATTATAACTTAAGCAAAGGTGGATGTTTTTTAGAGACACACACAGAGCTGCTCGAGTCAACACTAATCCGTCACCGAAGTTTGTTTGGAAAGTCATCGCAACAGCAGAGCGCACAGCTTAAAAAAATAAGTCCTTCAGTTTTTCACTGTGTAGGGTACACTGGTGTGATATTTTCCCACCGAGTCCTTTTTTTTTTCTCTCTTTTTCATTCTTGTGCTCGAGTTTGATTCGTCTCATCCCACACGCTCGCTTTTTTTTAATCCCCGTGTTAGCTGAGGCAGAACTGGAGCAGCCTTAAAAACTACAGGATCTAAAACTCCGGACGGTCTTTACAGAAAAAAAGGAAATGAAATCTTTTATTTTGTGAGTGTGTGTGTGTGCGTTTGTGTGTGTGTTTTGGTTACACAACTTGTGAGATCTTCCACCCCCACACCAAAAGTCAGAGTGTGCTCTGCCTACACTTCTCAGCTCAGATGGACCTAAATCTAAAAAACAAAAAAAAGAGGAAAAGGTCTCCTTTAGAGCAGACGGTATTTATCCAAACAAGATGAGAAACGTCTGATTTCGCCATTTGTTCAGTTCCACAATATGTGCTTGTTAGAATCATTGAGAAGTCATCTGCCAATATATCTGCATGAAGTCAAAAAGGGATGGTTAAATGTTATCTGCAGGAGGAGGAAGAGGAGGAGAGGAAATAGTTCCCCGCTGTCACACGTGAAAACAAACACAATATGTCCAAAATGAAACACTAGTGAAGATTGTGGAGCTGACTGCGTTTTTACCATTGCAGATCCAAGTTTATAAAGAAATAAATGATAATATAAGGATATTTATCGCCTCTTTATGTTTATTCTACAATCTTGTTTGAAAATCACTCTTGTGTGTACTGTCCCGGACGTGAAATCTTGTTATTGTTCCGATTTTTACGTTTCTGACCCTCAGATGAGCTCCCATTGGGCCTGCAGGGTGTCACTCAGCTTTACAGGGCGGGTGATAGACAAAGTGACAGCGCTGTAAAGCTGAGCATCACATTGTGTGGGTCTGTAGGGGGGACCCATTGACTGGCACGTACACACTACTATGGAGTGGCTTTGGATCGCCGTGGCAACTTGTATGCTCGCGTCCCCCTCTGTCAAAGGTAAGTGCTAGAACAAGCAGGAGGGCAAAGCACATGTGAGCCTGTGTGCCTGGATTTATTGTTACAGCAGCCTCTGAAACTGGGCCTTTTTTTACACAGTCTGTAGGGCCTATATGGTTGTATACTGGGAACAAATGAGCTGTCATGGAAGTAAACATACAACAGGGACCAAAGTTAATACCAACACAGCTTTCTAAAAGTGACCACAGAGTCTGTTTTTGTGTTGTGAATGAAAAAAGATTTTTTTTTAACGGTAGAATCACTCAAGAAAATTGTGGTTTTGTGCCTCATTTCCTTCGAAAACAATCTTCTTTAAGGCAACGACTGGTGGTGGGAGTATGAAGAGGGGATACGACACTACAGCCAGGAGGCCCTCAACAAGGTACTGCATACACCTGCTTGAATGGCTGAACGGAAAAATGTCCCTGATGGTGGTAGAAAAACGGCTTTTGTCGCCTGAAAACAGCTTAAATAAGAGCTTTGATTGGTTTGTTTCTGGTTGTTAACTTGATCCATTATGTATTTTTTAGTGAACGGGCAGACTGTTACAATTCAAAAACTATAAAACTTTAATATAGTCTTGTATTTACTCTCATATTTAAAGTGAAATACTCAACTCTCAGGAAACCAGAAATCCATTATTTCTAAGATCAGTTGAAATGTTATGCTTGATATGTAGTTGAGGCTCCCCTATGACGAATATTTGCATCAATGTCGTGTGTTCGTGAGTTGGAAATCACACATAAATCATATTAAATCGAAAATGTCAAAATCTATCGCCGTTCTATACAAAGCCAAAGACTTACTTTCACACAAAGGGTTAGCCGCTTTATACTATTCTCTCATAACTCTGTACATGACTTACTGCATTGGGATGTGGGGAAATACGTATTTACAAACGCAATGTTTTTTTTACAAAAGTGAGCCAAAAAGTGAACATTACTGTGAATCAACTCATCCCCTATTTATTTCTGTACATTTTTTAAAATTCAAAGACCTAGTAGATTTCATCACAATACAAATCATGTACAAAGCCAAATACCTAGCTTTACCACAACATGTCCAGAACCAGTTTAAACTGAGGGACTCTAATTACAACCTAAGAGGCTGTGTGTTATTTGAGAAATATACAGCGCGAACAAATGTCAGAAATTTTTGTGCGTCTGTGAAAGGGGTCAAAATATGAAAATTAGAAAATGCAGTACTCTGATAAGCTTTAACCCTCCTCCTGTGTTAGGGTCTGCACCGACCCGCTTAAAAGAACCACTTAAATTTGCTTTTTTTGCATCAAGACTTTTCGACTTCGTCAGGAACCTCTATTCCAACAAAATAAAAACTAAAAAATTCAGTTGACTAAATTATAAAATGCTTTTATTAAAATGATAGCACTTGTCGTGTTAGGCTCGCTGTTGACCCGGTTAGATCAATATCTAAAAATCAGAGGAAAAACTGAAATCATAAATTCTCTGTCAGGCACCACACTGACAGTCAGATCATCTTCCAATCGTGAATTTAGGACAGTTTGCCGTGTTTTTCCTTGCGCAAAAAACATCAGACATGTCCAGACATTTGAGATCAATTCAGCGCAGATGTCTATATGAGGGGTATGCTGATAAAGAAAGGCCAAGAGGCTCACAAAAAAGCTATTCTAAGCAATATTTTCATGGATAATAAAGCCTAACAAGGTCACCTAGAGATGAAAACCAAATTGGATGATAAAGATTTGTTTTTAGTGTAATTTACAGCAGATTTAAGACACGGGTCAAAACCGAACCTTAACATAGTGGGTGCGTAGTGAGAGACTTTATAAGAACAACGTTATTTCTCAATATTGTAGAGAAAATTATGTCTGTTGATTTATTGTAAATTACAAATGTAAAGCACGCTCATTACTCTATTTCAGTGGTTCTGAAGTCCAGTCCTCGAGGCCCCCCCGTCCTGCATGTTTTGGATGTTTCCCTGCTCCAACACACCTGATTCAAATAATCAGCTCGTTATCTAGCTCTGTGATGGCTTCATAACGAGCTGATCATTAAAATCAGGTGTGTTGGTTGGTCTTTATAAGCACTGCTTCTGCCTACACCCTTTCAGTCATATTATATCGAAATAAGTCCAAATCCAGTCTTTGAGGTGATCGGCCTGTGCCACCGCAGAGGTATAACTGAGGCCCAGGTTGCTTTGTCTCTCATCTTTCTCTTGACAAATACCCCACACATCCCCATGACCAGAAAGCTATTTTGGCAAAACCTCACACCCGCCTCCAAGAGTCTGATATTGGGATGTGACAGGTGTAGTAGCCTCTTTCCTGTGACTCTTGTTGCTCTGATTCCAGTCTCAGTCCGCTCCTCGTGAAGCTCTCTCAGGTCCTCAAATCTACATCTCTTATTGCTCCTCTCAAGGCCGTGATCATCTTTGTTCCTCGAGCACCTTTTTCTCATGACACAGCACTTTGTGAACAGCCAGCCTTTTCAGCTGTGACCTTCTGTGGCTCACCCTCCTTGTGGATGTCGTCTATCACCGTTCTCTCGATAATTATCAAGTCTGCAAAGATTGTAGACTGAGAAATACACGGCATTGAAACAGATGGGTAAACTGTTTCATGATGTTCTCATCTGTATCAGCGCCAAAACCTGTTACTATCTATAGAGTGGTACCAGCAGCAGACATCCTGATTATGTTCACAACAAGTGGAGATGATTCAGATTAAAGACAAACTCAGAAAGAAGAGGTTGCAAAGAAGGGGAAAAGGTAAAAATAAAGTCTGTGTCTCCTTTAAACTAGCTTCACATGTTTACCTCGGCTCTGTCTCTTTTTCTGTCTCAGGAGTTTCCAGAGAAAACTCGACCGGTGAGCTTCAGACATCCTGCGTTTCAGTGTCCCGACATGAGTCCGTCTCCGTCTGTCCCCTCCTCAGGTCTGTCCTGATCCTGATAGCGTGGATAAATCTGATTATCTGGTGAAGAGTTCAAACTTAATTTAACTCTCGTCTCTCTCTCTCTCTTTTTTAACTTTCCTTCACCTCCTGCTCCAGTTGAGTTTGTGAAGGCGGCGGATATCAAAGTCATCGCAGCCTTAGGGGATTCTCTGACAGTAGGATTATTTTTATTTTTGTTTTTTATTCATCCTTTATCTTGTTCTAACAAGCAAAAACATGACTTCTTAATCAGTAATCCATCTGATACTTCATGTACAGCATCTCTGTAGAGGTTTCCTTACGCTCATGGAGTCCTGACCACATCTTCTCTGGATGTTTTTTCCCCATCAGACAGCTATAGGTGCCAACGCCACTAATGTGCTCGGAATCCCAATCGAGTTTCGCCATGTGTCGTGGAGGTGACTGAACTCCAATGTCAATCAGAGTCCTGCATTTCCAGCTGATTATCCTGTTAAAAAGAGTGTTTAAAGGGATATTACGGCGTAAAATTATTTTAGGGTCAAACACACTGTAACACCGAGTTAGACACCTTGTCGAGAGATGAATGTTGCCAACTGCTTTCTTCTCTAGTTATACCAACTTTAGTAACAACCGCACGATAGCAATACACAGCCGTCTCAATCAAAACGCCACTCTATAGCCACAAATATTGCTACAAATATTGTAGCGAGACCTTGGGCCAGTCCATTACGGACCGCAGCGGGGTGACACAGCTCAAAGAAGAACATTTATGATCATCATCATCATCACATGATTATTACTTCAAGGAAATGAAATAGAAATGATCATAAATGTTCTTCCTTAAGCTGTGTCACCCCACAGCAGTCCGTAATGGACTGGCCCAAGGTCTCGCTACAAATAACCGGCTGCTGGAACAGAGTAGGTGAGTTGTGTTTAGTCTCTTTGCTAAAGAAATTAGGCAAAGCTAAAAAGATGTTTGGTGGCTAGTACTACGGCTGGGACCCTATCTGTACTGTTGATGAAGTTAGGTGCTGTTCTGAGGATTATTTGTGGCTTAGACCACTGTATATTGCTATCCTGTGGTTGTTACTAAAGTTGGTATAACCAGAGAAGCAAGCGGTTCCCAACATTCATCTCTCTAGGGGTGTCTAGCTTGGTGTTTTGGTGTGTTTGACCCTTAAATAATTTTACGCCGTAATATCCCTTTAAGGGTGATTTCTATTCATTTCGGAGTAATTTCAGATAAACTGAATTATCTGTGGTGCTGATATCATCTTTATATCTTTGCAGCATTGGAGGCTACGGCTCATTTCAAGAAGCCATTACTTTGGCAAGTAAGATGTTTTAATTGATGATGATAACTCAGCTATCCTTCCTCGTTATTGTTTTTCAATATAATTAATAGAAACATTATTTAACTGCAGAAATAACACATTACGCAACTTTTTTTTTAATCTCCCTTTGGTGCTTTTTAGACATCATCAAGCTGTTCAATCCTAAAGTCCTCGGTGCTGCTCCGGGAAAGACGGTCCACGGGATGCAGGCTCATATCAGCGAAACGGGCTTCAACCTGGCTGTGACCGGACACAACACTTTGTAAAGACTTATCATCAGTGTTAGACTAGCTGTGTCCCAATTCAGGGGCTGCATTTGAAGACTGATAAAGGTTGTTCCATTTCAGATCCAAATTCAGTCGACAAATGATTCCTAGAGGCCTGGTTAGACACAGTCAAGCATTAGTATGTGGTTTATAGGATTGTGAAGTTACTTGACGGGAGCTATGTTTGCTATTTAGCCAGCTACCTGTTGCTAGGCGACAAGAACAGTGCTGTTTGACATAAGTGCAAGGACAGGGGCAGCTGGTGGCGCAAATTGGAAATCCTCAGTAGACGGACCATCTCGTTTTGGTCCAGCCATCTGTGAGCGCCATGGATCCTTAGAGGAATCCCGCTCCTGAATTTGGACACAGCTGGTTGTTCAGTCGGCAACAAAAATAACCATAACTTTTGAGCCTTAGTTAAACTCTCCTTACAAATTTTCACGTGTATCATTTGCCTTTTGACTCCATGTCTTGGATTGATGTGAATGTGCTCTGAGAAAGACGCTGTTCTGTCTTTCCAGCAACCTCCCCGGGCAGACGAGAAATTTGATTGACACGCTGAGAGGTTATGAGGTACGGTTTTGTCATAACAGAGCCTATCGAGCTGTTTTTTAACCCGAACAAAAGCAAATGTTTTCCTTCAATCAATTTTTATAGATCAAATTCACACTCTGTCTCCCTCTTTTGTGCCTTTCTTTAGGGTCTTAACTTTGAGAAGGACTGGAAGCTTCTGACCATTCTCATGGGCATGAACGATATCTGTGATTACTGCAAGGATAAGGTCGGTTTTTATTTATTTTTTAAGTTTTATGGCTGCGGTTCGATAAAAAGACTCTCACAAAAACATGAAAAATACTTAATTAATATCTGCAGTCTCCTTGTCCCCTCAGGCTCTTTTCTCAGTGGATAACTTTATTCACTACATGACCGTGTCCTTGGAAATGCTCATGAATGAGGTGACGTGAGAGAAAATAAGATGTGTTTGTATTAAATGAGAGTTGGTTTGTGGCTAGAAATCTCGACAGTCTCTGTGTTTCCTTCATCCTGTGCTGTAGGTTCCTCGAATGATCGTTAATGTCGTCCAGATTCTGCCCATGCAGACTTTAAGGGAGGTGCAAAAACCCACCCCTGGGTGTCTACTCCAAAGGTGGGCCACCCTTGATCTTGTTTAAAGTTTTACAGCCTTTTTTTTTTTACAATCTACAAAAGCAGATAAGCCAATGATTGACAGGATTAGTACTTCTATAAGGTCATTTTTGGTGCTGTGAGTGTAGATATCAGATGAGCATTCAGCAAAAACAGCCTGTTTAAGGTTGCTGTCACACTGAGCTGTTAAAGAAGAAATGTTTCCCTGTTCGTAAAAGTGGGGTAGTCAGGATCTGAGGAAGTGCCAGTTTTTGGGAGAAATCTTGAATGTAAACTCTACCCCTCCCAACTTGTTTTCCCCTCAGCTCCTTCTCTCCCCTCCCTCTTTGCTCCAGCAAGCCCCGCCCACAAACAGACGCTCCTGCTCGCTCGTATCATTCCAATTAAATCCAGATATAATGCAGATAAATACTTCAGATAATTACAAATGGGGCCCAGTCAACGTGAAAGTAAAAAGCATTGGTGCTACTGTAGATGCCAACAGACTACCAACAAACACAATGTTTGCAGGACTTCTACAACTAGGATAAAGTGACATAGTCCAGGACCCGAGGTCAACAGTTTAGTGGCGCTACAACATGCTACAGCAGGTCCGTTTGACAAGAAACACTTCTGTTACAGACACTTGGCTTACTTTGGTAAAGGGGTTTACCTGTCCAGCAGAAAGGTTACAGGGTCTGTAAGGTCCCGAAGCGTCCTCAATCATTTATGCTGATGTTGACCCGGCTTCTTAGCTCTTGACCGGTCTACCTCCTTTTTAAGCGTACGTTATTCCGCCAGAGTCTCTGGTATTTACTTTGTTTTCTTGTTCGTGTTTCTCGTACTTTCTGGTTGGTTTCTACTGTCCCATACCATAGCACGCTAACTTTGTTTGGGCGTGTGAATGTTACTGGAGGACATGGAGCGTGCCTCACAACATGAAAGAGCAGTATCCGCCTCACAACCAATCAGGTTGGAGAGGTGGAGAACAGCTTTGATTACAGTCAAAGAGCGGGCCGCTCAAAAACTTTAAAATGTTGACGACACAGATATAACAGAACACAGCGATATCGTTATATTACCAAATGTCATCAATAACTAATAGATATTAACTGACATTAAAAGCTTTTTTGTTTATACACCATGAAAAAAATATGCTTCTTTAACAGAATCCTGCCTACCCTACCTTTAACTTTGATTTAATCTCAGAAATTTCAAATAAAGGTGTTGCTCGGTCAGAAGCAAAGTCCCCCATGCAGAGGTTTCAGGCTTACAGTCTCATCTGCACCAAGGGGACCAGACCCCCGTCGTTTCCTGTCTTTCTGACTATTCAGCCAGAAAAAGCCAAAACTAGAGCGAATTTGGAACAAAGAAAGACCAGAAGAAAAAATTGTCTCGAAGCCGATCATTACAGCTCAGTATGCAACTCATGCAAATGTGATTTTAAAATGCAGTGTCTCCCACTAAGTGCATTTTATCATGAGTATAAAACCAAAGATGCAAAAAAGTACATCCATTTTCATCAAACTGGACTAAAAGAAAGAAGAACGACAGAATGTAGAGGAGGGTATTTTTCATTCATAGTGCATCCTGCGTGGGTTGCAGTAGTAATCTGTGAGTTTGTGTCTTGGATGAAAGATGTGAAGAGCTTCAGCTGTCCTAATGTGAAATGAGAATACCAGCCAGCAAAATGATCAGACTGAATTTTGATGAGCTAGCTGAGTGTGCGCTGGTAGTGAGGGAGTGGAAAGTAGCAGCAGCAGAGTTCATTAAAGGGATGAAGAACACAGTTGGAGCAAAAATCCTGGATGAAGGAAGGCTGGTGATTGAGTTGGTGTTAAAAAAAAAAAAACAGGAGAGGACCCAGAACAGAACCCTGAGGGATCCCAGAAGTAAGGCCCTGAGGGTTCAGACACATGTCATCTCCTAAAGCAAGGAAGAAGGATTTAGCTGAGTGATGTACATATGCAAAGAGTTAAACAGCCTTTCTAGATATTTTAAAGGGATATTCCGGTGTAAAATTAATTTAGGGTCAAACACACCGTAGCACCGAGTTAGACACCCCCTCAAGAGATGAATGTTGCTGACCGCTTGCTTCTCTAGTTATACCAACTTTTGTAACGACCTCAGATAGCAATACAGAGAACCATGCACTAAACCAAAAAGCCACTCTATAGCCACAAATAATGCTCAGAACAGCACCTAACTTCATCAACAGTACATATAGGGTCCCAGCCATAGTACTAGACACCAAACATCTTTTTAACTTTGCCTAAAATTCTTTAGCAAAGAGACTAGACACAACTCACCTACTCTCTTCCAGCAGCCGCTTGTTTGTAACAAGACCTCGGTTAGTCCATCACCGGCTGCAGCGGGGTGACACAGCTCAAGGAAGAACATTTATGATCATTTCTTAATGGAAATATAATCAGACTGAGACGCTAAGGCAGAAGAACTACTGTGTCCGCAAAATGATCGATATGGATATTATTACTTAAAGGAAATGAAAAAGTTATGATCATAAATGTTCTTCCTTGAGGTGCGTCACCCCACAGCAGTCGATTGTCACATCTGAGGTCTCCGTACAAACAAGCGGCTGCTGGAAGAGAGAAGGTGAGTTGTGTGAAACAAGAAATTAGGCAAAGCTAAAAAGATGTTTGGTGGCTAGTACTATGGCTGGGACCCTGCATGTACTGTTGATGAAGTTAGGAGTTGTTCTGAGCATTATTTGTGGCTATAGAGTGGCGTTTTGGTTGAGCTCTCTGTATTGCTATCGTGCAGTCATGGTAAAGTTGGAATAACTAGTGTCTAGTGTCTAACTCGGTGTTACGGTGGTGTTTGACCCTAAATTAATTTTACGCCAGAATATCCCTTTAAAAGCTAAAATATGACCAAAAATGGCAACAACAGTCCTTAAACTTTTTATGTTTTGTTTCTGTGATTCAGATCTTTCTGCTCGTGCCTGATTGAACCAGTTGCCAGATCTCCTGAACTGCAGGAGCTGGTAGAAGTCAATCTGGAGTTCCAGGTACAGTTTCTGTCTCAAACATCTACTGTATTTAATCAGTATCACAAAAAATACTTAATATAACAGATTAATTCTTGAAGAAAAGACAACTAGTGCATGGAAACAAAACTATATGTTGACTTCTTATTTGGAAAACTGCATTTGTGTCGCTTTGATGTTACGTTTCCACAGAAAAGGCTCGAGGAGCTGCTGAACAGTGATCGCTTCTTCAGGGACGACTTTGCGGTCATTCTTCAGCCCTTTCTGAAACACGCTGACCCTCCTCGCCTCCCGGTAATCTATCATCACGCCAAAGGCCAAAACAATAGGCAGGAGGAGATGACTCAGTGTGAAACGGCACACAGTCATGATGAAATCATTAAGATCCTGAGTGTGACAGATGCAGCCTTTGTCTTTGTTAACAGGAGGCTGAAAATGAGAGAGAAGTCATGTTTCAGAAACGACAGCCTCCGTCAGTAACCCTACACTTGTGTTTGTTTCGTCTCTTGGCAGAGTGGGAAGATCGATATGACCTTCTTCACTCACGACTGCTTCCACTTCACCATAAAGGGGCACGAGGAGCTGGCTAAAGGGCTGTGGAACAACATGGTGAGCTACCGCAGGAGGTCAAAGGTCAATAATCAGCACATTGAGACTCAGAAGGGCTTATTAAGTATAGAAATGCTGTGAACTGAAATAACCCTCTTTGCTGTTTGAATAAATTGTTTAAAGGTATGGTTGACAATTGGAGAAGCAGTTGAAAAAAACTGAGCCGTTGAGGCAGATTTGAAAAAAGCATCCCACCCCCTCACAAAAAACCTCTCCCCTCTGTGCTCCACGATAATTCCCCCTTGAACCTGTATCGCCCTCCCCACAACACATCCCCTCTGACAGAGCAAGAAGACGGCCAGCAGAAGATCCTACGCTAGCTTCAAATGTCGGATTGCTTGTGACTAGCAGCAGCAAACGCCTGCTCTGCTAGCGAGCATCGTCTGCATGTTCTATTCGATGTACAGAGCTGACAGCCCGCATTTGGCTTAAGCGTGTGACGACGTTTCCAGCTTTTCTAGCCAATCAGATGTGCAGGAGGCGGGACTTTCCCCTACCATACGACAAAAAAAAAATATCGCCCGAGGAGAGTGGGAGGGGATAAGTCGGATCTACCAGAGAGGGGTGTGTTGAATACAGCGAGGTGATTGGATGGAGAGGCGGAGCAGGAGATTAACCAATAGGAGCTTTCCGGGACGGACGGCTCCAATTGGTCAATTTTTTTTCCAGCCCTACACCTCCTCAGGTGAACAGAATTTTTCCATTCGTTTTTCTCTTCACTTTGAGGAGATCGCACTAAAGGACCATGATCACCATATAAACGAGGTTCATAATAATTACCAATCTCTCCACTTGTCAACCATACCTTTAATATCATAACAATTAGTCATATTTTTCTGTAAAACAAAAAAAAGTCTTGGTTATGTCTTTATTTTATCATTACCGTATGACTGTAGGCTAAACATTTTGCTCCAGCATCCCAGAATCACTCCCTTCACCTCTCCTCATCCCCAAACACCAAAATAGAGACGGGCTTGGGTTCACCCCCTGCTGGATGAGGCTGAAAGCTCTATGTGTCCTTTTTCAAGAGTGAAGAGAGGAGAGGGAGAGAAAGAAAGCAGGTTAAATGTTTGTGAAGAGGTGTTAAAAATAGGACATAGACGGCATAGCCATGATGAGAAGCCTAAAGCCTGTTGGGGCAAAGGTGAGGTTGTAAATATGTACCTGCTTTCTGTTATGGATGTCCATTGTTAGCTGTAGTATGTTGTTTACAGTACTCTGCGTCTTCATACTATCTTTAAAAAGAGAGAGTCATGTCTATCATGTGTTTGCTGTCTTACTGGGTAAAACTGATGAATCTGACCACCAGATATCACTTCATGTTGCCATTTTTATTCACTGTATCTTTAAAAAACTGAACTTGACTCTGACAACAGAATGTTCTCTCCTCACAGTTTCAGCCCGAGGGAGGAAAGATGATTGTGAGCAGTTTCTCTGACCCCATCAGTCTCATCTGTCCTCCTATGGTGGGTCAGTGTTGTTATAACACCACAAGGGAGCACAATCTTTTTTTTGAACACTGTTTTTAAGCTTCAAAAGTTGCTGTTTTTCTGATCTGAGAGTTTTAAAAACAAAACCAACTGGGGAAATCGAGACAGAAATGTCTCATTTTCTGAATTTTGTTGTGTTCTTTTTGCAGTCAGTTCAACTAAGAGTGGGAAAAACGGATCATTTAAGCTTCCAATTCAAATCATCTTGCAGTTGTTAGAAATTTTATTCGATTTAAAAGCCATCTGGTTTATTACATTTGAGTCTTAAGCAGAGACAATTTTGAAATCTGTCTCTGTGCATGTAAGGAAACTTGGACCTCTGAGACTCAAAAGTTTATTTACATATTTCACAGCTCATTTGTGTCTATGAATTAATAGTTGTGTCTGTCTCTTTTCTTTTTAACTATAAAATTCAGTTTTTTGGTGTGTGTGTGTGTGTGTGTGTGAAACAGTTGTTCCAAATACTTCAACACTAACTTTTCAGAGCAGTCCCAGTTTCCGTCCCCGGCATCTGCTTTACCATGAAAAAATCATTTCAGTGAGACTGAAAGAAAATAATGAATTAACTAGAAGCGAATTAATTATGTATTGTGGCCCAATTCAAAGTCTGCAAGTTGATTCGAATGCAGTTAATAAATGAATGAAGAAACATATGTTAATTTTGCAAAAGCACAAGTATGTTTTGAGACTAATATAACTCTTCATTGTCTGTCCTCGTCTGCAGGAACACCCGTACATCTTCACCAGACCGATAGCAGCCAGCTCAGGCCAGTCTCACCGTCAGTCTGCCGCCTGGTCTCAGGCCTTCATCTTCATGCTGCTCGCACTCCATGTGGTTTTGGCATGTCACGGACTTATGTAGCTTTCATTTTACTGGACTTTTTCACAAGAATGTCACATCTAAATTTAATAAAATGAGGTGATAAAGAGGACCTCTAACAATGGAGAATTACAGAGCCACCCTTTGAGACTTTGAATAGCAGTATAAAAGTTATTACCACAGTTATGGGGTCTGACAGTGGACTCGACATCCTTAATATTTTGTTTAAAAAAGAAGCTGGAGCTGGAGGTAAGTTCTCTGTTATTGAGAATCTCATTTCTACATGGAACAGTTTCTACGTTTTTATTGAACATTTTCTATTTTGTATTTAAATTTCATTCGAGGTTCCTGCTGTCATGCTCTGCAGGGGTGTGTCCACACTTTTTTGAGTGGGGTGGCCCAAGTGGAGCACTGACTCAGATAGGGATGGCATAAAGTATGCATGGGAACACACATAAATAAATAAAAAAACATTTATCAATGCTGATAGAATCTTAAACTTCTAACATTTAAGTATCATACTAATGTTTTATTTCTGTGTATAATTTTTAATTTTAAAAGTTCAGAAAACAGAGTGGCAACATTTTAATCTTCAAAGTTTGAGGATAAAAAAAACCTGTTATTTTTCCAAACAAAGCAATCAGCCAATTACTGCTTCAGATTTTGGGGTGGCCAATCAGATTCCAGGGGTGGGCCATGCCACCCTAGGCCAACCCTCTGGACACGCCCCTGCTGCTCTAACTGTACACTGACTGTTCTTCGACAACTGTAATTAAAATAAGATAGAAATAATGAAAACTGTGCAGGCTTTAGTAATTACACACTTTAGAGCAAAACCCTACAAAATTTTATTAAGTCGAGCTTTAAGTTTTTTTTAATTGTTCCTCTGAAAATTGTACTTCCATACACAGAATATTAAATTGGTTAAACTTCTCTCAAAGAGGTGTTCGAGTCTACTGAATCTTTGAAAAAAAGTGACACTAATAGTCAATTTAAAACTTATTACATGACTTAATCTCTCTGATTTAATTTTCTTTTGAAGCTGAAGATAAAAAAAGACGTGAAATTTCTCTGAAAAAAAAAATGAAATTTTCTATTTTTACATTGTAATTCTTTTACCTGAGAGAGTGACAAAGGTCAAATCCTCATTTCAACTTTCATGCACATTCACGTAGAGGGGCCCTAAAGAGAAAGCCCTGATCCACTCAGTGACATGATTTAAAGATGAAAAGGTGTTTTTCATCTTTACTTCTCACTGTGACTTTTCAAAACCAGACATTTTAGACCCACATCTGCTCTGTAAATCTCCAGGCTGCTGATGGCCCACTTTTACGCCGCCGTCCTTCAATAACATCATTATCATGCACCGAGCTTCGTAAGAGGAATTGTAATCCACCTCAGGCAAATTGTTCAGCAAATATTGTCTATGATACTTGACGCTTTGCAGAGGATTCAGAGTGGTTTATCAGAAGAGAAAAGACTCACATTCAACAAAAGTGGTCATGGTATGCAATCACATACTAAAGCTGATGTATTATTCATGTGCTTTCTGGTAACGAGTAAACAGCACAGTTTGAATGTTCTCTGTTTAATGAGGATAATACACGGGCAGGTGCAGGCTATATTTGGAGCAGCTCAGGTTACTTGCACAGAAATGTTAATTTAGCACTTGAATGGCACTGAAAGCCATAAACTACCTACTTAGCAGGGTTTGTCTGGGTTGTAAAGAGCATAGAGGGATGCTTCTCAAAAACTTGTTTTAAAAAATGCCATATGTAACATAATGCAGGTAAAACCTTCAGCACAATGATTCAGTGGTAAAGACTTTAAAATGGAGAAAGAATCATCTGAATTCCCATTATCATTTACTTTAATTAACTACACACTTTAAGAAGTAAAATATATGTATTTCCTGTGTCCCCATTTTCTTCCATTTCTCCAGGATATAGCAGAGCAATGAATTTTAATCAGTCCTCGTGGCCCTTGGCTTTCATTATAACCGTATTATTGCTTTCAAAGAAAAGCCTCTTCATGTTTAAACAAAGCCCTCGCTGGTTCATGCTGGACAAATATGGATGTGACGCAAATTGGTCTTTATTGTCTCTCTGAAAGCGTAATGGGATCTTCGGGAACTCGGTGGATGGTAGGGTTTGGAAATCTGAATAGCAAACAGTCCGGCCCATCCTTCGGAAACGTCTTTGTCTTATTTAGTGAATGTATCAGTAACAAAAGAGGAAAATAGACCTCGATCTGGACCCCAGTACCTATGAGGTAAAACAGGGAGCAAGTGACTTGTTCTCTGAGGTTGATGTTTATGTAATAAGGCTATCAAATACAATAGCAGTTGTGCATCATGGGTTTTTTTGAGGGGCGTGGAGAGATTTAAGTCAGTGAAATACTGACGTGACTCAATTTTTCATCTGCAGTCTACCAATACAAAGGCATTTTATCTTATCAACTTAAACACTTTAGATGACAATATCTATGCTGCTGTTTAGCCAACGATGTTCAAAAAATCCCACTTTTGGAAAGGTTATGATCAGGTTACACTTATAAATATCTCATGTCTTATACATCTTTTTATTAACAATAATGTGTGTCTATTCATTCTCCTGTAATTTGATAACCATCATATCTCTCTGTGAAAAATAACACCTCTTTTAATTTAAATAATTTCCACAAACAATTAAAAAAACTCATAGCTTTGAGCTGAATGCTAAAAAAGTAGTCCAACAGGTTCAGAGTGATGATACGAACTTGGCTATAAAAAGTTTTCATCCAACAGTAACCCCCAGAATCAAAAAGCTGCAGTTCCTCAAGTGTCCACTTGAGGCTGGTTGCAAAAGCCAAACAGAGCCCACTAATACCAATGTTAACGTATAAATTAGTATCATTAAGGGTCTAAGCAGGTTGTCATTTAGCTTCATAATCCTGCTTCAAAAGGTGTTTTTGTTTTTATAGTTCTAATACCCTTTTAAGCACAAAGCTGGAATTAAGAACTCAGGACATAAAATAAATAAATTTTTGTATGTAATCTTCACCCTGCTCATGCTTACATAATCAAAATAAACACTGAGACATGTTAAGCAGATACACCAAAATATACAGATATAAGTGTATAAAAACACAGTATAGGGAAGACTGGGGTAAGTTGAGCCAAAGGGTAAGTTGAGCCACCCTCTGTTGCTTGGAAATGGTAAAATAAATTGATCATGTGACCAAATATTTAGGAGATGGGCATCAATTCATGGAGTCTGTGAAGGTTAGAAGCTCATGGGTGAAGGGGTTAGACATTTATTTACAACAAAAACAATTTGCCCTGTTGCCGTCAGCCCTGTTACTGTCAACCCTGTTACCACTTTTGAACATGTAAACCTAAACAATTTTCTATTTCTCAAAATATAATCACTATCTACAAGAAATTACCTTTCAAAGTACCTAGCTTGCACTTAAATTAGCACTTATTTAAGCTAGCCACAGGCAGATTAGCTTAAAATTGTCAACCCCTGTTACTGTCAACTTTGTTACTGTCATCCTGTTACCATCAACCCTGTTACCTTGCCAGATAGTACCATATGTTGCATATTTTTAATCAGAAACATTGTATTTTGTTAAGTTTATGTCGGTAACAGGGTTGACAAGATTATTACAACAGCCTAAGATGGCACAATATAATTTCCTGCCATTTTAAACATCCTTTGATTCCTTGGTACTTAAAAATAAACAATTAAATATAGTAAAATTTAAATTTTTTAAGCTAAAAAGGCACCAATTTCACCGAATGACCCATGTTTACACTCATTCTGTTGGTTTGCAGGGATGCACAACATCTTAAAATATATGCAGATACACTAGTTAGAGACAAAACTAGGATTGCCTTGATGTAGTGATCTGAAATATGAAAACTGGCTCATCTTACCCCACTCTCCCCTACTAAAGACAGATCTGTACATGGTGTCTGTGAGTACTAATGATGATGATTGTATGAACTGGCTCCATCACCTCCATCTGACAGTAATCCTAACCTGTGCACACCCTGACATCCACCGAGGCTCGCGCACATCAGGTAGAGCAGCGGTCATTAGTCTCAGGATGATGTCACTTCCTCGCTCCTCGTCGTCCTATAAAAGCGCGTGCTGTTGCGGTGAGGTCTCGGCGGTGAGAGAGGATGCAGCAGGAGATTTAGCTCTCCAGAAATACTCAAAAAGGCGTTTAAGTTTGCTTCAGGATGCGTCCGTAACCCACCGACTTTTCCTTTCTTGAAATCCAAACCTTCTTGTTTTAAAAAAGCTTCGTTATTTTTCTTCTATTCCTGGAGAGCTCAATGCACCTTGTGTCCAAGAAAATGATCGGGAGAGGACTGTTCATCCTGACGATACTGTCCAACTGCGGTAAGCAAATACTGAATCGGATGGAAGTTGATTGAAATGTTGGTGAGGTTTGTTTAAGGGAGAAATCTGCAGGATGAGGTGGAACTGCATTGTTTCAGCACCAAGGACAGAGACTAACGCGTCTTTAAATTGAGCTGCACCTTTGGCACATTCACTCCCCTGTCACTAAAGCAGTGTGTGTTTGTTTTAGTAACAGAGAGACTCACATAAGAGCTGCGGGGATTAAACACAGATAGGGCAGATAATGATGTGATGATTCATACTTTTTCCTGTCTTTCTTGCAGTTCTGTCATTGCCAGTGACTCCAAGTCAGCTGGAGAATGAAGACGTACAGGTACACATTTATAGTGACACAATGACAGTATCTATTTTAACGAGAACATGCATTAATATTATCATTGGAGTCATGGGTAACACTTTACAATAACCATAATCTATAAATGGAAAATAGATAGTTTATTCATGTAAGTTAATAGTAACTTTACCATTAACAAGCAATGGAATTATGATTAATAACTTTCATTAATTATTAATGGATTATTGATTTAAGGTTTATATAGGGTTTAAATATTGGTGGTATAACATCTAGATTAAAATGTGTGTCAGTAACACTTTGTAAATGGTTAATATTTGTTTTTTTTAACCATCTATAAACATTACTTAGATGGTTACTGTAAAGTTGCAACTGATGTTTGTAATACTTTGTAAATGATTAATAAGTGGTTTATAAACATTACTTACATGGCTATTGTAAAGTTAGTGTCAGGTTTTTTTAAATTGCAAAATATACAATTTATTAATGGTCTATATGCTATTTATAAAACTATCTGCTCACCATTTATAAATGGTCTATTTACCATCTGTAAGTTATGGTTACTGTAAAGTGTTACCCAGTAATGTTAGTTTAAATGCAGTGTGGAAATATATTTGAAACCTTTAATTTAACAAATTGAATGATTCATATTTACTACAACAGTTTTAATTTCCAAGCAGAGATGAGAATATTTAACCTGAGCCCCAAACTCACCTAGATTCCTCCTCTGCCAGGGGTATAATTTGATTGTGACCTTGTTTCAATCAATAAATCCCATTCTGGGAGCAATGGAGAGGCTTGTCCTCCATGATTTGGTGCTGCTGGATCCATTTCACAACTTGATAGAGAGAGAGAGAGAGAGAGAGAGAGAAAGATAGAGAGAGAGAGAGGGAGGGAGGGAAATGAAGGAGGGAGGTTTGAGTGATGCGTAAAAGAGTGATGAGAGTTGTGCGATGGGACTGTTTATGTTCAAAGATCTGGCAGGCATGACTAATAATCTGCACGAAAAATCATCAGGGATGCACCACTGGCTTGAAATTAAGGGCACAATGGGAGTTGAAATGATTTTGATCTCTCATCTAAGAGGATCCTGTCTTTGAATTAGTGGTTGAGTAAGCACTGGAGCTGTTTTCAAAGAGCGGTAGATGAATTTTAATCCATAAAACTGTGTAAATTTATTCCCAAATAGCCCCAAACAAGTGGAGAAGTGCTTCATTACAGCACCAGATCCTTGACTCATACTGAGTGTAGTAGCATCTCAGTTTACAGTAACGTCACTGACTCTCCAAAGAGGCAATTTCAACAATTTTTCATTGCCGAGGCATGCCCCAGGCAAACATCAGACTGTAGAGGGAAAAGGTTTTTAAATCCTGTTGTGCTTCGTCTGCGTCTGCAGGTGATGAAATGCATCGTGGAGACGTTGGCGGACGTTTTATCGAGGCCCCACCCCAACCCTGTCAGTCAGGAGTGCTTGGTCACACTGAGGACAGGTAAGCCACACCTGAAGGAGAACAGCTGGGTGTTTCATAAAACTGAATATTTTTATTTAAATTATTGAAAAATTGATGGTCAATTGTGTGATTCACTTAATATGTATTTTGATGGGGACAGTAAAGCAGCATGGGCAATATCAGGTAATATAATAGAGGCTTGATTATTCTGAATCCTTCTTGTCACCACTCACTTTAACAGTAAATTAACGTTGAAAACTATTAATACTGTTAAATAACTAAAATCAGTTTTATTTTCTTTAGCCCCTTTGCTCGGACAGCAACCGAGAGACTAAACCCTTTAGTCTTTAAACCCTGACGTGACAAAAAAGAGACATTTTAGCTTTATTCATAAGATGATAAAGCTACTACTTTGGTTTAATATTATTATATTTCATATAAGATGAAACTCTTCCTAAGATTGCTGTACTAGTTTACAATCAACACAATAATCTCCAAAAAACAACACCTCACTCTTTGAGTCATTTTCTTAAAGCTCCTGTTAGTATTTTTTGGATGTTTATGAAACAGACTGAAAATTCTAATTGATGCGTTTTATGGCAATTAAATACAAATAAAACCAAAAGCAATATTATCAATTATTATTTTCCTGTAATTTTTATTAGATGAAGCCAGTGTGAGGGGGTAGGTGGCAGCAGCGCAGCTGAAGAAACAACCATGTTTTTACGTTTCCCATATTAATATTCTCAATTAATGAGGGATTTGACTCACTAGGATTAATTTTTTTGACAGATGTTCTGATTTCAGTATGTAGAGGACAAGAGAGGGGCCAAAACTGTCACGAAACAAAAGTTCCTCACAGGAGCTTTAATGTTTGTATCTTAAAAAGTGCCAAAACTGTCACGAAACAAAAGTCCCTCACAGGAGCTTTAACGCCTGTATCTTAAAAAGTGCTCCAGTTTTAGGTCAATCACTGAGAGCACCTGAACTTACGCTATCAATGGATTTGTAACACTTTAGAAAAGCTTATAAAGATTTTTTGTTTGTAATTTCTTTTGCTTTAAACATAATCAAAATATCCAATCAATATAGAAATTTTAAATGTTGTATCCTCAGCCATTTCCTTCGAAAATACGAACTTAACAAATACCCCTTCAGTCTGAAAGAAACCAATAAGTACTCTCCTTCTTTATTGAGTGTTAAGTGCCAACATCATAGGGTTAATGGATTGATGCAATGGCTGCTGGGTAGAAAAAAAAAACTGTAGGGTTATATACAGCAGGGTCACTATCCTGGTAGTGACTATTCGGTTACAATGTGAGTGTATTACCTTGAAGCTGTCCTTGTTGTAAAATCAATCAGAGCATTACTCACCGGGTGTTTGTTCCTGAGAGAGAGGGAAACTGAACCATCAGAGGGATGACAAGAGAAAGAGAGAGAGAGAGAGAGAGAGAGAGAGAGAGAGAGAGAGAGAGAGAGAGAGAGAAAAGAGGGGGTGTCAAAGTCAAGGAGAGAAAAGAATAAAGGAAAGGTTTGGTGAGGCAGAAGAGAGATCATGAGCTGATATTACAGCACAGCTCTTGTCTTTTTTCTGTTTGCTGAGTACAGTACGCAGCGCCGTTTGTGGGTCAGCAGAAAGTCCACCGCTCACTGCTGCAGGGAGTCTCTGTGGGGCCAAATGATTAATTGTCTTCTTGCTTCGAAAGCAGTAAATTTCAGGGCAATAATCTGTGACGAACCGCTCAAGCGAATTGCTGAGTCCTTTGAAAGAGTGAAGGTGAAAGATGTATACCTGTGTTTTACCCCCCACAGGGGACAATTACAACCTTTTTAAGTGCTGTTTTTGTTTCTGGTTATTGCCGAATTCATGGTGATCATTGCTTAGACTGGTGCACTCATAGACTGTATATACAATGGACAGCGTCTTCCTCCTTGCTGGGTGAAGCCACTCGGAGAACAGCACCCTCTATTGATGGGCTGCAGTATAGGTCATAAGTCTGTCTACTTTTTCTTTTTTTCTTTTTTCTGTGCAGCTCCATTTTCAAAAGCTATTTGGGGTTCTTATTTTCTATGATTGACACTTGATACAGCCTATGGGCGTGCGAAGATTGCGTAGCGATACGCTGTTTGAGCCGAGCATCATCACAGCGACTCACCCGCCGAATACGTACAATGCTACTGCGCAAGTGGTGGTTCCAGGAAGCGGAGAAAATCCTGGAAATACCAGAGCAATTCGGCTTCAAATTTGTATGATGATAGAAGGTTACCTACCTGGTAGCTAGACAGTATTGACTTTGTAGTTATCGTGTAATTACCAGATAATTTCATGTTGTTACTAGGTAATTACCTGGTAATTACCTGGTAATAAGTGTACCGTAAAAGAAAGCGTTACAGAAAATTCTCATTTTGCCTGTTTTTTTCCCTGCACAAAAAACAGCCTCAGGCATGTATAGTATAAATGTAAGTATATATATATTTTAATACATGACTTTGCTTTTATGCAGATGACAGACTGGTTTCTATCCTTCGCCATCACAACTTTCTAAAGGAGCTGCAGGAGATTGCTGTGAAAGGTGAGTCTTAAACACACAGCTGGTGGCTCGCTAACAGCGTTATTTGTATCTATATAAAGAGAAGAGTAACTCTTTAAAACTCTCAGGTGGTCTGGAGAGAGCTCAGCTGCAGAGAGGAGCTGGTTTACCTGACACAACAACACCGACTCTTCAAACTTCAAGTGATGTTGCTGGTGAGTTTTCTTCCATTTTTGGTTGCCAGAGGTGGGGGAAAGTCCAAATCGAGTCTCAAGTCTTTGCTCTCAAGTCCGAGGCAAGTCCAAGTCAACACAGACAAGTCCCAAGTCAAGTCCAAGTCCTGAACTTTTTGTTTCGAGTCCCAACCAAGTCCTAGGAATATTGCTTCGAGTCCCAACCAAGTCCTTACCGTTTCTTTCAAGTCAAAAACAAGTCATATCAAAGCCATTTGTTATATGTAAAGATCAAGTCACTGGGCTCAAGTCAAGTCAAGTCTCAATTTTTTAGCAATCAAGTCCCATGCAAGTCCAAGTCAGTTCTTGATTTCATCAAGCAAGTCAAAAACGGGACTCAAGTCCAAGTCGAGTCTCGAGTCGAGTCGTCAAGCCCCCACCTCTGTTGGTCGCTTGAAGACCCAAATACATAATCCACACCTTCCCTTGTTGCTTATTTCTCATTATAGTTTCAGCGTGATCCATTTTGAGGAGCTTCTAATCAAAATTTAAAACATACCAGCCGTCAAAATGATGCACGACTACCATTAGGCTATTTTCCATTTTTATGTTGTCAACAAAGCAAAGCTGAGAAATGGAGGAGACTTGTTATGCAAAGGAGGATTTAAACTCATGTTTCTAGTGGACAGAATCAGGACAAACACAAAGTACTATCACCTAAAGACCATCTGGGTCTTTTTAAGCCAGTTCCAGACTTCAGCAGAGCAAATGGTCTAGCCATAAAATATAGAATATACGTAACTTATGCAAAACTAATGTTAGAGGTAGAAAGTTGAGTCATTTTGATCAAAAATTACTTCAAATGATTCGATTCATTGGGGCTGTAAACAAAGGTAGGCCTGAGATTTTAACTTGTAAATAAAGTACATCAAGAGGATCAAATATTTACATTGAAAAGCGCAAAAGAATCTCAGCGGCTAACTTTTGTGCCTTTCTTGTAAGCACTTTCCTTAAACATCACAGAAAAATCAATGCCTTCCAGTAAATTAAATTCCCTCCTCTCCCCGCTTGCAGATCAATCCATGTTGGAGGCTTTAGGAGGCCCCGGTGAGAGATCCATCCTGTCTCAGAAGAGGACGACGAGGCATGGAGTAGGAGAGGAAGAAAAGGATGACAGAACGGAGGATGGAGAGTCGCAGGAGGACAATAACATCACGGAGGAGGTGCAAGTCAAGAGAGGAAATGATGAGAGCCCTGGAAGTCATGTCTCTGAGGTCAAGGATGAGTGGAGTGAAGGAAAGGCTGAAAAGAGAGAGGAGGAAGAGGAGGAGGAGGAGAGTGATTTAAATTCACAGGAGAAATCAGAGGAGGGAAGCATGGCCAAGGAAAAAAAAGGCAAGTAGATTCGTCTTCATTTACTTATCTTTGTATGTATGCCTGCCGTTTGTTTGCTATGAGGATTCGTCGATAAAAACACTGATGCAAAAGAAACAAGGAAGAAATGCACATTTATATTTCAAGACAGCAGGGGAAGTTATATTCTCATTTTTTGATTGAATTACGAGATGAAGTTGACCGAGAGCAGATGGCTGAATCTTAAGATAGGGAGAGTGCAGAAAGATAAATTGCTTTTGCAGATAAAACAGTCTGCCACCTCAGGGCTGGTGATTGATTGAAGTGCTTCCATCTACATGATGAGTTCGACCCTCCCCCAACCCTCCCTCCCCACACACCCCCCCATCCCACAGCAGAGTGGGGCCAACACGGCTGGCAAAGTGACAGCACACCCAGAGAAATGATTAAATGTGTACATGTCCCAGAATTCTGATGAGCTACAGTGAGCGGCTGGGTTTACTGGACGTCCCCCCGCTGTATCCAGGGTCGAGTCTACAATAACAGTGTGAGAGATTATACATCATATTGACAAATATATAAAAAATATTATTTCCTTTTTTTAAATGCAAAAGAAGTTTTTATAGAAAGGATTCCAATATTGGAAATGGGCTCAGCTTGTGTTTTAGCAATAAACTGTATATAGTATGGACGCCGTCTGCCTCCTCGCTGGGTGAAGCCACCGCGAGAACAGCACCCTCTGGTGACGGGCTGCAGTATAGGTCATAAACCCTGCTTCTGCCAGCAAAGCGTATGGAGCTGTGCAATAATAATAAAAAGAATGATTGTACCAGTTGAATAGCATAAAATAGATAAAAATACTCATAAATGTGAAGAAGTGACTGTTATTTAGGGAGAGAGAAGGTGAAGGAGGGCTGGGGTGGAGAGTGGGGGGATAGTAGGGATACGGCTTGACTTACCCGCTCCTATGGTCAACTTACCCCATACACGGGGTAAGTTGACCACATAGACTGTATATAAAATGGACACCGTCTGCCTCCTCGCTGGTTGAAGCCACTCTGAAAACAGCACCCTCTGGTGACGGGCTGCAGTATAGGTCATAAATCCCACCCCTGCCAGCAAAGCTTATGGGGCTGTGGACAAACTTTAGAAATTTATTATTGTAAGACTGGTTTGTGCTCAAGTCCTCTTTTTTTCTGTACAGCACTGTTTTTAAAAGTTTTTAAGGGGTTCATGTTTGCGATTGACACCCGATACAGCCTATCAGCGTTCAGGGATTGCATAGCTAACCGGGGGGATACACTGTTTGAGCCGAGCGTCATCACAGCAACTCTTGGTGACTATCCCACCGAGTGCGCGCATCGCTACTGCGCAGCTCTGATTTCAGGAAATGAAGAACAATCCCGGAAATACAGAGAGCTTCTTGGCTTCAAATCTGTATACTGACGGGAGGAGGAACCAAGTTGTCCATAGTATATAAAGTCTATGGTCTTAATACATGCTTTTATTTTGAAATGTTTTCCATTTTGTGTAAAGGATTTTAGATTTCCTGCATTTTCAAACAAAGCTTCTGTTTTGAAGCCGTCCACTACCTCTTCTCTGTCTTTCCTCTATCTTAAGACACTTGGTAACCAGCTAAAAGGATCACTGCTCTTAAGTCACGATATCAGCCCATGTTTTGTATGATATCAGAATTTTATTATTGTTAGCGCTGGTGTTTTGTGACAGCCCTAATTTGGAAGTTTTCTCAAATGCTGCACATAGACAGATGGTACTTTTACTCAAAAAGGAGACGTTTATGTTTCCAACAAAATACCAATCTAGGTTTAAAACTCTTAGAATAAATTTAAACCAGTGTTCATAGTTTAAAAAAGATAATAACTGGCAGACAATGGCATAAAATGACAAATTATGGTAAAATCAAATAAGAGGAATCATTACCGCTGCACAATATGAAGTAATTGTTCCCACAAGATTGTAAAGTGAGAGATTATGTTCCCATATCAGAGGAAGAAATCAAAGTCAGAAAGGTAACAGGAAAAACCATCATCCTCCAAAGGAAGGAAAAGATTTCAAGCCGTCTTTCCTGACAAGTTTTTAGCTGAGGTGTCATGGGACGGAGGTGAAGACTTCCACTCTTTGACAAGTCTGTGTAATCCTCACATGGAGACTGTAATGAAGTCTACCTATTTCTGTCTGAAGACCTCTCAGCGGATCGATATTCTTTTCTTAACTGAAGCAGCAGAGTACAATAAAATATGCATACCTGCTCTTTAAAAGGGAGCTTTAGCCAAGTCATTTCATTGCTCCAGTCTCCTATAAAGCACAGCTAGCAGCACTGTGGGTGAAGCTGCCAGCTGGCACCAAATATTTCATTAAACGGAGTGGATTCTTGCTGATGGTGGAGATTGTTCAGTCGCTGGTCCGGTCGAGGTGTCTCAGTTCAAAACACATTTAAAAAAAAATGTCCATGTTCTTTGTTTTTGTTTTTTTTCAGGTGCAAGATCAGGTGAAAAGAGAGACGCACACAGAAACAAGTCAAAGGAGAAGAAGTCTGATGAAGAAGATCAGGAAGAGAAAGACAAGAGATCCGTGTTTTTCCCACACAGAAAAAAGCAGAAACACCCGCAGGAGGAAGAGGTGGTGAAAGAGGAGTCCAAGAGAGGGAGTTTGGAGAGTGTAAAACGATGGACCAAGAGGGCGAAGGTGATTTCACTGAGGAAGGAGGCGGAGGAAAAAGAGTTAGAAGTGCCGCACCATTCAAAAGAGGTGTCAGAGGAAGTGGAAGAGAAGAAGAAGAGAAACATGCAGAAGAGTCCAGAGGAGAAGGAACTGCAGATGATCGCGAGGAGCGGACCTGAGGAGGGGAGGGTGCTGGAGGAAGAGGGGAGCGCCAGCCGGAAATCAGAGGTACACTGTCAGTATAGATTATGACCCACTGGTTCAGTTTATGGGAGTACAAGGTTTGCGTAGCTCACCCATGGGGCGATATTTTTTTTTGTAGGATGGTAGGGGAAAGTCACGCCCTCCTTCGCCTCTGATTGGCTAGAAGTGATGGGCTCCAATTGGTTATTCCTTATGGCTGTGTAACATCATCGTCTGTCAGGTTAGGGTTAGGAGATTCAGAAGTGCGATAATGTTCTGTAATGTTCTGTTCGATGTTCAAAGCCGACAGCCCGCATTTGGCTTGAGCGTGTGATGACGTTTCCAGCTTTTCTAGCCAATCAGAGGCGAAGGAGGCGGGACTTTCCCCTACCATCCTACAAAAAAAAATACAGAATTACTGCAAGCTTTTTGGCTTTAAATCCGTATACTGGCGGAAGGCGGAACCAAGTTGTCCATAGTATATACAGTCTATGTGTAGTCCCGATCAACACAACTGCTGTCCGTAGTGTTTGATCAATGATTATAGCACACAAAGGGGTTAACAGTCGGTCCCTGCTAGAAGTCCCACCCCTAACCTAAATATCGCTCTTCAATACATGTAATTGGCTGTCCCCGCTGTCACTACATCTGCCTGTAAAAGTTACCTGCTAATTGGACCGTACGGGAGGCAGACAGTGCATGTTATCTGCAGCCATGAAGTCTAAGTTGTCAACATGTTTGGTATATTGTGCCTGGGTCACGTCAGCTTAAACGTATTTTAATATCAGCGATGTCATTTACTTTTGTATTTGTGTCAGTTTGTGCGTGTGTGTGCCTCTACATGATCCAAAATTATGATTGCAAATGCAAAAAAACTTTCGGGGGACAATTTTGGGTCAAAATCAAACCCACTCCCTTGCACACGACACTGACTCCCTATCACACTACAGCTCTCATCTGTGCTTGTTTACATCAGGGTAGTGCAGCTGTATATTAAGGCAGTTGTCATCAACCAAAGCTAAAGACCCATTTAAGACTAGAGTTATTAAATATTAACAATTGGTTTAAATGACGATTAATTTTCAGGGATTTTGTGGGATATGTGTGGGATGTGGTTATCGAGTCATTACCACAGCTGTCAGTCAACCAGGACAGAGTTGTATAAACTCTGCTGACCACCCCCTCAAACTTAGTGATATCACAGTGGCTGCTAACTGTCCTTCTCTGCGTTTGGTAAACATATTATATCTTCCCTGCTGCAGAAAATCCAGGTATCCTTCTGTTTTGTATAATAAAAAATAATGAGGCAGTCCGTCCTGAAGCTGGAATCCCATTGAGATGCAAAATGCAGCAGCTGCTGCTTGGCAACATGTTTAAAGGCGACCACTTAGACAGTGATAGCCTGAATGGCCGCACGCTGTTTCATATTTGTTCTGACAGTGAGGCGAAAAGAGGCGATTCCGGTCTTAATGTGTCCTGCTCACCACCTCACGAAACACACCTGAAGGCTGAGTTGATTAAGAGCTTTTTTTTTTTGACCGGTTCCTCTCTGAGTAATTATTCACCTCTTTTTGTCTTCTCATCTTATCTGCAGGAGCCAGAGATTGAAAGCTTGGCGGCCATCGAGTCCGAGCTGGAAAATGTTGCCCAGAAACTCCACGAGATGCGACGAGGCTGAGCGAGAGACGGGAGAGTAAAAGTTGACCTCGTAGCCTCCTCTGCCTCTCCGTCCTCCTCTGCTTTACCAGCTGCCTGGTTTTCCTCAGATAGAGCGTGTGAATATGTGACGAGATTTTATCTTTTGCTATTTTTTCGGGAAGACGCCCTCTTGGCACCAGACTTGCTGCGGCCTCCCCCCTTGTAACATCCTGTCCTTCACATAGATTAGTAAACAGTAGAGACACATCGCACCTAGACATGCATACTGAACACCAAGAAACACACAATTTGTGTGCACTCGGATACTTAATAAAAAATTCAGCAGATATTGCAAAGGCCTGAAAGGAGAAATCTTTCTGTCAGTGAAGGTTGACAGCTTGTTTTCTCTCTGACAATCATCATCTCTCTCTCTCTGAAATGTGTCTTGCCTGCTTTTCTGATTATTTTGACACGACACATTGATTTGTGTAAAAGTCCGAGGTAGACTCCAGGTAAACACACACACCAAAAAGATGCGGTTGTACAATAACAGCATGTATACATGTACAAAGACTTTCTGCTAGGCTTACTTCATAGACGCTAGCTCGGTGTAGATAAAGCTGACTCGAATCAAGCAAAGGCAATAAGTGAACATTTTTAGCAGATTAAAAAATGGATTATAGTCTAACCTGTAATTAATTTATGTAAGAAAACCAATAAATGGAAGTGTGTTGATGTGAAACTCTTTGTTTTTGTAAATCACGTTGATCCCCATGAACTCAGATTTTGAAAAGTTGGATATTTAGCGCTAAAGTTTCAACAAAAGCAAAGTCGGTAAAAAGCCTGAAACGATGGATTCAGTCTGTTCTGTATTATACACTACTCGGTCAGTGCTGTATTATAAAGCTGGCCTCTTGCTGTGAGGAGACACTGTAGTTGCAGTCTGCACTTGTTGGTGTCTGTGGGCGAGGAAGCTGAAAACATGAATCATCACTCTCTGACACACAAGCTGTTTTTTTTTTTTCATTTCCAAGACAGCCACACTCTAACCTTTAGTTCTGGCTTTAGAAATACATTGTTCCTCGGTTGTTATGAATAAGTGGAGTCAGATAAGTGAGCTGTGAACAATTTTTTATATATATTTGAACAGCGGATCTGTCAGAGCTCTTCAGCGGATCTAAAAAGGACATGCTCTGCTTTCCTTGGCAGAGTGTAGATACGGATGAATTATGTAAAGGTGTGTGTATGTTTTCCACCCAGCATCAATATATGCAAATACAGTCTTGGAAAGCGTGCGTGCACAATGTAATTCATGAAAGAGAAGCTCACTGCTGCTTATAATCCCAAATATTTGAATTTGCTTGGAAAACCTGAATAATAAAAAAAAAAAAAGAGAGAGAAAAGCGTTTGTGTACAGTCTGGACGACTTGCACACCATCTCTCCCTCTTTCATTAGGGGGAAACTGTCAGACAAGACCAGCGTTAAAACCAGTATTTAGGGCATGTGTGACCTTCATGGCGAGACTTCAACATCCTGTCAAAACAACCGCGAGCAAACTTTTATGATTCAGCCAGAGGCACACCATCGCCACAGGCGTGTTTGAGAAAATACGAAGAGTACCTGTCTTCAGACACAGCAGAGCTCACCCGCTCTGTGTGAAGTTGGACTCTCACTCGGTTTTTGGAAAATAAGACGAGAAAAAGTTCTTCTTCTTTGTGTCTTTTTCACAACTTTTTACTGCAAAAAGTCAACAGGCTTCAAGAGGTCAAAATGACGACTTGCAGTCAGGACTTATCCCGGGTTTGAATGATGAGACCAGTCTCACAAGGCCCTATGTTAACATGACATTTTGGCCTTTATGTGCTAAAATCTGCTGACCCTTTGGCCTCTGGCATGGAAATTTAGTCTGCCACCCTGTGGTCACTAAAGCAAAATACACACATCAGTGTTCAGTCAAGATGGCGGCAGAATGTACCAAATGCTGAACAGCCAAACAGAAAACTTGGCAAAGTACAAAACCCCTTAAGATTTGATGACTTGATAAGACTTGATTATTAATTTTTATTATATTATTTATTGATTATCTAGACAGAACACAACATGGAGTATTTGTATGAGGACAATAAGACTCTTTTTCTGGTTTTATATTTTTTAGTCGAAACTGATTTTAAGTAGGTGAAATCAGCAAGCATATCAGGTCTCAAGAGGATACAGATACCTCATTCTAAGCCCATGAAAACTCACAGTGGATAAAAAATAGACTTGCAGAGATTAGAAATGATTATCTGATAATTAATCCCTTTATTTTCATGCAAAAATCCCTCAAATAGTATGCAATTAAATGCAAAAACCAGCTCAAGGTGTTATAAAAAATTCATGACAGCTGAGTGAAAAGGACACTAGGTGGCAGCATTGAGACAAACTGACTTTTCCAAAGGTGAGCAGACACCAAGGGAGGTCTGAAATAGCACCTAGGTGACATTAAGATGTTTTTCCCTGATTTTAAAGCTAAATTTACTTAAATCCTTGTCTTTTTTTACCTTTAAAAACAGGAACAAACCATCAAGGACGCCCTCAACCATGTTGGTCAAGTTTTTTCTGGAGGTCTTTTATATTTCCACCTTGTGGGACTAATAAAGGAGTATCTTATATAACAATAAGAGACGTATTGTTGTATATCTTAGTGAAAAGGATGTTATTACATTAAAACTAAAACAGCTCACATGTCACTGACTTCTCTTGCTCAGCTGGAGATCTGATGTAATGACTGAACGGGGTTATTAAACTGTCCTCGGCTCATCATTTATAAATGCCAGCTGTGTTCAAAATGTCAGCATGAATGAATAATGATCCAGTTATACAGATAACAACATTTAACCCCGATACACCCCTTGTTTTAAAACATTAATCTTGTATTTCTTCGCCATTGACACTCTGATAGGTAAACATATTTTTCAAAACTGGAGACAGAAAAGTCGAGGAGCGTTTGTTTGTATAAAAAAATATAACATTTTATTTCCAGCTACAAAGTGAAACATGTAACATATTTGTCACACTTCTCAATAAAATAGTAAAAAATACTGTTGACAAAAAATACACTATTGATACATTTCCAAGCACAGAACAAATTTGGCTTTAAATTAACTTAAACTGTACAAATATTTACATCATTTACACATTAACAATAAAAAAAGGAATGAAATAACAATTCTTCCAGTCTTTTCTTCTATTTTTGTACAAAATAGATATTTTGTTCCTATTGACACTTGGTTTCTTCCTCCTGACCCGAGTCAGAAGAAGTCAACAGGTCCTTTTTGCTTTTTTTCTCAGTGCCGTGGCAACGCCCACCTTGTTCAAATCTAACCCTTAAGTCAGCACGCCGCTCACTTTCTCATCCACATGATGGGCGGTAACTCTGACCTTTCCTCCACTCTGTGAGCAGAGACAAGGCTGACATTCAGGCCTGTGCTAACACACACACACACACACATACAGAAATACACACACACAAGGACACATTCAGACCTGTTTGGACAGGGGAACACTGGCCCGCTTTGGTCTGCGTGCTCCGTCTACAGCTGCTTAGAGTTTGCAGGTCTGGTCTGGGCTGAGGGGGGGGGGTTATTAAACACCTCATTTAGAGAGGGGGTCATGGTTTAGATAAGGATAATGAATACAGTAAAAGGACGGGTCTGTAAGAGGGGAATTAAAGGGGAATGGGCGGAAACCTGACAGTAGGTTCGTCAAACATACAAGTTATAGTGCAGGAATCTCTTGGAGCTGCTATGCAACCCTCTGTCTGAGTCTATGCGGCTGATGCCAGCCATACAAAACACACAGACACTTAACACAAGTGTCTCGACTACTTTTACGAGAACATGACGAAATAAAACGTTAAACATAGATACTGAGCTGCAAAATGAGATGGAGTTCTTTTTCAAGTCATAAGCTGCGAGTGTCCATCAGTGACTCTTCACGCCATGTCTCCCATCATCTTCTTGTAATACATGGACTCGAAGATGTCGTTCTCCCCCGGGCAGTTGTGGTGGCAGGCGCAGGACTTGATGAACATCATGTGCTTCTTCATCACCTGTCCGTCGGGGCATTTGAACTCCATGGGCAGGGTGGTGGTTCTGTGCGGGGTGCAGCAGCGGCCGTCCAGGCAGACGCCGCAGAACTTTGGCCTGTAGGACTTGGTGGTGGTGCAGCCGGAGATCTCGAACTTCATGGGCTTGGAGAGTCTCGGGGTGCGGATACACTTCTTTCCTTTCTGTACGAGGAAAACAACTTTATTAGACATTGTTTGACTTTTGAAATGTGTGCTAAGACTTCTTGAAGAGAAGCGCACTTCAACAAACACTCACCCTGATGCTCTGCTCCAGCTGGGACTCACATGGTCGCACCATACACAACCGGGTCTGTTTCTCCAGGCGGCATTCGCGGTTATCGTTGGTGACCCTGGTGGAGATTCCAAGGCCGCAAGTCTTAGAGCAGGCGCTCCATTCAGTCGTCTGAACCAGGCAGTTCTCCCTCATCATGGAGGGGTCTGGGCCGTAGGTCTCCTCCTCTCTGTAGGCTGTAAACACAGGAGCAAACACCAGGTTAGAACGACCATCCAGCTCCTCTCATTTCTCGAGCTTCACTGCTTCAGAAATAGAGACCAACTTACCGGCCAGAGCAGAGCCCATGAAGCTGTGTCTGTAAGGGGAATCACACTCCCATTCCTCGCAGCACTTCCCAGGTACCTTCACCCGCCTGGGCATAGGGCAGTCGGGACTGGGCAGACGGATGTCCATGGAGCAAAGTGGCACGCAGCCCACGGCGCCATCCAAACAGGTACACTGGTACTTGCAGCTGCTCTGGAAGGTCTCTCCACTCTTGTACACCATGCCTCCGAACACACAAGTGGCTCCATCTCGAGCTTATCGTGGAAACAACACATTAGACGATTACTATTTTGCTCAAAAACAAGGCGCGATAAACACAGACTTCTTTCATTGCTAACAGGATGGGCTTGTTATCAAAGTCTCACCTGTGCACACGCCTATGCGTCTGTTGATGGGGGCTCCGAAGTCACAGTAGAGGCCTTTGTGTGGGTCACAGACGTCTTTCTCCGTGCAAAGCTCCCCCATCTGTTTGGCGCACACCCTACAGCAGCCGCAGCCGTCCAGCACCAGGCTCACTCCTGGTGGGCACTGAGGGGGTGTGGAGGGGCACGAACACTGGCTGCTGCACTCCTGACCCGCAGCCTGAACACAAGACGAGTAACAGACACAAGCTCAGTCAGACATCATCTCACATCCAAAACACGGAGAATGCAGTGTCCTTAAAGCTTAAGTTTAAAACAGCTGTTTGATGTTTTTGACTCACCATGTGTGAAAGCATGATGCTCAGGAAAGGCAGCAAAATCATTTTCCTCATCCCAGCAGACATCTTTTTCTTCCTTGTAGAAATAAATTCTAGTTTTCCTTAAGTTTCGAAGAGAAAGTCTTCCTTTAGTCTGAGCTCGAGAAACCTTTTCTGATCAAGTCGATCTCTTGTCTGGTTCGTCTGGTAGCGTTTCTCCGCTGCTCCGGTCGCAGTCTGTCCTTCCTTTCTTTCTATCTTGGTGAAAGCTAGAGTTTAGCTTCAGTAGAGGAGCTGATCTGAGTCCTGACTGCACAGCCCAGCTCCCTTTATACTCGCTGGCCCTCTGAGCACGTCACTGGGGGCTGAATGGAGAGCCGGCCCTGGACAAACATGGACATACTTGGCATTCTTTCCTCGCTTCCTGACCCCCACTCCAGACATCCCACATTCCTGCTGTCTGAAGGCAAGGCTCTGCTGCTCGGGCCAAACAACACTGTCTCTCTCAGAGCAGCTTTCATCTGGAATAGGAGGTTAAGTCTGGTTAGAGGCCTGGGACCCCACACTGGGAATTCCTGAAGACTGACTTCACAAACAGACAGCCGGTACCTATAAATATTAATTTCAAAAAGAGAAGAAAGAGTCTACACTTGAAAGAAGACAAAGAACAGTTAGAAAACAGCGGTAAAAACTTCTACAAAGCATTAACGTGCAATGATCAAATAAACCTATTGATGTGTAATGAGAAGTTAAGACTTTAAGCCCGTAACAGCATTCCTCAGCTTTAGTTCAAACGCACACAGACAGCCTTTACTTTGGGAAATTAGCAGCTCGCTGAAAAAGAAAAAAAGGAAATTCATTTGAGTCATTAACTTGAGCTGATTATCTGGCTATCAAGCTCCTGAGCACAGACTTGGCAGCCGCCGCCGCACTCCTCTGTTCTCATGTGGTTACATCTGGGACGCTGCAGCTGCATTTTTGTGCCCTGACATCAGGGGTTGAAGTGCAGCTCTAAGCACTTCACATAAAAACACATAATAAGGACATTATGATCTGTTATGTACTGTATAAAAATAGCACTTTGATCACAATCACTTTACCCAACCCTGTTTTATTATACAAGTCATTTCCCCCCTGATGGTTCCCTTCGCCAAGTTCACTATTTGCACTCTTGTACCTTATTTTTTTTCAGCTCAAACAAAAAAATCATAGAGGGTCAACAATAAATGGGATATTTTTTGATAAGACTGTTGCACATTGAGAAATATGAAGGAGTTAAAGGGATATTCCGGCGTAAAATTAATTTAGGGTCAAACACATCATAACACCAAGTTAGACACCACTTCGAGAGATGAACGTTGCCGACAGCTTGCTTCTCTAGTTATACCAACTTTAGTAACGACCGCAGGATAGTGATAAAGAGCGGTTTGAGGAGCCGTAAACAAACCTCCACCAAAACGCCACTCTATAGTCACAGATAATGCTCAGAACAGCACCTAACTTCATCAACAGTACATATAGGGTCCTAGCCATAGTACTAGCCACCAAACATCTTTTTAACTTTGCCTGATTTCTTTAGCAAAGAGACTAAACACAACTCACCTACTCTCTTCCAGCAGCCGCTTGTTTGTAGGGCCAGTCCATTACGGACTGCAGCGGGGTGACGCAGCGTTAGAACATTTACGATCATTACTTTATCATTTCCTTATAGTAATAATCACCATATTAAACATTTTGCACTGCAGACATGGTAGTTCTTCTGCCTTCGTGTCTTGGTCTGACACAGAGAGGTCCGTCTCGGCATTTTTTCTGAAGAAATGATCATAAATGTTCTTCCTTAAGCTGCGTAACCCCGCAGCAGTCCGTAATGGACTGGCCCTACAAACAAGTGGCTGCTGGAAGAGAGAAGTTGAGTTGTGTTTAGTCACTTTGCTAAAGAAATAAGGCAAAGTTAAAAAGATGTTTGGTGGCTAGTACTATGACTGGGACCCTATATGTACTGTTGATGAAGTTAGGTGCTGTTCTGAACATTATTTGTTGCTATAGAGTGGTGTTTTGGTTCAGGTTTGTTTATGGCTCCTCAGACCGATTTCTATTGCTACATTGGGGTGGTTTCCCTGGGGTTTTACGGTGTGTTTGACCCCAAATTAATTTTACACCAGAATATCCCTTTAATGTGCAAAATTAAACAACATGCATGATAAATAACACACCCAATCTTCTACGATGTTGACTTTCCTGCTGCAGGTGTATGCACCATGGTTAATGTCATCAGTTTAGCTTCATTTACAAATCCACACTAATTGACACACTCCTAAATAGTGCTCTGTCATCTTCAGTAGGATTAGTCACACCTGTTCGGCTCACAGGTGGTAGCATTAGGTGATGTTTTCATAAGTTAGACACAAAATGCATCATACTTTGGACTCGCCAACTAACTGGGAGTTTTTACGGTTGAAATGTGCCAGTCAAAAACTTGTGCCAGTTAATTTTCATCATAGCAGCTGGAAGCGAAACTAAATGCTAAACAACTTTTCAAAAATACACATATGTAAATTTTGACTTTTTTTTTTCTCACCAGTGTGGTCGAGTCAACTCAAAACATTTCCTCCTAAAAGTGAGGTAAGACTGTTGTAAGGATGGAAAAATGCAACAGACAACCTTGAAAAACTGTGCCAGGTACAGTCCTTCAGTAAAGTACTTTCCACCCCGGTGAACTGAAAGTGAACACACTAACTTTCCTGACAAAAATAGTGCTAGCACAGGCCTCAGCGTCAAATTTTACCCACTTTATAAAAGATTTCCAATGGAGTTACTAAACCATATGACAGTGGGAAGTTTGTCACTGAATATTATAATGTTTGCGTTTTATCTCTGCAGGATGATCTGATGCCCTGTTTCCTAGGTTACCTGATCCGACAGTCCTGCCCAGGTGAGCAGGACAGGGATTAAGAAGACAAAGAGATGCTCTCAGGTACTTGGCTGTTTGTTGATTCGAGCTTCAGGCTTTTGTTACTTCCCACAAAGATGAAAACAAAGGCGAGAGGTTTTATTTCAAATCTGACAAGACGTTTTCACTCCATTAGGCCTTAGTCAGGACAAATCACGACCAAAACACCTGACTCAACGTTAGCGAAATCACAGCCAGACCCATCGAGGCATGATGGGAACAAAAGGCTACATGTTCTCTGGCTTCTCACCTGCCTAATGAGATTTAGTCTATGACGGACTTTAAAAGGCCAGGTGTGCCCCGTCCCTGGCTGGGCTTATTTTACTCCATCAAACCCCAGAGCTGAGGATCGCAGGAAAGGGGCTAGACGGAGGTTTGTGTATTTTTTTTTTTTTTCTTGAATTAAAAAAAAAAAGGGGTGGGGGGTGGGGGTCACACACACACCAGGTTGGTTCTTATGAAAGGCGGCCCTGCTCCTTCTCCAGCCAGCGAATCGGAAATGAAAAACTCCCAGAGAAACCTGGAGCTGGAGGAATGTGAGGCAGAAGCCAGCAGACAGGGCTCTTACTACAGAGGAAGCTGTGCCATATAAGGGCGTCTGCTCTTTTCCTAATATGGATATTTTCTCTGTGTGTGCTGGCTCAGTACAGTAGGGACTCCTGTTAGACCGTCTGAGGAAGGAAAAGCAGACGTGAGTGAAAGTTTGGTGTGTGCGTGTGTGTGGAGTTTTCTGGCTCTCAAAACAGACGAGAGAGAGAGTGTGTGTTTTAATCTGTGTGTGTGTGTGTGTGTGTGTGTGTGTGTGTGTGTGTGTGTGTGTGTGTGTGTGTGTGTGTGTGTGCCCTCAGTCATTACTGCCTCAGGGCCCAAACCTCAGCTCTGAGATATCTGAAGGAAACAGCTTGATAGAGGAACGGGCTCTGGCCATGCTGCAAAACAAAACTCACACTGGGCTGACAGCTTTATCTGACAAACAGAGTTATGCAGTCAGGTTGTTTGTTGAGTCAGTTCATCTCACATTTTGAGCGATTATCGGGAAATTTTGTAGAATTCCTGTAAAATGAAGTTGCTTTGGCTGACTTATCTTAATTTAATGCTGTTTCAAGACTTCAGGAATATTTATCTTTGGCAGAGGTTCAACATGACAAAGGATGTTTCGTTTTGTTTCATTCTCCATTAGCTTTGGCTAAGACCATTGCTATTCTTCCTGGAGTCGACATTTACAGTTACCTCTCCATTGCAGTGCACAGTCACAAGAAAAAACACCATGACAGAAACACAAAAACAACATCGATAACCAGTATGACTCACAACAGCCTACAAGACAAAAACAAAACAACAAAACCAGAACAATACAAACAACATACACATACAACTGGACCTTAAACATTTCCACAGTGTAGCTGTAGTTCGAGAATAATCAGGGGCCTACTCTACGAAGCAAGTTCAACCTAGCGTAGGTAGCCTTAGAGTTACCTCGCTCAACTTAGCGCGGTAGCCAGCGGTCTCGCTAAACAGTCTTACGACGCTGGTTACCAACCTCGTAAGTGGATCCACCTTTGCTATGTGCACGTGCACGCATGTAAGGTGGAGCCCGCAGCATCTGACCAATCGCGAACATTATCACCCTGAAATAGCACTGTTCAACATGGGCTTTTAACATGCACCAGACATGTCTAATTCATTTTTTCGAGAGAGCTCATTGGTCAGTGGGTGGGGTTTTTATACTCGGTGAGTTCAATCTGGAATCTAACCTGCCCCGGAGCAGATTAGTCATTCAGCATACGTTGCCATGGAGACTCGCCTCGCTAAGAAGTGAACCCGTGTCGTAGAACAGGAAACCCCGAACTTACCCTCGAAGTTACCCTGCTAAGCAGTAACCCTGCTTCGGAGAAGAGGCCCCTGATGTTTTAAATATCAACTTACATTCCACATAATTGAATTGAATTAATTAATTTACGGGAAAGTACCCAATACATAATACATAAGCAGACTTCCAATATTATAAGTAGATCAGACAAACCAAGCTTCGTCTAAACAAGGATCTTTGTATTTGTAATTGTTGTTTTCTTGGATGATTTGTCCTGGCAGAGCTTTCCCTATACAATACCGTACTTTTCATTTTGTTTGTTTGTACTTTGGGTAAGGTGAATTTACCATCCATAGCATGTCTTGTTCTATAACAGCGTTCACCTGAACTAAAAGACAAACGATCGTGAAGAACCCTTGGCAATTTCGTCATAGGTGATCCTCTAATGAGGCATGTGAATATTATTTAAGGACATGTCATTAACAGAAACCTCTCTGTGTTTCTATCCTGATGTTATTTTTCGGGCTGTTGTTATGACGCTGGTTGTTTTCGCTGTCAGACTGAACGTTCATTGAACTCATTCTGTAAGCCTCATGGTTTCCTGTGTTAAATATCAGTAGTCTGACGGGGCCACGTGCTCACTGTTCTGCAGCTCTGGATGCTGAAAGCCAAAGGAAACATATGGCTCTGTGTGTGGCAGGCCCAGATATGTCAAGG